GTCGTAAGAATAACAACAAAAATGTAAGAAACTTTCACTGCTCTTATTATTCTTCAAGTTGGAATGTGTATGTGTGTGTGTGTGTGTGTAAGAAAAACTATGAACGCTCGCGACTCAAGTGCCTGCGCGATTGCGAGTGGGCGTCACCGCCACAGGTACTTCCGGTACTTTTGGCAAGTAGCGCAGGCGTTACCAGCGTACCGCCTCCGTTTCCCATTCCATCCCGTTCGCCTCTTAGACTTGCAAAGCGAAATGGGCAATTAAATATCATGCATACGCCCTGTGGGAGCGCGAAACTGCCTCGCAAAACAACTTTAGTTTTGTTGTATAACATACATAGTTTGGGGGAGCACTTTAACTGAGAATTAAATTTCGTTTTGAAATGTTGCACAAAAAGCAAAAATATGTAATTCCTTTGCGTTATATGCGCGCTCATATTACGATGTGGTGTGTGTGTGTGTATGTGAGTTTGTGTGTGCTTTGCGCTGTGTTGGAGTGTAGTGCCTGCGGCTTTTCTTGTATAACAATTTGTGAGTTTGGCGCAGCGCTCACGTAATGAGCATAAACTACAGGCTGCAAAAGGCGCCCCCACACACAACTCCCGCGAAAGGTGAGGGGTCAGGTGGTGGCAGATGTGGGCGCGCAATGTGCTGCCGTGCAAATAATTGGTGCAAAAGTTTAAAATTATCACGGAAACACGCTGAAACACGTACACATCACCATCAGCATCGTCAACGCCGTGCGGCATAATTGCGTATGGCTGCGATAGCCGCCGGCTCCGGCTCCAGCAAGGACTCGAGTTTAAGCTCGATCCGACAGCATCCGCTGCTGCCTTTTGGGTCACAATTTATTGGAGCGTAGAACAGCCCACAGGCGCCGTCGACCGTCACGCTAATCCAGACCGTAATTACTCATGGTGCCCCTCGCGCTCTCTCCTCCAGATCCATGTACCAATTAGTTACAGTAACAGCTCTTCGGTCAAAGTTTCGCACGTGGCTGGTACTGGATATTTGGTCAAGGGTCAAATCGCTTAATGTTAAACGGAAAAGAATTCACTTTGCCTTAACTGTTGCTGTTGGCTACTTTATCACACACACACACACACACACAAACAAACAAACAAACACCCACGCACGCACGCACACAAAGGAGTGGAATTCCATACGCCCCGTTGACCAAGAAGCCAGAAACCATGCAACACCTATTAAATTGTGCGACCATTAAAAGTTTTTGCAATAGCGAGCACTTGATGATGAAAAGGAATTTTGTTTCAGCACCTGCAAGTGCAACTGAAAATACGTTTGCATATGCATTTTTCAAAATGTTTTTCTGTTGACCTCGTTTACGGGTCAGAGCAACTATGAAAACTTCTCCGAACAAACTAAATTGCCGTTGCCGCTTCCATTGCTGTTGCCATAACCATTGCAATTGCGACCGGGCTTTACGACCACCACAATCGCTGCTTTTGGCAACTGGGACGACGAAGCACACTGTGGGACCACAGTTCAAAAACAATTTAATAAATCGACATATTTTGCAAATTGCAATCGTATTGAATACAGAATGGAGAGCTTACCAGTTAAAAGAGCTTATTATTAACTCCCAAGAAAAAGTCGAACAGAAGACTGTCAAGCAATGTTTTTACATTATTATTACAAAGTATACCTTCTTGTATTTGTGATGTTCACCTTTTAGGGGGAATATGTCTTGTTTTTAAATTTTCTCATATGTTTCACATTTGTCTGGGAAACACCCACAACTTATAATTCATTTGCCAATTAACGGCCAACCAAAAATAAATAAAAATAATAAAAAATATAACATAATAATAGGTAGCAAGCTAAACAAAATTTGGAACATTATTATACCCAAAGTAATATTTATGCTTGTCTGCATTAAATTAAATATGTATTATTGACGCCTTCAAATAAAGCTGTAAAGCCCGAATAATCCTCAAAGAGGTAGAAATAAAAGGAAGGGAGATAACAAGCCATTAGATTTATATTGACTTATAAAGCCTTTTTAAAATTCGCATGCTTCGGAAATTTTACTTATATCATGATCTGAGCCACAATTAGAAATTAAAGGGAAGGAGCTTTAAGTCGCTAAAATACTTGCATTCCTTTCAAAGAAACTGTGAGTTTTTCCTAAGTACACAAATATTATCAGATTTTTTATATATTATTGATAAGCATTTGCTGTATTACAATTTATTTTACTTAGGCTTAATAGAATTTTTATTTTATGTTTGCTTTATTCAGCGAAATAGCGATGCGCTTGTTATGTTTTGTTTTTACGTGATGATTCCCCTAGATGGTGAAATAGAAGAACCTACAGATATCAGTAATCTTGTTTACCAAGTTCCACATCTTGTCTAAGTAATGCATGCAATTTGCTGCAATGCCCCACTGTACGATGTTAGTGGACAGGTGGCTGAATGGAAATGGAATGTTGCATGGTTATTTGGTTGGGTCACAGCGAGTATGGGGGCGTGGGGCGTGCTTGAGTATAGCATATTGAAATGCGATTACAGCAGACCTGGCATTGCCTGGCGTTCATTAAAGATGCATAAACAACACTCAGGGCATACAGACACAGGCACAGATACAGATACAGACACAGACACAGAGTCAGACAGATACTACATATATACGAGTATATACGAGTACAGCTGTCATCCCATGGCACATGTAAACAATTTCAATTTGAAAGCGTTGTGCTAATTTTAAATCAATTATACGACGTGACAGCGCCGCACAGACAAAGCTCGAGCTCAGAACCTTAGAAACTCCACAAGAAGACAAGCTTACGAATCCTTATTTTACTTTTCAATGCTAAACAATGCCAAGTAATCGAAATAAATGCGAACGTACAGCGGCAACATTTGGTGTGAAAAGTTTTTCGGGATATTACTTGAAAGTTTGGGGCAACCCCTACTCATTTTCCTTGCCAAATGTAAAATGTCGCTGGCAACAACAGCAGCAACAAAAAAAAAAATGTAAACGAAAGTTTGGCAGTGGTAGAGACAAGCGTCACTTCTGTGGTACATTTTGGCGACACACAAATTGCAGACAGCCTCCGTACTTCCCCCCTCTAGGTCCGTTCTCCCCAGCTCGATTTCAGTTGGAAGAGTCCCCTTTAGCTTAGTGTATAGAAAGAGAAAGCAACACTTTGTTGCTTTTTTCTCTGGTTATTTGCCTTAAATAAATACATTTACGCATACATATGTGTGTGTGTATTCGGTTCTTTATGGCAGAAAGTTGTGCCGCCAAATAGAGTAAATATATGTATGTACATACATGTACATATGTATATGGATATGTACATAATTTAGTGAACTTGAAACTTCTTGCGTCGACAAAGCGCTCTTCTGTACACACACGTACATACATATATGTATATAATACTCTTCTTATTGGATACAAAAGGGCTGTTTCCCACCTCAACATCTTGGCATTTTATGCAAAGTAATTTATAAGCATACCCGTACATCTGTACATACATATATACGTACATATGTTTTCGTATGTACTTATATACATGAAGCTCGAAGGCGGACATAAAAAGCGGTGCATACGAGCACACCTATATGCATATGTAGGTATGTACGTACGTATGTATGTATGTATATAAGTACTCACAAAGGCTTATTAAAGATTTAAAGTGGTGCAGGAAATTGATATGCACTTACCGGCTGAAGGAAGTTCCTACTCGTAAAAAGGCACTGAAGTGTGGCTTCATTAAAATAGGTCACAAAACTCTTGAGTTGCTCGAATTTCTATCATGGTGTAAGGATGAGCCCAAAAAGACTAACAAAATGCACTATACAAGTCGGAAGAATTTTTTCTCTATATCTAAGCTTAACATAAACTGCTAACGCCAGTGGCAAAATTTGCATAATTTTAACTTAACTCACAAGACTTTTCTGTAACATTAATGCACAAATTCTAGCCATAACGCGCATTCAATATTCAAATTGCATAATGGTTCACTTACACAAGTACTAGTTCAACTGATTCATTTTTTGATGTAACATTGATGTACAATTTCAAGCTTTAACGTTCGCTCAGTATTCATAATTGCATAATAGCCCCAATACTAGTTCAAATGACTCACTTGTTACTCTAGAAGGATAAGTTCATGTGCATAGGTTCTCTGGTGAATCGTCACAGAACAACAACAAACAAATACTTTAAATTTACATGAGTATATGTATATTTCTAAATGTGTACTTACATGCCATAAACACGGGTTACACACACGCTTAAGCTAACTGAAATAACTAACTAAATATTAACATAAATATAATACGCAACTTTTTTGGTTTGAAAATAATTTAATAACATCGACCCGCAACAGCTCAGTTGTCCGCACGATACGAAGCCTGCGACAGCTGTGCAGCTTTTGACTCAAGCCAGAAATAACAATAACTGGCCATTCACAATAGTACGCGTTTGTTTACAGCGAATATAACGGTAAGCTAGCAAGTGCGCGCAAAAGAGCGCTACACAAATATTTTAAAACAGTAAACCTTCTGATTTCAACATTTTCTATCGGAAGGACAATTGCATTGAAGTACCATAGTTTTTAAGTTGTAGTGTGTAAACGGAATAAAGTGTTGGAAAGATAAATAAGATACTAAAATTATGTTTTGTCGCCGTAATCTCTTAACAATTTTTAATTACAACTTTCAACCAAAAATTAATATTTTGTTGCTATTAGATTGTGTTACAAACGACTATGCCAGGCTTGAATTACATTGAAGGAGATAGGTGGAGAATTTAATAATACATAAGTACGCCAAATAGTCGCTGAGTGATAACCGATTAAAGAGGCTTCATTTAAATGCTACCCATGAGAAAGAAGCGCGGCGGAGAACCGTACTTTTAATTTAATTGTGAAAATTATTTGGCTATTGGTGCCTAATGTTGCTTTGATTAACTATTTGTTAAAAGGAGTGGGAGGGATTGGTTGACATAATTTAACTCGAAAATCAGATATTGTACATACCGCAGTATCATTTATTTATTTATTATGATAGATTGATGGCGTCTTGTTAAGATTAAGAAATATTTCACACTGTAACATCCAACATTCGAGCTCTGTTTGAAACCCTTCAATGTGTTCGCAATAGGTATAGAATTAATGCTCTTCTTTTTAATTCCGAGACTATAGCATTTTAGTACCAACGTTCGCACTTTAGAGATTATCCTACGAAAGTTTGAACGTTTAGTAGCTGAGATTATTAAACGGCATGGCGCTAGACATTCGTCAGCTTATTCGATCTGCTCCGGGTTTCTTGGTCTGTTGCAGTGGACTTGACGCTCGCTTTAATACTATCTTGAAATTCTCGCTTACGACATACTCCTCCTTGAACAGAACCACCAAGTTAAGCTCAAACTCTGTAATTAACGAAAAACAAAGAAATTATAGATGAATTTAATAAAAAAGGTAGCATCCTCACCTATTTTAAAATTTTTTGTAATTAGCGTGGGGCAAGTGAACAAACGCGGTAGCACCATATAAATGGGAAGTTCCAGTTTAGGCATTACATTGCCATCAGCAATCTGGATTGTCTGTATTTCAGTGGATTCTTTGGAGAAGCCCTCATCGCATCCGCAGGTCTCCACACGTACTAGTTGCATTTCTATTGACTTGATAGCTGCCTCAGTCTGTTGCACCATCAAGGTGCCTGTGATGGGCTTCGTTACACAGCACTCGGAGCAGTCCAGCCGACCAGTGATAAGGAAGCGGGGCATCGACAAACGTTCCTTTGGGCTAGCGGCGTTCTTCTGCAGCGTTTCTGGACTCAAGCTAAAGGGAATCGCACGTGACGACTCGTCACTTAGGGGCGTTGGCTTATATTGAATGCAGAACTGCTGCACCTTCTGTAGAGATTTTCCCAGGAAGTTGCGCTTTACATCGCATCGTAGCTGATAGTTAATGTTAATGAAAACACCATGATAAGTCTCGTAAAGCACTCGGGGCTCCGATTTACACACAAGTGGCAACTCAAAATGAAACTCTGAACGGCCTGCAGCCAGCTTCCCAGGAGCCGAAAGCTCCAAGCTGCTCTGCAGCAGAGTAATCGGCTTAACGGAGTTATAAAATGTATCAAAGAGACCCACGGTTTTGCTGCTTAACTGCAAATTAACGATGCCTTCCAAATACAGCACCAAGCCTTCATGTTTTGCCTCGGCAGGACATTGAAACTGTACACAGCCCATAAGCATATCCTAGTGGAGAGAAATCCCATTATAAGTGGTTACCATTAAAGTTCATTGTCATACCTACATTTTCGTAATAAACTTTATTCTCCCGTTTCAATTTTATTTCGAAATTTATTGCACTCATTTTGCATTCGCCGTGCATGCAGATGACAGTGAGATGCCACCTGTTGTAAATAAATGTAACGAGTTGTCCCACATTTCTTGCCCGTTTTTTGTTTTTGAGACGAATTGGCAGAGTCAAACACACAACCGGCTTGTCGGAAAATATGAATTTTATATAATTTACTTATATTTAACACTACATTTAATCTTAAAATAAATAAAGTAATTTTATACAAACTGAAATGCCTCGAAATCAAAATGCAGAACGCGACAACCCCTGTCTCAAGGTATGCCACAAAACATCCACATAAGCAAAAATCTCACTACTATATTCTTCTTAGGAGCAGGAGTTGTCGTTCAAATGTCTTAACAAAAATAATTTTGACCGGGACAAGTGTGAGGTGTACTTTGCTAATTATAATAACTGCAAAGAATTCTGGGTATGAGAACATGATTTTTGACCCGTCAAAATAATAATAACTAAATTTGATCAGAACAAAGTACGAACGGATCGTCGCGCCAAGGGAATCGCGCCATACCTGCCACCGGTTGAAGAGCGGGACGCTATCAAAGCAGAATACATGAAAACCAAGTCCCAAAAAAGTTAATATAATGAAATCTGTTACTTTGGGTAATATAATATTTTTTAACAACTTTTAAAATCAACTTTCGCTGTGTATTGTATCACCAGCAATAATTTTAAGGGATGGCTGCGCCTCCTCCAGCATTGCAATGGCCAGTTCAAGCTCCAACGATTGCTTGGGATCATCAAGAATAAGCAATTTTAGCGCTGGAAGGCGATAAAGACAAGATAGTCCCCTTGCGGTTATGGTTGTTCCGGAGAGGTCCAGGACCTCGAGCATAGGATAATCGCCACCAGACACACGATCTAGGCACCAATCACCAAACGTTTTGACATTGTGAAACGAAAGAAATTTCAGCTGATCCAGGCAACGCAAGTTCTCCAGGCCCTCATAGTAAAGTTGCATGTTGTCACAACGCAAGGCCTCCAGCTTATAGTCTGGATGGAACTTATTGGGCAAATTAAACTCGCCGTTCTCGTTGGCACGATGCCATCGATTGTCATTGTAAAACTTTGCTGCTCCGCCACGATAGAGAATGAAGTGAGCTGAAGCCAAGTCGGCGCCCAGAATTTTGTGGCGTTCAGGAATATATTGCTGCATGTGTCGCTCCAGACGCTCTTGTTTCTTCTCCCACCAGTTCTTTATTGACTTTGGGCTCAGATCCAGCGGTCGCTGCATCATCACAATGAAATCCGAATTCTGGTCCGAGTTGGAGAACAGTTTCAGCTTGCTGTTCCAATCCTCTGGTCTGTCGCCGACTGGTTTGCGCCACTTAAGTTGCTGTTTGTCCGCCGCCAACTCCGCTCGAATACGTTTCACTGTGGCACTGACATCCTCATCCTCCTGTCCATCGTGGGTGTGTCGCAGTGTGGCGGCACAACGACGCAATAAATTTTTTGAAATCGGGGGCAGCCGACGCGCACAAGTCAGCATATTTATTCACTTTAATTTATAATGACTCTATTCATTCGATGAAAAATACGTCCAATTTTATACCGAAAAAAGCGAACTAGTCCAAAAGCATTATAAAACTGTAGCAGCTGATGTAACAGCTGTACGCCCAAAATGAAAGATATGGCAACATTAACCAGACGCCATCTTCTAAGAAGCTGTCAATTTTTTTTATCACATTGAAATCATTTGCAGACGTTTGTAAACGTTTCTGAAAAACGCAATTTTCCACCGATAACCTCAGTAGAACTAAAATAAATGCTTATAGAATTAAGCTCAAAGCTTTAAGGTAACGCGTGGCAATATCCACGCTAGTTGTTTCGCGCATTAAAAAACGCAAACGAGCCACTGAAAAAAATTACGTGAATCATTGGACTCGAGCAGCAGCAACAGCAGCAAATACTTGGGACGCCTGGCAGCGGAGCACCCTTTCACTTAGTGGCAAGTACGAGTATTTTTGGAGTCTTGTCTATCTGCTGTCATGGTCAACACGTCTGGAAGCGAGGATGGCCAGCTACGCAGCCCCAATGATGAACAATATATCAGGTGTGTATGGGCTAGACGTTTTGTCTTCGCACGAAAAATTGTTGGTATATACATACATATATATACACACTCACGCACGCGCCACTCATACAAACATATGTTGTTTGTATGTATGCATGCTTGTGAGCTGATCTGTGCATTTCGCTTTAATGATGAAACAACAATTTTTCCCGCAACTATTTTTCATTTATCTGTTCTTGTTGTTATTGTTGTTGACAAAAACATGCTAATTCCATTTGAAAAAAGACGAAGTAAATGCTATATTGCTGGAGCTAAGAAGCAGCAATATGGTGAAGCCTACAACAAAAAAAATCAAAAGCAAAATTCCCTGCAACCACCTGTCATAAAAAAAGAACTTTTTCCAACTTTCCTTTTGCGCCTTTTAATTAATATATGCCTCAATACATATGTTAAATAACAAAAACAAAAACCAAATTATTGACACATCCCTCTAAAATCTGTGCAGTTTAATTTACTCGAGTTTTTTCATTGCAAATAGGCCAAAAGTGTGTACTTGTCCCATGACCGAGGCGCGCGATGGCCAACAACTAAACTATAAAAAAAGAGTGTTAATTATAAAACAAAACAAAAGCAAATGCAAGCCAAAAGTTCAAAAGTTCTTGTGTGCACCTCACTACTATAGAGTGCAGAAACTTCAGCGCGACGCAGCAAGGAGATTCCGAATACGGCGGCCAGAAAGAATCCACAATATCAAATATTGCAACTAACCGACGTACGCAAGTGCCTAGGTTTGGGATACATCTTGGGTCTTGGTTGGCGGTAAATTTAAATTGACTATTTCAAGTACAAACCATTCTAATGCCTTTAGCCCGCCATATCTTTGTGTCTATTTGTTCCGCCCGAGCATTTTAGAGGTTTGCATTGGTCGTAAGTTTACATTTTACAGCCCTCGGATTTAAACTCGGCAGCTACCATGGAATTGTTTAACTTGGTTGCTTTGCATCGGGATATAATCAGGTAAGTGTTTACTGCACCAACATATTGATGATGCCATGACACAAGGAAATTTATTAAGTCCTCAAATACTACACACATTTATCTGACTTTTTGCTAATCCCTTTTTGCACAGCAAACAGATTATTCTTCTTTCCTCTGTGCGCCGAGGTCATGAACCCGGGGGCATAAGTAAAATGTAATCAAACGACAAGCAAGCAAATCAACAAATTTTACAGCAGGCTCAGCGCCAAGCCTTTTGCCCACATGGCTAGTCGGTCAGTCAATGGTCTACACATTTGGCACACACAAATTTGCAAAATGGAACTAAGCGTTGAGATTTTGTCAACTTGAATATTTTACGTGCCCTATAACCTGTGACCCATTCTTGTTTACTTTTAGCGGCGATGATGACGAACATGATACCGATTCCTTGTATATACAACCACCGCAGGCGAGTACGCGTGACCCCACGAGCACACGCCGCAAGGAAAAGAAACATTCCCGGGAGCGTCGGCGAAAGGACCGCGACAGCTTCAACGATCGTGATTCGGAGGGAGGTGTAGAAAGAGAGCATCGGGAAAGATATGAATATAGGCGAGAGGAGCGAACAGACATGGATCGCCACTACCATCATCAACGCAGCTCAGATCGCGGCGGGGGAAGCAGCGGCTACTCGAAACATCATATCAGCCATGCTTACCACTATCAACAACCACAGCACCATCACCACCACCAGCCTCCGCCGCTGCCGTATGGTCATCACCACCAGCAGCATCATCACCACCAACACAATCATAGTATGCATTTGGCCGGAGTACGTCCGGCTCGCGGAGAATATTATCAGTCCACGGCTCTTTATCACACCAATCGGCATCACGTTTCTGCTGGTGGGGCTGATTATGGTAGCATTGGCGCCGTTACAAGCGAAATAGAGCTACAACGACGCGCCAAAAAATATAGCTATGAGCAGCCTAAGGATGCCGAGAGTCTCGAGCAGGATTTGCGTTCGCGGCTGCTAAGTAAACGTAACAATTATGTGAAGGACTATGAAATGGAAACAAATTACGAACACAAAAGCAGCAGTCGCAAAGAGTCACGATTGCGTGGCGAGGAGCGGTTGCTAAAAGCTGAACGCCATAAACAGCGACACGAGCGTTCAGCACGTGCCAATGTCATTGAGGTCCTAGATAGTCCAGAGCCCGGTGACGGTGCCAAAAGCCGACACAAACAGCGCAGCAAACAGCTAGACAAGGAAAGAGTTCGTGCAACGGCTGCAGGCGTGAGGTTAGAGCCAGCACGCAACCGGACCGGCGATGATCCCGAGCTGACGGTACGACGCGAGAAATTGCTGGCGGCCGAGCGTGAAATTCAAAAGCGCAAGCAGACGGCCCGAGAGGAATTGGAGGCACGACGGGAATTGCTGCGCGAGCGTAATGAACATAATGCACTAAGTCCCAGTGCTGTGGCGGCCAGCGTTACGGCTGGCCTGAATGTGGTGGTGAAAAGAAAACAAAAGTCCGATCAGTACGAGCACGAAGTGAAGCATAAAAAGCGCAGCAAACATAGCCACGATGAACAGCGAACTGAGGACGATGAGAACGAGAGCGAAGAAAGCGACTCAGAGAGCGAAGAGGACGAGGATGACGAGGACGATGATGAGAGCGCAGGCACTGCCACTGGCAGCGAAACAGGCTCAGATGAGAGCGATGGTAATTACGAGCAAACGAAAAAACGTAAGCGTCCAAGCGATGCTGATGCCCAAGCTGAGGAAGATGTGCCCCTTCCCGATAGTCCACTGTCTGTGGGCGAATTATACAAGTCACCGAAACAGCGCAAGAATCGGAAAAAGCGTACTCCATCCATAAGTTCCAGAAGCTCCCGTAGCAGTCGCAGCCCAAGTCGCAGTGAATCCCACTCCAGATCAGAAAGTGCGGGCTCTAGAAGTCGTAGTCGTTCTCCCGGCAGCAGTCCCGATGAGCGTGCAATCAGCGATCAATGCTCGCCGAGCACAAGCACGCGCAGCGAAGAGCGTGGCATGGCACAGAATCAAGCAAAACTTAACGATGTCGAGGAAAAAACTAAGCATATAAAAGCTGAAGATGCACCAATTTGCGATGACAAAGGTGTGCCGTTGCCCAACTACTTTCCTGGCGTTCAGGGCTGCCGTTCCGTCGAAGAATTTCAGTGTCTCAATCGCATTGAGGAGGGCACCTATGGCGTCGTCTATCGAGCCAAGGATAAGCGAACCAGTGAAATTGTCGCACTTAAACGCCTCAAAATGGAAAAGGAGAAGGAGGGCTTCCCGATTACATCGCTGCGCGAAATTAACACACTCCTTAAGGGCCAGCATCCGAACATAGTAACAGTGCGAGAGATTGTAGTGGGCTCCAACATGGACAAAATCTTTATAGTTATGGACTATGTGGAGCACGATCTAAAATCGCTTATGGAAACGATGAAGAACCGCAAGCAGAGCTTCTTTCCTGGTGAAGTCAAGTGTCTCACTCAACAGTTATTGCTGGCGGTAGCCCATCTGCACGACAATTGGATACTGCATCGTGACTTGAAGACCTCCAACCTGTTGCTATCGCACAAGGGCATTCTGAAGGTGGGTGACTTTGGTCTGGCCCGTGAATACGGCTCGCCACTGAAGAAGTACACCTCGCTGGTCGTCACACTGTGGTATCGAGCACCCGAATTGCTGCTCTGTTCGCCCGAATATTCAACGCCCATCGATGTGTGGTCGGTGGGTTGCATCTTTGCCGAATTTTTGCAAATGAGCCCTTTGTTTCCCGGAAAATCGGAAATCGATGAACTCAATCGCATATTTAAGGTAAGAACAAAAACAATATATAGTCTAAGATGAAAAATCAAATATTTTATTAATCAACAAATTACATCTGCAGGAATTGGGCACACCAAACGACAAGATCTGGCCTGGTTATAACGAGCTGCCCGCTGTGAAGAACATGCTCAGCCAGAACTCACAGTTCACAGAATATCCCGTGTCACAGTTGCGGAAGCACTTCCAGGATAAAACCTCAGATACCGGAGTGGCGTTGCTGCAGGGCCTGCTTACATATGATCCCAAACAAAGACTGACTGCTGACGGGGCGCTAAAGCATCCGTATTTTAAGGAGCTACCATTACCCATCGATCCATCCATGTTTCCCACGTGGCCGGCCAAAAGTGAGCTGGGCGCGCGCAAGGCGCAGGCCTCCTCACCAAAGCCACCTTCAGGTGGTTCCCAATTCAAGCAGTTGGGCCGCGATGAGCCGATTGTTGCCTCCAGTGGAGGTGGCGTCGGCGCCAAACTCTCATCGGGCATCATCACTGGCAATAAAAAGAGCGGCGCCTCAACGACCAACACAGGCTTTGTCCTGAACGCCGGCCTCACACAGCGACAACTGGCCATGGGTCCTGGCTTCAGTCTGAAGTTCTGAGTGGGGCTAAGCGTTATTTTGGCATGCAGCTGCTGCATATAGCTACACAAGTTTTAGCCAATTAAATACTTGTTATGTATAGTTTAGTATGTAAGTTAAAAATTTCGTTTATGTGTATGTGTAAAAATTGTTCCAAATATAATTTTAAAGCCATACAAACAAATTCACGCACAACAGACTTAAGAATTTACTGCAGAAGGCTATACAAAACATGAAAATCATGAGCTACGATGTCATGTAAAGGATAAACTTAATTTTAACTGAATATATGGCAGTTCATCCAATTAGATAAGTCAATCGTGGAATGTAGCTTGCGATTTTCAGGTTTTGTGTAAACTACTTTTGTCAGCATTTCAGTGGGCTATCCATCAACCTACCATTCCTGTAACTTTATAGCTTAGCCTAAATCTCAATACTTCAAAAGTGTTTTATTGCTACGCTTCACGTTGACCACAGATAGAAGTAGGTGCTCTGCCAACGTGGCACGTACTCGCGCAATGGTCCAGCGAGCATTTTGGCAATAGGTACGTTCTCGGCGACAAAGCCCAGCATACGCTCAACGCGGGACTTTGTGTATCGTTCGTAGAAGGGCGAACGGACCAAGAAGTATAGCAGATTAATGCAGCGCCTCGATAGCTCGACTTTCTGTTTCTGTGACATCAAATGCCGATGCTTACGATACATGTGAATACTCCACAAATCAATCGAGAGGGCGACCATGTACTGCTTCCAACTGCGGCGACCGAACAACCCCATGGCTACCAAATGAATTAGTGGCTTAGAAATGTACAGGTACTCGGCATGTAGCAATTGCCTTGGTATTTGGCTTTTCTGGGTCTCCGCACTCTCCATGTCAAGCCTAAAATCACGATATTGTATGGGCGGCGCGCCCTCCACTTTGCGTATGAGGCGTCCAGAACGCTTCAACTTAAATGTAATGGAATGCTCTGGCGGGTGAGCGGTTTCACTGCTCACTTCTGGCACAACATGCCCGCCTTGGAGGGATTTACGCTGCTTGCTGAGCGATCGACGGTTCAGAGACGGTATGGGCGGAGAGGTGACAATGTCCGCCGTGGAATGTTTCAGAATAAACAAACGACCTGCTGCTTTGAAGACCTGTATTATAGCTATGACAAGCCACTTTCCAGTTGGTCCAAACACACGACGGGCTGATATCTCAATAAAAACTTCACTGTACTCGAGTGTTGTCAGTGCGACCTTTAGACGGTAACAAAGGCCGCTGGACTGCTGATGAACCATAGAGTTTTCGTTTGCTTCACGCTCTTTGTCAATAATGCGATCGTTATAAAACACCAGCACATTCGAAAGGGTGTACACCAGCTCGGACACCACATTTGAGTCCGATATTCGGCCTGATAAGATGTGGAAAGGGATTTAAGTAACTTTTAATTGCGTCACCAAGTGCAGAGTTTTCTTTTTATCAACACGCACTTAATCTTACCTGCAATGAAATAAGACACCCACTTTGCTGTTGTTTCGAAGTCGCCTACTACGTCAGGATTTTTCGCTACCCACGTTTCGTAGGATTTTACCAAGTGCTTTATTTTATCCATTTTCAACGAAATAAAAGTATTTAATAAGCAAATAAAACAAATTGAAGGCGGTAAATAAAACTGCAGTTGTTTCCGTCCCCGAACGATTTACCACCTTGTGAACAGATGAGAAACACGAATATACGCTTCAGATCAGAGTTGCCACATTTTTGAAATCCGTATTTGAGAGAGTAACGTTTATTCGCTTTGACCTTGATAAACCATTTCCACGGAAATTTTATTGACATTTCAGTATATGCATGTAAATATAACTCAAAAAAAACTAATGCACAGCACAGCTTAAGTATTATTTTTAGATTAGATTAAGCTTTAAAAGTATCTTTCTCTTTGCGCAAGTTACCCATAACTTGAATAGGATTTGTTTGGCCACCAGCGTGTTTTTGAACAGCACTCTCATGAACGCGCATAAAGGGATTCCACGACTTCTCTTCACCTATTGTGGAGGGCACTGTCGGATCTTGCGAGGCACGCCGCATCTTGGCCCATTCAATGCGCTTATGTATAGACTCGTTTTCTGGCTCAACATGGCGGGCAAAACTCATATTCTGCAACGTATATTCGTGCCCACAGAAAACCTTCGTGTTGTCTGGGAGAGACGCTAATTTCGTGCACAACGCCTCGTACATTTCCTCGGGTGTGCCCTCAAAGAAACGCCCACAGCCGCCCTGGAAAAGTGTATCCCCAGTAAAGACAGCCCCCTCGCCCTGGCCATCGGCAGTTGTTACGTGGTAGCAAATGTGCCCTGTAGTGTGACAGGGCGTAGAAAGGCAACGCACATTCAAATTGCCAATTGTGAATGTATCATCTTGACGAACTTTCCGATTAAGAGCACCAATTCTATCATCACCGCCATATACTTGCAACTCCTTGCTCCACAATTTCACCAATTTTTCATTACCGCCGGCATGATCCCAATGATGATGTGTAGTGAGTACTTTGTTGAGGTTAACTTTGGCTTCTTGTACCGTTTTAATCACCAATTCGGGATCTACGGGATCGACCACAGCCGCCTCTTGCGTCTTTCCATCCACAATCAAATACATATAATTGTCCTGCAATGCAGGCAAAATCTTCACCTGCATCCCATCCAGCTTGACTTCCTCCAGCGTGCTGTGCATTCCTCTAATTCCAACTGTACGGAACTTTTGTACTGTAGAAGAAAATGAAAAAGAATTGATTATTATGGACAACAGACCAATACGGAAATAAGAGCAAAGCGACATAAAAATGACAATAGCATAAACACACAGATTAGATTGCACATAAGATTACAATTGACAAGATAGACGTGGACACCCAAACACCGCCTTACAGCTCCAGTACCAGACGAAACCACCGCAGCGCTCAATGGCCGTGCGAAAAATTTTGACGAACCTCGAAAATAGACGGCAGTCGCTTTAGTTTCAAGGGAAGTTGCAATTCCTTTCCAGACGGACGAAAACATCTAGCGGTTCTGAATTGGTAAGGCTTACAATTGTTAATGCTTTTGGGGCAATATGAAATTTGTATGTATATTTATTATAATATTCAGCTATACCACACGAAATATGAATGCAGCAAATCTGAAGATGAAATTTTTCAGACTACAAGGGCTGACAGCTGTGTGGTGATAGTATTGTAAAACGCTAAGCTTTTTGCTAAGCTTACTGTGAATGAGGAACTTTTTTCAGGGCGGAAAAATCGTTGAAGTTTAAATTTATTTGCAACGAACCTCGAAAATAGGCGGCAGCCGCTTTAGATACAAGAGCCACTATTGATTTATTTCCTTTCCAAGCAGACGATAACAACTAACCGTTTTGAATTGGTAAGTCTTGCAATTGTGTATTTTATTATATATATTTATATTTAACTAACTGATACACTTTTTCCAGGGTTGAAAATTCGTATTGTGTTTCGAACATATTTGTAAGAGTTCGTTTTGAAAGTTGTGATGTCTGACAATTCGGATGAGAATTTAAATTTGTCCAACTCACAGTCGCGCCTGATTGAGGTGCACCACGTGGGCGTGACAGCCAAATTGCAATCACCACTGTCCAAATTGTTTCCAGGCTTGAGCTCAACAACCGAAACAGACACATTTCCAGATTCCAAAGCCGAATATAATATGTTTCGGAACGAGACGCAGGACGAGAGCACAGAAACCACTGTGTTTTCGTCACCCCGCGTGCTCTACGAGCTCCACGCAGAGCCGGAGAAGCAACAGCGTCTGCTTGCCAAGAAAATAAAACCTCAACGTATTGAATTCCAGCGCTATTGCAAGGCCAAGCGCCCACATGTTCAAGTGCCGCCACGCAAACGTAAAAGCAGAACCAAACAGGCTAAGGCGGGGAAAAAGGAAAAAGAGCAGCAGAACAGTGGCTTCTTTCAGCGTCTCTTCTCCTCACTGGACAACATGTGCAAATGCCACCCGCAGAGTGCGCGAAACATCATCGACGATCTGCCCGAACCGCAGTGGAATAAAAAGGCGGCATCCCGCCACACCTGCATTGGCATCTATCCCTTTGAGCATGGCTGTGCGGACTATTTAAGCACCACAGACACACATCCCAAAATCAATTCCATAGTACTGGCGGATCGTGCCACTACCTATGCAACACATTTCTGGGCCGAGTTCTTCGGTCTATTGCATATTGCCGTCGCATTTGTTGTAGCATTTGTTCTTCAGTTTTATCGCTTCATCCTCTATTCGGTGGTCAACACTCTTGTCGTTGGACTGCTCCACACCACCTCGGATTATATGATCAAGCCGGCACTGACTGTTGTCTTCAATGGCTTCCTGCAACCGCCCCTGATCTTTATTTATAATATTTTGTGTTCCCTGCGCGACATTGTGGATCCCGTAGCCGACACCGTCAACAATCTGATGAAGCCACTGGCCATGCTGTGTGCCAACGTACGACTGATTAATGTTAACTACAGGAATGTGCGTCGGCTGAACAAGGATGTTTAATTTGTCATCCAGTCAATCACTATATTCTTGTGTTCTATATATTATTTCTCTTTATACAGTTTTCTTTAAATCTTGTTTGTTCCGTTTTAAAATGTTCCGCTGTTTGTCTGGCGATGGGAGGAGCCATCCTGTCAACCCCGAATACTAATGCTGCACATGCTCAGCAAGTCCACCTCACGCTTCTCAGTGCCTCACACACACACACACACACAATTACGCACAAACAAACGTTCTCAGATTACACTCTTGTTTTTCCTCCTCCTGTTCATGGAACTGTAGCCATAACGACCTGGCCCTAGCGCTTTCCTATACAAAGGGTGTGCCCAGAGAGGCACGGAGTGAGCTCAATTATGTCGAATGCAACATTTATGATTTATTTGCTCATTTTGTGGCCTTAGCGACGACGCAGCATGCACCATGGGGCGGTCTGACGAGTTGGCGGGATGGTCCGTTGCGGGAGCATATGGCAAACGCTTTGATTGTTTGTAAAACAGCTAATTACATCCCGTGAGAGTTGCTGTTATGGTCAATTATTTACAATTTGAATGGAAAATCTGTACAGACATTTAAATATATGTACATGTATCCTTCATGCTCTTAGATAGTGGAATAGTGCTTCGATGACAACATTTTTTTCATATTGTGCATTTCAATAAAATTAAATTTATCAAATCGAATAGCCAGTAATATACACGTATATTTAAAATAAGTATAATTGATATAAGTTAATGTTAAATAGGTTGTTACAGCTATAACATGTAAGACTAAGATAAGACTATAGATCTATTACATTAATAAATAAAACAAATTAAAATATAGAAAAACATTCAAATAATATATTCCTATCCAAAATAAAATCTTTTGTAGAGCTAGGTATTCTTTCATAAGAAAGTATCTTTTTTATTAAACACCTTTTTTACAGCAATTGATCAATAAAATACATGTTTTAGAGGAAAAAGGTTTTTTAAATAAAAAACTACTTGTACCTCTGTGGCATGGATCGGAATTCAGCCGCCAGTGTTTTCAGTCTCATAAGAACACTATACATCGATGTTAAATGTTAAGAATACTATTGATTTTAAAACCGAGAGAGAGATACTATTATTCTGCACTGATCTACATATGTATATACCTTTTCTTTATACTATAGTATGAAACAGTTTGTCCTGGCAATCATTGCACAGTCCAGACGGAAAGAGCTACGAAGTGTAGGCGGGCTCTAGAAAGCTATTGAGTTTTGAATTTTTTACTTTTAGAAAGAATAGGAAACAAACTGCACTCGATTTTTAAGATTTTAAGTGAAAAGTCTTCACTCTTGTGTCGTTGAAGCGACAGTAATTACTGGGTGTGCCAAAGAGAGAAAGGTGCTATTATCACAAATCCAAGAATAAGTTTCCGTTTCCTCGCAAGCCTAGAACTTAAAGTATTAGACTTTAAGGTATTAGATCTAGGAAAGGGATTGCTGTTCCCAAGGGCCGTTTCAACCGTTAGCTCTGCTAGAAAGTAATATCTAATAAAACTAACCTTACACTGGTATCTACTTAATAAGGTGAAACATTATGGCTAGATCTTCACAATTTATAAGAAGTATGATAGTTGTAAGAAGGGAACGCTATATTTATAATTTTAAAGTAAAATTGATTGTGTCTCCATTTTTCAATCGATCGCCATACATTTTAATCTATGGAAAATATTCAATATCATCGTCGTTTATTGAGAATATGGATTCAGTTCAATTTGGATTAGTCAGTTGTCTGAGGTCTTAGGTCATTAGATACTTATTATCAGCTATTAACAGTAGCTCTGGTCTATCATAATTCCTCCTGGTTTTACAAACTTCCTTAGATACCATGTAGATAGTCTATATCTTTTGAGCGAAGGTTGAACCTAAAGCATTTAAAAGATCACGAATTGAGAAATTATATCTACATAAATTTGTTATTTTATAATAATTATTTATATTGCATTTACTTCGAACTGGTTGGCTAATTGATTCCGACATTTCGTAATATTTCGTTAGTTTTAACATAAAGGACCAGAGCGTGTAGAAAACGTTATTTCTTAAATTATAGTAAACACAATTATAAAGTAATAAAAATATATTCGCTCTATATTTCATTTTTCACGTGTGCTTAACTCTTTCAACGCAGACCTCTTTATTGTAAACACCGTTCATATTCTTTGAGTTTTCACTTCCAGGTGAGTTGCTTTACGTGGAATTTCCTTAATGTCCTTAAACCTTCAAATCAACGAAAGTGATCTACAATGATTCTTATCAACGGATTAGACCAACTACTTTGTTTTGTAATGGAAAGTGTGTTGGCATGGGCATTTATTATGAATTTTGTAATTCTTAGAAAACGTATTTAGATTTTAAAAAACCTCATGATATGCAGGAAAAACTGCAATTTTCACTATCCCAATTTTTCAGCTGATGTGTAAAGAGAGAAATCGCGTTGAACTAAAAATGAAACATGTTTTGTTTCATAAATTTAGATAAATTATTCTTATTATTATATAAATGAACAATTACTGACGAGTAGCTATAAAAAATACTAAGTTCTAAGCTGAAGCAGATAATGAATTACTAATAATAGTATTAGTAATACTAATAATAATAATAATTAGTATTATTAATATGATATATTTATTTAAGCCAAAGTTATGTGTAAAGTCCTAATAAGAAAATCTTGTATGTTTCTAAACACTGATAGAAACAAATCCAAAGATATGTAGTTGCCATGGGAACAACCGTTCCGAAAATAAGGGTAGAAGCTTTTTATAACTAATTTAAAAATTTAAGTATTTCTATTTAAAAGCACCCGAGTAGAATGCATATGAAATTGAAGATAAAATGTTATCGTTTCTCTATGCGTTGCTTGTGTTCATATGAAAGTTAAATACAAATACTATAAAAACAATTGCAATGCTAATGTACACAAATAGTTCTCATAGTAAACGAAACAATATTCCTATTTGTTGTTTATAGGCCGATATGAAAGTGGAGATTCAGTCAAAGGCGGTGGCGCAGAGCTTCATTAATGGAAATAATGGGATCATTGTTGTAGAAGTCTGACTAAGGATCGTTTTACAGCGCATTTCATAGAGCATTCGCATTCTGGTGACACCCACACACACCCCTTTTTGGATTACCGGCTAGATGCCAAGAACTAAAACAAACCCAATTAGCTGTAAAAATGTGCCCGAGTCGGAGCATATCAGAGCATATGGCTGATATTAATGAGGTAAAATTTGTGGGCATTGATTGATTTGCGTTGCTAATGGCAAGAACACTCATATGTGTGGTCGCAATCGGAATATTATAAATCGGTTGTACACATTATGTATGTTGATTACTTAATCATGTGTTCAGTTTATACATAATATAGTTACTATATAGCATATATAAATAAGTTATAAGTTATACACCCATACACATTATGTCAGTGATAATTGGGGAAAAATATTCGAGGTGGCTGCAAGGCGAAGAATATTAAAATTAAATGATGCTTAAGCGAATAAGCAACTGAATTACAGATGATGAATTTTTTAAGAGTTGATTTTGAATCTGTCAAATGTGTAATATACTTACTTATGTATATAATATGATGAGACGAGTTGGTATAGCCGTCTCCGTCTGTTTGTATGAACGCAAGGATCGCGGAAACTATAAGAGCCGAAATAACCAAGCATCGTATCAATAATTTCCTGAACAATATACTTGATAATGAAACTATAAGAGCCGAAATAACCAAACATCGTATCAATAATTTCCTGAACAATATACGTGATTTCATTTTTAAATTGAATTCCTTTTATTCTTAATCTTCTATGTTTTACTTCTGTTTATTCCACAAGTAACTTGTTTAATTCATCATTTTTGATCATAATCTATTATTAGTTTTCAAAATAATATAAAATTGGAATTAATTGATGGCAAAAAACATACATGAAAAGAAAACGGATTTAAATTTTTCACATGCTTCTTGGATAATTCATTATTAAGGCATAAATCACCATTAATTTCTATATCGTAAGCTCTCTTTTTTTTATTAAAAATGAAATATTTCTTGCCATGAAAGCTAAATTCTTTTTAGAAGTTAACGTTACAAATAACATCATAGACATTTAAGTGTAAATTCAGGCGAAAATATCCATAAAATAGAGTATTTTTAAAGTATTTCTAGCTACGAAAGTTACCTTCTTAAATAGGGAAAGGCAATGTTCAGATTTTTTCAAACAATTGATGACAAGGTGCGAAAAATCGTTTTCTTCCTTTGTCGAAACCCTCTCCCACACACACACACGCACACACAATGCCTTAAAAACAGACATCGTTTGCTCATTATTGTGTGATCGACAAGCAGATAAAAGACCCAGGACCCAGGACCCTGAACTAGACTGCCAGACTGCATTTATGAATGACAGACAAACACTTTACGAGTAGAGGCGTTTGTTGAGAATTTCGGGATTAGAGTTGTTAAGCTGTTTGGTGGGCCTGGCATTTGGCTTCATTAGGCTGTTTGTGGCTGGGATTACGCAGGTTATTCCTTATAAGCCTCGTCTATATATCTAGCATGACGTTAGCTAAATTTTTTTGCAAGAAGTTAAGCAATCTGAACTCACTCGTCCATGACAATGGATTTCAGTGAAAAAGGATGCTCTTCTTACATAACCTGTCTGGCAATGAACAATATAACAAGAATAGGGCGATTATTTACCCATGTACAGTGGTATTGCATTGCATCATAGTCCTTGCATATGTTACACTGATAGAAAAAATACAGTCTGAAATTCGTTCTTGAAATCTCAAGTACGAAATACACTGAAGTGTGCTTCAATCAAGTTCGATCGAGATGGATGAAGGCCAATAAATGTATAAAAATATGCTTGATTTACTGGTGATATGCTTGATAATGCCGTGTGGTGTAAAAAATTGTGTGTAATAAATTTTAGATAAAAAAAGAGAATGGAATGCGAGACTTTAAACAACTAATGGTTATCGTACGAGATAATTAGTGCTAATAGTTTCTGTCTTACTTCTTGGTCATGTAAATAATATTATATGTACACAAAGTCCATAAATTTCGTAACTGAGGCAAAATTTGTTCACTATGTTCACAAACATGTTATGTAGAGTTCGCAGAAATAATCAGTCAATTTTAAAGAATAATTTATTTTAATATTGACGCGTCAAGAAAGACTTCAGAATCAAAATCTAAACCGAACAAGAAATTCAAATTCAAAAAGAATGATGAAAAGTAAATTTCGCTTACATTTATCTAAAATGTAAATAAATCATTTAATATTAAGTATTTCATTTCATTTAAAATGTACGTGCTGGTCGGTATTTGCTCTTGATGGCCGTGCTGGAAATACATATGTCTGTTAAATGTCTTCAATTTAATAAAATTTAATGTTTTTGTCATGAAATGATTTTATAGTTAAAACGCATTAAATAGTATTATTTTGTTTTTGACTGTGAAAACTTAAAATTTTGATTAAAACATGCATAATACATAATAATACATGATCAATGGAAAAACGTAAAAAAATCAAACCCAGTTCCATTTTCGACCACTTTAGATAGCCTACGATTTTTTCTGCATGCGCCCTTCCTCGGAATATATTAATTTAGAAATATTTGAAAATGAAATAATTAAAGGGAGTAAACTGAAACTGAACGATCTGTTCTGCCATAGATGAATATAAATAAATGAAAATGATAGATGTCATCATATGTTTTTAAATCATGATTTGCATTAAGCACAAAGCATTTGTGTTTACAACTCGAATTAAAAGTACGCAAAAAGTTTTGCATATAAACATGTGTATATAGACATAGCTATACATATACTTGCATGTATGTATATATCACCTACTATATGCATAAATACATAATCATATTTTTTGGTGCACTTGGCAGCGAGTTGCATTAATGTGCAGCGTAGTACATATTTTGAATCAGACACCAACCGAGCATTCCGAAATCGGCCATACTCAGCAAAACATGATAGTGTGGGAACCGAAGCGCCGATCTACAGACAGAAATGAAAAAAAAAAGAAAATAATTCAAAAGCATAACAACCAGAAAGCGTGTGGCTATGCGAGATCAGTGCTTTCGTTTCTATCATTAACAATAAATAAGCTTGGGCGCTTAGAGGGCTAAGTCCTGACACGTGATTTGAATAATGAAATAAAATTACCCTCATGGGATTAAAGAAAAAAACAAACACAAGCCTTTTGCGGTCAATTAATGTGCACACCTCCAACTCAATGTCCTGTCGGAGGGCGTTGCTATAACAACAATGGACAACTAAGCCTTTGCTGCCTATCCGCTCTCAACAGTAGCTCTCTTCTCAATCACTGTCAATCACTCGATTTTAATGCACCTGTGGTGCACACTCAACACTCGTCAACTTCATCAGCAACAGCAGCAGTTCATCCCCCCCACACACGCATATACATACACATACGTACTATATGTATGTATGTATATTTTACTCCAACAATTGATCGCGCAACATATTGCGACAATAAAAAGGACAAATCTGCTGTTGCACACTCGTGGGATTTGGATTTCTGAATATCTGTCTGTGTGTGACGAAATCATGGGATTTCGAAATTGTCAACCCTCCTAATTTTGATGCTTAATGAATTCTTTTCAACGCACCAACAACGCCTGGCAACCATTGTTTAGCCTTTTTGTGGATTTGTCACCTTTGTCGTGTCATACACACACACACACACACACGCGAATAGATATTTGGAAATGTGATTTTTACGCTTGGGCATGAATGAGGAGCAATCTGTAATTGAAATTTGATGCCATTAGATGATGACAACAGCAACAACAACAAAAAGCAAAGTAGCACCAACATTTTTGCAGGCAGCGCCCTTTATCAGCACTGTTGCCTCGAAGGCATCGAGTTGCATCTCGACACTCGCTGGTCTATTCGCTTTTTGGCTACTTTAAAGTCGTTCTTTTCGTGCAAAAAAAAAAAAAAACACTTCCACATGAATTGTTAAGCAATGTCATAGATATTTGATGTAATTTCTGAGAACTGCGCCATGGCATTCAATATTAGAAACGAGCTCTTTGGTTGCTGCCCACCTACAGAATGGGGTCATGACGTTATAATTGAAATTTGAAATTTAAATTAAATGTAGAACGCAAACACACACATTCGCACCAGGAACTATTTCAAAATGGCCGTCTATGGCCAAGCAACGCCCACGGAACAGGATATACTTATGCGTGCAATGAAACGGAAAGAAACAAAACAACCACCTAATTAGCTCCTCCTTCTCATTCAATAACTGCAAAAAATTAAATACTTTTTCAGATCAGTTTAAGCAAATTTCAGAAATAAATATTAACTAAGCAAATTTTGACATTTCTTTTTATAATTAAAAAATATATATTTTAAAAGTGTTCTTTACTTGTCTCCCACAATTGAAAGATTGCGCTTGCGCGTGTTCCATTTCCAATCGTCCTTGAATGCAATTCGTCGCTGTTGTCGCTGCTGCCGCTGTCGACGCTGCTGCTGCGCTGCTGTCAGTTTGCAGTGCTCAGTTCGTTTTGAGCTTGCACCGTGCGCGGTTTGTGTTCGGGCTACTCGCAATAGAAATTTTGATTCTTTAAAATACGAATACTACAATTCGTTGTGATAATTATCCTGCATATACATACATATGTATATAAAAGATTCTTAAAGATTATAACTGTAAAAAAAAAAACATATGAATGGCAATTGCCTAAGTGGGCCTCTAATGTTGGTGCACTTTATTGAGTAAAAATGTTTGAAAAGGCCATGGATACAACGAACTTATCATCTTCAATTAATGGCGATCTGGACTCGACCAGCTCCGCCGGCACATGCTCCGAAAATTCCACAGCGCAGCAGGATAATCTCAGCTCACCCATGGCGTATGGATCGCTATTTTTGCCAAATGCTGGTAAGACTGAAATTTCCTAGACCCCAGACTATTTAGCTGCACTGGTTATTATCAATTGGTCAGCCAAAGACGATATCAGATTACATGAGGCAGGCGTCAATGAGGCGCTGCATAAACAATTAAGGCCTGAGACTGTTTTGTTTTTGCTGAGGATGTCAACATTTTTTTCAGTCGTACATACTCTATAAAGTAGCTTAACAGATTCGCTATTCCATTGGTAACTGCATTAAAGGAATTTTTCAAATAATATCTGCAAGAAATTTGTAATTCACCATAGAGAGGCTAGTTAAAAAAAAAAAGTATACCTTCAGAGTAAAAAAATCGCCATTAAATAAAAATATATATAGCTGACTGATCTTGATCTGATCAAATTTCTTTTCAACAAGTGTTTTATTGAAGTCACTCTCTTTTACAAGTTTTAAAGCAGTAAAGAAATATTTATTTCTTTGATTTTAGTACAAGAATTTCATTTTAGAATTTGCGCATTAACTTCTATCATGGCTTTGAAATCACATTTCAAACATTTCTGACTTAAAATATCCTATAAAATATATTGTTTCTGTACAGCCCATAGATAATATACACATATTGTTTCAGTATAGTCCTTGGGTAGAAAACCCACTTTAAGATTATACACAAATGTGGGAACAAACGAGTCTTGGGGTAACAAACTATGCCCACAGGGTCGAAGGCGTTAATTAGATATTATTGTAATTTAATTAGATTTCTCCTTCGTAGACTTTTCTAGCTTATAAGATGCTTTTTATAATTTTTATATATTTTCCTCCTATGTCGACAGTCAATGATTTTTGACATAAATTAAAAAATAAATAAAAAAAATAATTAAATAATGTGGACCGATCCCGCTAAATCAAAAGTGTATGACTCTGCCGGTATTCTAAAAATATTTATTAAAAGTGGAAGGAAGTGTTCATAGACGTTTTAGGCGCTTTCGTAAAATCGCAAAGTGTATTTGGAAAGTTGGACCTTAAATAAATTACTGTTTCGCCATTTCTTTTACAGATTTGATAACTAGACTATGTAGCTTTGGGTTAAAAATGCTTCCACATCTATATTAACTATGTTAAAAAGGGCAACTAATAGTTTACCTTGTGTGCCACGGCCATTGCCAAAATGAATAATCAATGCACTTAGCATGCATTTCGCTGTTTTTTTTCCATAATTAAATACATATATACACTTAAATACATATATGTATGTATATTAATAAATGTTATGTGGTTTCTCTGTATGTGTGTGTGCTCATGTCTCTTTCTGGTCAATATGATATTGTTTTGCCGTCTGAGGCCGCTATGGTGTTGAAAGACAACGCTGCTCATGTATAGAATTCGATTAGTCACATGCAAATGCGATTTGTTGGGTTTGGGGGGAGGGGGCTGTGATGGCGAAAGTAGCACGTGAGAAAGGCAACCCAATCGTGAAAACCCGAAAACGATGATGTTAATATTACAGTCTATCCCTCTATTTAACAAATACAGGCTATCGCGGAAATATTTCGTGTAAAACCGTTTTACAATTGGACAAATTTGCGCCCTACGAATCGACAGAGAAGGATCTCATTGAGCGACGATTTCAGGACATAACCAACGACTACGATAAGTCGCCACCACCCACTGCTGCCACAACACCCACACACGCATATCCCAACCTGAACAGCATTATTTTTGAGAACGGCACTCTGGGCGATCTGAATGGCAACACAAAATCGGACGCACTTTGCGGCAGTCTTCAGCGAGCTCCAGCAGGCAGCGGTGGTCATCTGATATCCAATCTGACCGCCGCACACAATATGACCGCCGTCGGCAGTTTCCCCATCGATGCCAAAATGCTGCAGTTCTCCACAGATCAGGTAAACAAAATAAAGTAAAAGTATTAAAAGAAAAAGAATCCTTAAATGTTGCACACAAATCGCTTCAATTTAAGGTCCTTTATCTTAAGACAAAATCATTAACATTTGATGCTGAAATACTTTCGGAAATTTAGGTAAAATCTTGCTCAAGTTTGCGACATGTATTATCCAAATATTTGACAGACCAAAAGTTTAGCTTTACTTACCTTTTTTTTTTTGTTATTAACTTACAGATCCAGTGTATGTGCGAAGCTTTGCAGCAGAAAGGCGACATCGAGAAACTAACGGCCTTTCTGTGCAGCCTGCCCCCCAGCGAATTCTTTAAGACAAACGAGAGTGTGTTGAGAGCTCGTGCCATGGTCGCCTACAATCTGGGACAGTTCCACGAGCTGTACAATCTGTTGGAGACGCATTGCTTCTCCATCAAATATCATGTGGATCTGCAGAATCTCTGGTTCAAGGCGCATTACAAAGAGGCGGAAAAGGTGCGAGGTCGCCCCCTTGGAGCTGTAGATAAATATCGACTTCGGAAAAAGTACCCTCTGCCCAAGACCATTTGGGATGGCGAGGAAACAGTGTATTGTTTTAAGGAAAAGTCTCGCAATGCGCTCAAGGACTGCTACCTCACCAATCGCTATCCCACACCCGACGAGAAGAAAACGCTAGCCAAGAAGACGGGCCTCACCCTCACCCAAGTGTCAAATTGGTTCAAGAATCGGCGGCAAAGAGACCGTACGCCACAACAGAGACCGTAAGTAAAAGAAACTGCTTGCTTAACTATTTGCTAGTAGAAAATACATAATTACACCAATTTCCTCATAACTCGTAAAATAATTCAAAGTACGCGCACTTCGGCACTTGAGTCATGTTTCTCAAAAATCGATTGCTTCGGATTTGGTATTAAAAAAAATATTTAAGCGACCGTAAAACACTTGCAATCGGTCAGTCCCGGTCCCAGGGCCAGGCCCAGGCCCAATTCCATTTACATTTTCTAAAAACCACTTGAGCGTGTTTTATGTCCAATTTTGCAGCTCCTTGGGCACGGTCCTATGCATATTTATAGACCGTTGGTCGCCAGCGTTGACGGCTAGGGGACGTGCCCATGCCCTAACGCAGCGCATGCGTGTAGCATGTGCCGCACCACACCGAGCTCCCCGCTGTTTGATCATTTGAATGTGCCAGCCACACAAACTACATACATATACATAAATGTATGTATGTATATACAGGCACTTACATACATACATATATATATATTCCAAGCAGGCTCAAATTGCAGCATACAAAAATAATGAGAATAAGTGTAGTAATTTATTTTCGTATTTATTTCTTGCAGTGATATCATGTCCGTCTTGCCTGTCGGCCAGTTGGATGCCAGTGGATTTCCGCGCATGTTCAACGCACCGAGTTATTATCCTGAGACGATTTTTAATGGGCAGTAGTACTGAATACATATAATCTGAAATGATGACAGCACTGCTTTGTAAATAGATTTAATATTAATTGGTCATAAAATGGCAATATATTGTAGTTCTAGTGTTTAGTTAACTGCATTCTGCTTTATATGTATATTGTACAGAAAAGGTAACGCAATAATATAATAAATAAAATATGTTCACAATTATGGTGGATTTTGCTGTTTATATGGATTATAAATGGTTTATAAGATAAATGATAGATTACAATGGTGGCGCACTAATCCACATCAAATTTTAATTTGTAGAATAATGTGGTATATTGAACGAATCTGCTAAAAGGTTAAGCTATAGTAAAATACACTCGAGTTTATTGTGCCTGTTAAACAACAGTTATCTCCATCTGGTTTTTTCCCTATTTTCGCCAATTTGAAATTGTTTCAACTGTAACGGTAAAGCTGCCACGTTGTAAAAAGCTGTTCTGCCGCACATCTGGCAGCACCGCGTTAGCAGCTGTGAATCATTTCCATAAGGTATATACAAATTTGTAGTAAAAAATTGTAAATACTTTTTTGCGGTGCTCCAAACCATAGGCCTTAACCCGTGCACGTGATGTCAAATAGCTCTAACGGCCGCCTGAGCGAATATTTTGCGAACGACCCACCCAGCTTTTTTGATGAGCTAAAGCCCAAAGATACTCCCACACAAGCACAAGCACAACAAACAGGTGCGAGTGCAGGAATGCAGAAAAGTGAGAACACAAATATGTTGGCGACATCCTTCACAGGATGCTTTAAACCGCCTGAATATGTAGAGACCAACCCAGATACAGAGGACGATCTAAAAGTTAGCGATGATGTGCGAAATTTATGGGACTTTCAAGGCAAGCAAAGTGATTCTCTTATTATGCCTGGTATCCACACACCCGCTGATCTGGTAGATGAATTAAATGCACAAATAGTTATAGATTAACTAACCAGAATACCTCATTTTTGTAGCCCGACCACATTAGCATAGCAGTAACACAACACTTGGGTGATTCTGAGCTGGCTCATCGAAAAATCCTTGGTGTGGATGATGTCACACAGGACGAACGCGGCCTACGTTCCCTGATGTATGCAGGGTGCTATCGTGCCGCTGTTAACCTGACAGGCAGACTCTTGACTATATATGGGCAGGGCTATGGCCGCGCGGGTCAGCCAGCGAAACATTCACCTCATTCACTGCAGCTCTGGTTCACACGATTGGCTCTACTTGCTAAATTAGGAGAGTTCGAACTGCTACAAGCAGAAGCCTCACCTTTTGAACAACTAAACGCCCCCGATGTCTTCTACGAATTCTATCCCGAAATGTACAATGGCAAGAGCGGCTCGATAGCGTGTTTCTCATTTAGGCTGCTCCTCGCAGAGCTCCCGATTTACCTAGGAAAGCCACATGTGGCGCTGGACAATCTCTCCGAACTACACGTTACCAGCAACGAGATCAGGGAACATTTTCAAAAAATAAAAGATACTTCCGCCGAGGAGTTCTGGCAGCGACGCTCCGAGAGGGTATTGCATTCGATCATAAACTGTGCCTTAATGGTGAGTTTAAAACTAAAAGGTCGATTCCCTTGTGCAAATAAATCTCATTTACAGATGAAGAAATTCAACATGATCGATGATATAATTGGTGGCATGCTTTTAACGCGAGCTAATCTGACCAAAGAGGAGCAGCGAGCTCTATACTCGGCTTGGGGACGCATATATTTGCAAATTGGTGATATTTTTGGCGCTGAGCAAAAGTTTGCTGTCTCTCGTCGGCTACGAGAAATGTATGTTTCCTTCCGAACTGAGGTAAAAACTGTGTGTGTAACTTTCATTTTTTTATAATTTAGAAACTCCCAGCCTGACTTGCGAGACTTAGTGGACAAAGGACTCATTTCTGTTGCCAAAAACGACTTTCCCGAAGCCTATCTAGTATTCCAAAAGGCCCTGCATTTAGATTCCGGCAATACAATGTTGTTGAACAATATGGGAGTCTGTTTGCTGTATGCCGGCAAATTAAAGGACGCCATCAATTTGTATGAACGTGCCATCCATATCAATCCACAGAAATCATTGAATGAGAGCCTGTTGGTCAATTTGTCTACGCTATACGAATTGGAATCGAATAATTCAAAGGCTAAAAAGTTAAATCTGTTGCGCTTGATTAACAGATTTAAGCCAGACCTAAATATCAGTATTGAGCTTTGTTTAAAACTGCAAGCGACTAACTAGTAAAGATTTTAATACTGATTGACATTAACATTCCCAATCTCCATCCAGCAAAATATTTATTTAATAAACTCGTTCTGTAAAAAGATGTTCTATTCCATTTGTTCCAATGTGTCACTGTTGGCAATTATTAGTATCTGCTACGTAGCGCTATGTGCTGATGAACGCAACCCACGTTTTTAACATGTCGAGTTGGCAGCACAGGTCGTGTGGCAGCGCTTTGCAAAGCAGACGCAGAGAATTTATTTTTTTCAGCAATTAATTTGTTTCTAAATTGCTTGAAGAAAACGCGAAAATACGTAGATTACGTCTAAATGTTTGAAAACACGTAGCGCGTGTTTTTATTAATAGGATAGTTGAAATTCGGTGAGTTTAGTGGCATTTAAATGCGTTTAAAATATTGCCACACGAAGAAGGCGTAGATAAAATGGAAAATTGATATTTGCTGTGGGTGAAAAGAAAGTGTAGAGAAATTTTCGGTGCAGCTTGAATGTTGTTTATATCCCAAAACTAGTATGTTTAACAATTTTCATGTCTCATATGATAAGTGCACATAAATGAGAAACGCGAGCTGCCCCAAAACAAATAAATAATGATTGTTTTTAGATGACGATCTGTGCATTCTTTGTTTTGATGGAAAAAGCGCGCCATTATTTCGTGTGGTATGGTATGACGTAGGCACAGGGGCCAAGCATCAGCGACCAGTGCGCGCATTGGTGGCGCAAGTGCAATTGTTTATGGCATGCATAATATAATTGCATATTTGTGTGCAAATGCATGCATATCCGTGTGTGTATATGTGTGCAGTGCAGCCAACAAAGTTGCTAGCAAGTGTATTTGTTGTATTTTTTATTCGTACGGACCGCGCATACACTATAGGTACACGCTCGTCAAAACATATACACATCACACACATAACACAGGCCAAAAATCTCTATTCTTTTACAATTTGTTTTGATTTCTCATTCATTTGCTTCTTCTTTCAAAGCTCTCTTGCACACTCTCTCAATCTCTCTCCCTCTCTCTCAACAAAAGCAAAGAGCTTTGTAAGAAATTCTGCCTGTTGTATGGCAGGTTGATTGGTGTGATGTGTTGTTGTGGGTAAGGCTATGGTCAGACTGCATTTAATTTGCACACATATTTGTGTTACTTTACAAGTTGGCTTAACAACAATTACAGAAAGTTAATTAGTTTTAATTGAAATTCGACAAATTTGTGTAAAAATTGTTAAATGTTTGGCCAAGCCTTCACACTCCTAATTAAAAAAAAATAATTCTAAAATATATAAGGCATTGACGTTAAATAAAATCATCATATTGGGGAACTTCAAGGAAGACCGCTAAACTTCTTCCGGCCAACTACTCGTTTGCTACACTCCGACTCTCGTTTGCCCGATACCTCTCCCTTGAGTGTCCGTTGCTGACTAGCGCAACGTTCATGTTAAGCCACCATTTTAATGGTTGTTGGTTGGTTTCTCTGCTCATTCAATTTCTTCACCATGCGTGAGAGCGCGAGCGGCTCGCTCTCTTGCCGTACTGAAAATGTAAACATTTATTTAAATAACGCTAACCACCAACAACCCGCACACGCATACATCTATAATTTCAGCGATCAATGGCAGCCAGCAACAACAACAGTAATATGCACAACATGGGGACAGGCATGCAGTCACTGCAACCGCTGGGTACAACAACCACGGCCGGGGTCATGGGTCAATCAGTGATTGCATCGACCGGCACAGTAAGCCCGATGCTGGCCCTTAATTCTACCGCCGGCGGCACACCACCGAGTACAATAGCAGCAGCACCAAGCGGCAGCAGTTCATCCACTCAAAGCGCCTGGGATCAATTGACCGCCAGTGTTTCCAATAATGGAGCGCCAGGTGCAAGCAGCAGTAGCGCACCCATCGCATTGCCAAGTGGGAGCGGGTCCAGCACGACTGCCAATGATACAGCGGTACACATGAGCGCTGGCAGCTCACCAGTGGCTAGCTGCTCGTCGCCTTCGACACCGACTAAGACACATGTGCCATCTCTGGAGGGCATGGCTCACACGCCGCAGGGTCCACCTACTATGGGTGGTGGATATGGCGAGGAGCTGACAGCGGAGCTGGTCAACCAAGGCTGGCGAAAGTTTTGGTCCAAACGTGAAAATCGTCCATACTATTGGAACAAAGTGACAGGTGAGTCGCTTTGGGAAATGCCAGGTACTCGCCCCTTCGATCCGCTTACAGACCCGTTGGGTATATGCCATGCAGGCGGTGGTCCTACGCCCATTAATATGCCACCACATATGCAGCAGCATCATCATCATTTAAAACGTCGGCCCTCAGACGACATGCACATACATCCGCACCAGCAACACGGACCACACGGCGGGCCACCTTTAAAGAAATTTGTTCTGGCCGGGCCCTGGGATCTAGAAGTGTGCACAAATGCAGTTATAGTGGAGCGTCCACCAACGCTGCTGCCACAACCACATCCAGAAATGGAGGCGCTGCGCGCCGCCTTCAGCATGAAGCTGTTAAAGACGTACGAGGATCTGTGCATGCGTAGGGAGAACATCAAGGCACCACGCGATTCCTTCAATCGCTGGCTGATGGAACGCAAGGTCATCGACACGGGTTGCGATCCATTGCTTCCCAGCAACTGTCTGCCCGAAATATCTAGTTCTATGTACCGCGAAATTATGGCCGACATACCTATCAAGATTGTCAAGCCGAAGTTCACAGGCGACGCTCGAAAGCAACTTTCCCGCTATGCCGAGGCAGCTAAACAGATCATCGAGTCACGCTCGGCACCCGCCGAATCCAAAAAGGTTGTTAAATGGAATGTGGAAGATACCTTTCAGTGGCTCCGACGTACAGTCGGTGCCAGCTATGAAGATTTCCAGGATCGTCTGGCGCACTTAAAGCGCCAATGTGAACCTCATTTGGTGGAGACCGTCAAGAGTTCGGTTGAAACGCTGTGCGTTAAGATTTATCATTTATCCGCCGAGCATGCCCGCAAGATACGAGAACGTCATCTGCAGCTACTGAAGGAACATGGTATTCCAGAGCCGACGCCGCCACCACCCCCACCGCATTTGAAGAAGGTCTGGTGCTATCCCATACAATTTGCAGTGCCCTCGCCACGAATGCCGGCCATCGAGTATCTGCAGGATCGCGATCACATGATTATCAAATACACGCCCACGACTATCAACCAGCCAGATGCCCAGTATATTAACCTGACCTATCTGCAGAAACTAGAGCAGCTCTATCGTCACAATTGCTTCGACGACAAGAAGTTCGATCTATTTATTGGTCGCGTCTGGTGCTTGTTGAAGCGCTATCAAACATTTCTGGGCAATGCGTTGAACTCGTCTCAAGAGGCAGAGTTGACCCAGGCCGCCCTACCTGTGCCCGTCTTTGAGTGCCTGCATCGGCATTTTGGTGTCAGCTTTGAGTGCTTCGCCTCTCCATTTAACTCGTACTTCCGACAATACTGCTCGGCCTTTGCGGACACCGATGCGTATTTCGGTTCCCGGGGGTAAGTACAACGAGTCCTTTTCGATGTCTAGCTGTGCTAATTTAACATTAACGCTCTATTTCTATAGACCCTTCTTGGACTTTAAGCCGGTTTCGGGTTCCTTTCAAGTGCATCCGCCGCATTGCGAGGAACTAATTGACGCCAGTCTAGTGCATATAGACAAACTCCTTACGGACTCCATGGAGCCACTAAGGTAATTAGTAGAATTAGTAATGAATAATGAATCAAATTTATTAACAGAGGTAATCTTTAAATTAATTGGAACCAACTATTCAATTTATAATAATATTGAAATTACAAGTTATTACATTGTGTGATATCAATTTCCTTTTCTTTTTGCTTCCTTTTTTTTAAATTAAACTTTAAATTTTATTTAAATTCGCAATGGCTTGTAATAATAAACATTAAGCTAATGAATTACTTCTTTTGTGTCTGCAGCTTTATTGTATTCCTGCCCGAATGGAAGAGTATATCCAAACTTGAGGAAAGCATGTACAAGAGGCGTTCCATGGTGGTACTCGGCATGGCACACGAGTACAGACATGGCTATCAGCATATGATGCAAAAGTAAGTTTATTTTATAAACCTAATAAAAGAGCAGGTATTCAAACAGTCCTTTTTCAGATCCGAGGTGCTCATCAAGTGCATGCAAGGCACACAGGTGGTTTGGTTACAAAATAGCGCCGGCTATGCGCGCTGGGGACCCAACGAGAACCGTGTGGAAGCTTTGCGTGAAGCGTTCCGGCCGCAACGCGATCGTGAGCGTGAACGTGCAGCTGCTGCCGCTGCTGCGGCGGGAGCTAACAGCAGCAGTCAACAGCAGCAGAGTGCTCCCTCATCACAGAGCACAGCCACGTCGGTAGTAACGTCTGCACCGGCAACGCCTGCCTACACGACAGCAGGAGGCGCATCAGCCGCAACGACGGCAACAGCAGCCCCAACAAGCGCCACATCCTCCCCAGCGTCGTCTTCCGTGCTAACGCCACTGTCGCCGCACACGCCCACAGCCAATCCGCCCCAGTTTCCGCTTACCATAAGCAATAGTAGCAGTAGCAGTAATCTGGTGGCTGCTTCCCCCACAATGAGCGTGCAAAGCGATTGCTCTTCGCCATCTTCATCGACTATGTCACTGTCGCCAGCACCTGCTTCCGGCGGCTACCCTGATGGTGGCTCCACAGCAGCCGCCGCAGCAGCGGCCGTGTCCATTACGGCCACGGCCAGCACATCAGCAGGCGGAGCGTTTGCTACCACTAGCATCAACACAACGGCCTCGACACAGGCTGTCATTAACTCTGCAGTTTAGGCTAGGAGTCTGTAAAACTCTAAGAACCATTCACTTAATCGTTGGATAATTTCAGGGTGATGAATGGAACAGATTTGTCTGCTGTAGTGTCAGTACCTAGAACAGTTTATTTTCTGGTTAGTGTCGCTGACTCTTAAGGCTAATATTTAGTTTAAAAGAAATACTAAAGAAACTCTTCATACAAAACCTATCCAGATTTTGTTCGATCGTGTTTAATTTTTCACAAATTTTGCATGGAGATTTCTTTTTCTCAATGAAGTCGATCCTAAAGCTAAAAGTTCTCTGAGTGATTTACTTGAATATACCTTTCTAAAATAGCCTTGAGGATAGTATTTGGGATTAAAGTCATTCTTTGGAAACTTTTCACATGTCATAATTTGTTGATCAATTTAGCATGAAATTTGTTGGTATCTCTTTTGGACCGAATAATCAATTTAAAAACAAAAAAAATTTATCTATATACATATAGAATTGGGCTAAGTCCCACTTTTGTGTTTCCTTTATTTAGGTTAACAATTAGGTGTAATTTTTTGAAGAAAAAAAAACAATCTTTATATATAATGGTAACGACCTTAAAGTTAAAATGTAAATATGTTTTTATCAATAATTAGAAGCTTACTTCGGCCTGGCCGTGGTTACGTATGCTCCACAAAAAAAATAAACAAAATATTAAATACATAGTATGGTCGGGAACCAGCTTAAATTTCTTTACCCAGATTTTAAGGGTATTTAAAAGAGTTCTCCAATACAAAATATACAAACATATACACAAACTTTCGAACTAGAGATGGGCAGGACGACTTTTATTCTGGAACTTATGCACCTTAACTTTCCTTTATCTGTTTACCATACAATATTTTTTTGTTCGCATTCCAAACGAAATTAAAGATATTAGTTTACAAAGAAATAGAGCAACGAAAATATTCATTAATGTTTTCAAATATCAAGCTAATGGTTATTTATCCTCGTCTTCAGCTTACCAATATATGGTTCCTCTGAACACATTCTAATTCATGTGCCCTTAAAAGTCCATCTCCAGTCCAAGCAATCTCAAAATTATTAAAGTGGATTGGACTATCTTTAAAAACATACATATGTATGTACTACTATTAACGAAAAGTTAAACATAAAAATACAATTAAATCTATGTAAGATTAGTAGAGAATCGAATGCGAAAAGAACCAAATTTGTAATTTAAAATATGCGCAACTATGCACCGCACAAGACACAATTAAATAAATTAAATCGGGATGTAGCCAATTTATAAATACATAATATTAAAAAATAATCTGAAAAAGTAGTGACTCTTGGAAACTACAAATTAGACAACAATAAACCTAAGTTAATCTACTTTAAAAAAGAAAGCCATTGCCTGACACAACTCACACATTACCCGCATTCGTGTCGTTTCGAATTCAAATTTTAAGATATACATAATTCAAGTTTCTTTAATTTATTTAAATTGTTATGATGTGAACTTTTTTATTAATACATATTACACACATATATAGATATATATATTGATGTATATCGTATCGTATATGCTATGTATTTAAGTGAGTGTACTTCTGGTAGTAGATATGATGGTTATAGCTGTTGACTATGAAACTTAATCGCTATTAAGCAACGCAAACCGTCTAGGATTTTAATTTACAAACGGCACGGCGATGTCGCAATAAACTAAAGCAGAAATGTTACAACTTGGTTTATTTCTCTGTATTCTACACATATGCCTTTTTCTCTATAATTATGTATGTATGTATATATATATAACAATATATCGCCCAACGAATTAGCATCTGCATTGTGTTCACATGATCTCTAAGCTAGAATCACTGTTTTTGGTGACAACTTCGGTTTCGGATGAACCCGATCCAGAGCCGGCATCGTCGACTTTTTCAATATCGTCAGATTGGCTATGGCGATGATGATGATGAGGTGAGCTGGCTAGTTGCCACGCGGGTATGGAAGGCGCTGTTACGGCGGCCAGTGGGGAGGCGAATTGTTTTCGGTTTAATAGCAAGCCCTTAATGGCATCTAAGTCACTGCGGAAATTGCTGAATTCACGGGTCAGCTGTTGCGTTTGCTCCTTCTGCTGCACCGTTATCAAGTCCTTGACGACATTAATTTCTTTGTTTATTTCCTCAATGCGCGTATCGACCTTCTTATCAATGTCCTCTAGAGCAACGTCAACCGGCTTTCTCTTCGGCTTTCCAAACAAAAACGGCGAAATGTACTTCTGCACAAAATATAAAGAATTGATTGTTTTGCATGTACTTAAATAAAACTTCTCACCTTCCAGAACAAATATATGGCATAGACCAGTCCACTAAAAACCGCCGTGGAGTGGAGTAGTTCACGCAGTCTTCCAAATGTTGTTTGCTGCGGCTGCACTGCTAACTGTGACCCAATATTTATAACCGTGTTTGGATTATTCGGATCTTGGGTATAAACACCAGCGCGTTCGCAGGCCAATTCTATTTCATGGGCCGTAAGACCTTTGGACCGCAGAAACTGCTGCTTTTGGATGAGCGTTGTGTGGCGCACCTTGTTGTTCTGTAGAAAGCTCACCGCAGTAGTTATCTATGTGATTGGGTAATAAATACGATTAGCAGATTAGAAAATCTCAAGGGTCGTCGACATAGCGGCTTTTGCACCTACCAGCGACTCGCGGGGTTGCAGATCTTGGAGCTCATTTTCATTGGTCTGCATCGTCGCACTTGTCCTGGTTGCCAGGATGGTTGTATCGCCCGTGTCCGTATTGGAATTTGTCATTCTGATGTCAACTTGTACTTTAATTTTGTTTTCTTACAAGACCTATTTTATTTTCTTAAAAATATATACAATACGAAGACGGCGAACGGTGCAGCGTAGAAAGCAAAACTGCCGTACTCGGGTGAAGTAACCATAACAAATGTATTTAAACGAAGTGGCAGCACAGTCTGACCAGGCTGGTAGCACTTTAAGTTCGACCCGACTAGGAATTTTCGTTTTTGTGTTTTTTGTATTCTTTTCAAGCGCCGCACAGTAAATTTTCCTTTTAACTAAATATTTGCGTTATTTTCTTTTGTAAAATTGCTGTTTTCATCGCAAATTTAATATTGTTGTGTGACTTGTCGTTTGAGCATCGGAATGCACTCGCCTTTTTAGTTGATTGGCAACTCTTCAAAAAATGGGCTGTCTGTAAAAATTGTTTAACTTGCTCTTGTATTGAATAAGAATAAAATCTGATTAACAATTAAAAAGTAATACGGTCAGCTTAAAGCACCGTGTATTGCAAAAGCAAAGGTTATAGCCCCGATTGGCAAACAAAAATGTCTTGCGCCACTGCTCTGAGTACAGCCAAAGACACGACAAATGCGGCTGCCAGCGTAGCTGGCTCCGTCAATGGAGGAGGTGTGGGTGTGGTAGTTAGCGGCAGTGCTGGTGGTGCATCTGGCGCTGCACCGCCAGGTGGCTCGGCAGCGGTGGCCAGACGCTTTTCTATGGAAGGCGTTGGAGCACGCGTAATACGAGGTCCGGACTGGAAGTGGAACAAACAGGTACGAATTGATTAGGTCGCGATCTTGATCATGACTCGCTGGCTGGCTGACCTCAGAGGTCAGACATTTTATGGCCTTTTAGGATGCGACGCATGGGGCGTCAATTAGTTTAAATTAAATTGCACGCGCTCATGGAACACGGCTCCCGATGAGAATGTTTTTGTTTTTTTACTGACCTACTTTCATGTTAGGGTCGAGATCGTTAGCGAGAGATTTGTCTCTGCTGCGTATAGTCAATACAAATCATATATAGTATGTATGCATATGTATATATATAAATATGTATTTATGTATAAACATCTCGACAGACCCTTAGCAGACAGGTTGCGCATTATCTGTTCGACCGCCGATCTAGGCAGATAATGCGCTTTAACTACAATTTTCGTGTTGTGATTAGCGTAGGTTTGCTTGCAGGCTCTGTTACTTAAGTCCCAACCATCTCAAATTGTGCCTTTTCTGTTTTTCAGGATGGCGGCGAGGGCCATGTGGGTACCGTGCGGAATTTTGAGTCTGCCGAAGAAGTGGTCGTTGTCTGGGACAATGGCACTGCAGCTAATTATCGATGTGCAGGCGCTTACGATCTGCGTATTTTGGACAGCGCACCCACAGGGGTCAAACATGAGGGAACTATGTGCGATACCTGTCGCCAGCAGCCAATTTTCGGCATACGTTGGAAGTGCGCCGAATGCATTAACTATGACCTGTGCAGCATTTGTTATCATGGCGATAAGCACCATTTGCGCCATCGCTTTTATCGCATAACCACGCCAGGTGGGGATCGCACGATGCTTGAGCCGCGTCGCAAATCGAAGAAGGTACTGGCACGCGGAATATTTCCCGGAGCGCGAGTTGTTCGTGGCGTCGACTGGCAATGGGAAGATCAGGATGGCGGCGTGGGGCGACGAGGTAAGGTAAATGAGATACAGGACTGGTCCTCGGCCTCGCCACGCTCCGCTGCATATGTCATCTGGGATAATGGCTCAAAAAATTTGTATCGCGTTGGGTTCGAAGGCATGGCCGATCTAAAGGTGGTGAATGATGCCAAAGGTAGTAATGTCTATCGCGATCATTTGCCACTGCTGGGTGAGAATGGACCTGGTAAGGGACCACATGGCTTTCAAATTGGCGACAAAGTAACTGTCGATTTGGATCTGGAAATTGTGCAGTCTCTACAGCATGGTCATGGTGGCTGGACCGATGGCATGTTCGAGTGCCTGAGCAATGCAGGTATGGTGGTCGGCATCGACGAGGATCATGACATTGTGGTGGCCTACAATTCGGGTAACCGCTGGACCTTCAATCCCGCCGTGCTCACCAAAGTTTCATCGCCGACCACAGCACCGCCAGAGTTCCAAGTGGGCGACATTGTCAAGATCTGCTCGGATGTGGAGAGCATCAAAATGCTGCAGCGTGGCCATGGCGAGTGGGCAGATGCAATGCAACTGACACTTGGAAAAATTGGTCGCGTGCAGCAGGTTTACCATGACAATGACTTGAAAGTGGAAGTGGGCAACACATCTTGGACGTACAACCCACTGGCCGTCTGCAAGGTAGCCTCATCCACTGCTGACGGAGGCTGTGCGCCAGTTATACCCAGCGGTGAACGTCTCTCGGCCATACTAAAAAAGTTGTTCGAGCCGAATGTGTCTGGCGATGCCACCGAGGAGTTCGTAAAGGCAGCCGCAAATGGTTTTGCGGTAAGTCATCATTCCCAAAAAATGAGAAATTGTAGAATTATAGCACTTAAGAGTCACAGGTCCCCATAAATCGAACTATTTTTGTTCTCTTACAGTCTCGTTGCGAGGAGTACTTATCGGGCGCCTCGCAGCCCTCTACATCTAGCGCGGCAGCGGCCGCAGCCTCGTCTAGCAGCCCCAACGCTTTGCCCGATGTAAATGGCGTCTTTGCCGGCCACACCGCACTGCAGGCCGCCAGCCAGAATGGACACATCGAGGTCATTCAAGTTCTTCTCAGACACAACGTCGATGTCGAAATTGAGGATAAAGATGGTGATCGTGCCGTACATCATGCCGCCTTTGGTGACGAAGCTGCTGTGATTGAGATATTGTCCAAAGCCGGTGCCGATCTGAATGCAAGGAATAAGCGCCGGCAGACTTCGCTACACATTGCCGTCAATAAAGGGCATCTGAACGTGGTAAAGACCTTGCTCACGCTTGGCTGCCATCCAAGCTTGCAGGACTCAGAGGGCGACACACCGCTTCATGATGCCATATCCAAGGAGCACGACGAAATGTTGTCGATGCTGCTGGACTTTGGAGCTGACATTACACTGAACAACAACAATGGATTCAATGCTTTGCATCACGCCGCTCTAAAGGGCAATCCAAGCGCCATGAAAATACTGCTGACCAAGACGAATCGCCCGTGGATCGTAGAGGAGAAAAAGGATGATGGTTATACGGCTCTGCATTTGGCAGCGCTCAACAATCATGTGGAGATTGCCGAGCTGCTCGTTCACATGGGCAAAGCGAATATGGATAGACAGAATGTTAATCTGCAGACTGCTCTGCATTTGGCCGTGGAACGCCAGCACGTGCAAATTGTCAAGCTGCTGGTGCAGGAAGGTGCGGATTTGAACATACCGGACAAGGATGGTGACACGCCTTTACACGAAGCGCTGCGTCATCATACATTGTCGCAGCTAAAGCAGCTGCAAGATGTCGAGGGGTTTGGTAAATTGCTAATGGGTCTGCGCAATGCTAACAACAAGAAGGCTTCAGCATCCATTGCCTGTTTCCTGGCCGCCAACGGCGCTGACCTGACTTTAAAGAATCGAAAGCTGCAAACGCCGCTAGATTTGTGTCCCGATCCGAATCTCTGCAAGACCCTGGTGAAGTGTTACAATGAGCGCAAGACCGACGACTCGGAGCTGCCAGGTAATGTGGCGGGCACAAGCCTGAATGCCCGTGCACGTGCGCAAAACGCCAACGTCGCTACATGCGCTGGAGTTGGCGGCATGCATCAGTCGGCTACGGCCAACATACCATTGCATTCGGTGACGAATATTACACCATTTTTGTTCAATGGACCCAACGACGAGATGGCGCAGTCTCTGCAGGTGGAGAGCAATAGCGGGGGCGTTGGGAAGGTAGCCAGCCTGGAGGAATGCCTCGTCTGCTCGGATGTTAAGCGGGACACTGTCTTCAAGCCCTGCGGCCATGTGAGTTGCTGTGAGACGTGTGCTCCGCGAGTCAAGAAATGCCTGATTTGTCGCGAAACAGTCTCATCGCGCGAGAAGATAGACGAGTGCCTGGTCTGCTCGGATCGACGAGCTGCAGTGTTCTTCCGCCCGTGCGGTCACATGGTTGCCTGCGAGCATTGCAGTGCGCTCATGAAAAAGTGTGTGCTCTGCCGCACCCAAATCGAGGAGATGTTGCCTTTTACTTTGTGCTGTGGCGGCATGGGCACAGCCGAAAAGGTCAGCGGCACCTGCACCACAACCAGCAACGCCACTAGTATTGTTGAGGAGAAATTCATTGAGCCACCGTGTGTCAATACGTCGGGTCATAGCGTTGCCATGAACAATACGGTGGTGACGCCAGTTGCGGGTAGCAATCAGCTGAATAGTCAGAACAATCTTCTCGCTGCGGCGGCAGCGAACTCCAATGTGCCTGCAACCAATCTGGCAGCCAGCGGCATGGTCGCACCCTCTAACGTCAATAATTTCCAAATGGACGATGTGCAGAAGCTGAAGCAGCAGTTGCAGGATATTAAGGAGCAGGTGAGTCAATTTATCTAGCGTTACAATATTCATTTATCAATCCATTTATTAACATTTTACTTTAAAGAAATTAGTTGTTAAACGAAAATGTACCTCTCTCTCTGTTTTCAGACCATGTGCCCCGTTTGCTTCGATCGCATCAAGAACATGGTCTTCCTATGTGGACACGGTACATGCCAGATGTGCGGCGATCAAATCGAAGGCTGTCCCATCTGCCGCAAGACGGTGGAGAAGCGTATTTTACTATTTTAATGCACTTTTAGCAAACATTCCGCGCACAGACTCAAGAATGGGGAATCTCTTCCACAGCTCGAAATTTAATTAAGTATTAAATAGATATATGTATGTATATACATATGTAGCTATATGTATGTGAAAGGATATACACCTATAAAGGCGAAATATATTTTTAACAAAACACATGTGGTAACAGCTTTATGCCTGAACACTCTTAACTCTATCCATGCTCTCTTTGCTCATCAGATCCTTGAGTATGTCTTTCTTGGACTCAAAGTAATCACGGAACCAGAGAATATGCTCCTTTTTCTCCTTTGCCGTTATGTAGTGGTTCTTGGACAGGCCCACACACACTAATTCCATAAAGTGGCGTATGGGGCCCTTAGATGGACACCAAGACTCTATATGTTGTTCGAGAAAGATATGCTCGGAAAAGTCAACGTCCACTTCGTCACGCATATCCTGTTCATTGTCCACAGGGAATCGCCACACCTTGCCCTGTGATGTCCACTGAATCATCTGCTCAAAATAATTGGCCGGTGGATGCGCCGCATGTAACTTCAATTCGCGTTCATTTAGTGCGGACCAAGTTGAAAGGATGTCCGGTGAATCCACAAGAGCACTGGGATCTTTAAAAACCCCCAAAGGCTCGCCACCGTAAAGATTGACACTGCCCGTATAACTTTCGGGTTCACGTTTAACGTGTTTGTGAGACCGTTGCTTAGTATTGCGATCCGTAGTAAACCCGGATTTTGTACGTGAAGAAGCCAAAGTGCGGCGTACATACTCGCCGCGAGTTTCTTCTGGCGGCTGTTGGCGGCGATCGATTTTCATGCCCACAATGAGTTCGCTAAACAATCGTACATTTGGCTTATCACATAAAATCATGCATAGGAATATTCACCCTCACCTTAAATTTACCTCCTTATCAGTACCGGCTGGAGCACTTTCTTCACTGCCTTTTTTGGGTGCATTATCCCTGGTTGTGCTGGTACTGGCAGTATGTCCCAGCAACTTGGCCAATAGCTCAGATTCCGTCTGCCTACGATCGTTCTCTCCAGTGCTGAGCATGTTGGCAATATTCTTGGCTGCTGTCAGCACATTCTTCGAAGCGGTCTCCTGCTTAAGTGCCTCCCTGCGCCTCCTATGCGCATCACCTGGACGTGGAAAATCCACTGCAGACATATCGGTTGTCTGCATGCTTCCGAGTAGTCTGTTAAGGCGCTGTGCCGCTGTCTCGGAAGAATTATCAATTGGCTTTCGTAATTTCTTCTTGGGTTCTTTCTCATCGTCAGATGATGAGGCCCCATCGTCATCTTTGGATGAGGAGGAGTAATTGGCAAATCCCACGTTTTTACAAATAGCCGGCAGAAAAGCACTGCAAAATGTTAAGAGAGGAGAGGTCTTTACCATAATATACTTGTACAAGACGATTCACTCACTGAATGCTTAATTTTTGTGAGCTACGCAAAGCCAACATATTGCCAAATTTATTTAACAAATTTAAAAAAAATGTAAAATTGTGTTTGCTCGCGTAACAATAATAACAAGGGAGGGCTGCCAGACTGCTGAATTGCCCCCAACAGTCTGGTAAATTTTAGATAGCAACAAACTACAGTGATAACAAATAGGTGGTTTATACATATTTTGGCAAATATGGAGTAAGCCCCATTAACATAAGTTTCCTGATCATGTTTTTCTGTACAGACTTTTCGGCTTCAATTAGAATAAATTTAACAAATTACTGTACAATAATTTGATAGTTTAGGATAACACTTGTTTTTTAATAAGATGGCTATGTGGGTTTTTTGATTTGAATACACCTGTGCATTAAGAAAGTCTTACCTGTTAAATTTTTGTAAATGCATCGATCAATTCGATATGATAGATATGGCAGTGGTTCGTTTCACCGAAATAGATATTTAAAACCAAATTAACAGTATTACTACAGTGGCAATCACTATCGATATTAATGTGTAATCGTTAGTACCCCATCTCTACAGTGGCAGTCTTGCTGTTTTTCGAGGAGGTCATATTTGCTTGTTCGCGTCGGATTTCGGGCTCGATTAAATAAATAAATATTTTTCATCTAAAATGAGTGCGAATAATTGTAAATACAGTAAATAAATGTAAATCGAAGCTAAAAGCACTGAGCGTATGTGCTGGTGCGTGCGTTATAAATAAAACGCTGCGAATCTAGGTGCGAAAAGAAGACGCCGAGAAAAATAAAGAATGTGTCCAACAAACAAGCAAGCGAAAAGAAAGTGTTTTTTAATTTATTTCTGTTAATTTCCACACAATTTTTGTGCAATATTAATTATAAAACCGAAGGCGAAAGTGCATTTTCACATGTTCCAAGTTGGGTTTTAAGCAAAAGGTGAATATTGAGGGAAAACATTTGCATTCTGCGACATCGTCGAACTCGAACGACGAACGAAACTGCGAATGAGGCTGTCAAAGCGTAATTGTGAAATTCCACTGTCTGGCGCAGCAGTCCCAGCCAGCCAGAGTAGTCGCAAGTCGTCTCGCATACAGATATACTTATATTTATATACATATGTATAAAATTTATGTGTTTCTATATAAAGAAAACATGGAGTTTTCTCTGGAAAATGTGTGCGAAAATGTATTAATAATGCAAAATTTGTGTTTTTTATTACCGCTCCTTGTGCACACGTATCTGTAACGCGTGTCACTGGCCCATCAGCTATATATTTCCTAAATGCGTATTGGATGTGGTTTTAACTATTTGACGCCGACGATTATTTAACATTTTGGGAAAGAAATTTCCTTTCAACACTCAGCCAGCAGGCAATAAGTGTGTGCTTAAATGGATGCAACATCAATTATAACACAAGTTTCCCGCGATGATGAACAATTAAATGTTTATCCAGACAAAGGTGAGTTTTTACATATAAAGTGCATATGGGGATATATAGATGTAGATATGTACATATGCAAGTGGTATTCATCATATAGTTGGTTGCAGTAAAAATGCGCGTTAGGCTGCGTCGCCAATAAATGAGTCATCGACACGCGTCATAACAAAGACGAAAGCTAGCCTTAAAGGAGAACGCTAAGGAGTTCAAACCTCTCCACTTCCCTCCCATCCAATCCATTCAAACAAGTTCATGTGTTGTTGTCTTCTCGCATTTGTCTATTGTGAATGAAACCACTTGCTAGCTTTGTGCTGTTGATTGTTGCTATTCTGTTTTGTGTTGTTATTGCTCAGTAGTTATTATTATTATTTATTTATATTTAATTCCTAGTGATAGAAGATCAATAAGATGAAAACTGGAATTGTTGAAAATATCGGGAGAATTAAAATATTAATTATTCTAAAACTACTTAAAACATAAGTAATTTCTAAAATATTTTAAGGCAATGTTATTGGTTGTCTAGGTGTATTTTGAGTATGTTTTTGTGAATTGTTCTTGTTGTTTTTAATATCGCAAGGTAATTTGTTCCAGATTGCCTAGAGCTTCTTTTTTACAAGCAGTATACCGTTATCGACTTTTTTTGCCTTCAATTAAGTGTTGTCCGTTGTTTTTGTATTCATGTGCACATTCGTATTTGTTTGTCTTCCTTCCACCTGTAATCAATTTAATGACGACTCTTGTCTTGTGTGACGTCATGCGCATGTACATACATATGAATGTAGATACATATGTATGTAGTTATGAGAAGTGCACGCAAATTGAAAAACAATGGACAAATAAAACGCAATCTAGGATTGTTCGTGTTTAAATGTGTGAGTGAATATGCATGGGAATGTACATATGTATGTATGTATGTATCTGTAGCCCAATAGGCCAAAGCAACCAACAAGCGAACGAACAGTAAAAGAGTAAGCTTAATAATGGAATAATTATATTGCATATTGCAACAACAATAACAACAGCAGAAATAGCAATAACAAAAACAGCAATAGCAGTTTCAAACCGGTATGGGAAGACTGAGCGTCTCTTGACTAGTTTTTTTGAAACAAATAAACAAAGCAAAGCAAACAAATGGCGAATCGTAAGACCAATACACTCACATACATACATATGTATGTACATATAGTAAATACATGCATATGTTTGTAACTGAATGTAGTTTAAAGGTTGTTTGGTGTCGAATGAATGAATGTGAATGCGAATATGATTACCAAAGCAAAAAGTCAAAAGTTACGATTGGCAGGGTAAGGGGCGAGACGAAACACGACTAGTTCGTCTAAAAGTAATAATTAATTTAATCTAATCTTGTCGGCCAAGTATTAGTATTTAAAACAACAACAATAAAATACACACATGGTATATATGTACATACATGTATACACTTAGACTGATGCCTAAAAAGTGAGCAAAAGCTCAAAATTTACGCTTGGGTGTTAATTGGCATCGCTCGTGGCTTGCTCAATAACTTTTTACTTATTTGCACAGTGGAGCTCGTGGTTGAGCCCAGCAACTGTTTTGCCTACCAGCGGCCATTTCATAGCTCCGAATGGCATGGGCGTTAGACATACATATGTACATATCTATGCATGTATGGATGTATGGGCTTCAACTTAAGAATCTATTTGGTCGCTCTTCCATGGTGCAAATATCGTATTTTAGTAGCGTGGGCTTTTCTTCATTTTTCTTAGCTTCGACTTGTTGAGCATTGAAACAAAGAGACGTCATCGCTCAGTACTGAACAAACCTCTGATTGTGAATTTATTTGCCGCGTGAGTGTGTGTTTGCGTGTTTGCAGAGAGCGGCGATAGAACCGGCAACAGTTGCTTTTGTGGTTTTTTTTTATTCAGAGTGGGTGCCGCCACCGCTTAAGTGCCTGGCCCGCCACCCGTGTATAACAATTTATATAGATATGTGTACAGATTGATGTATAGTATGTACATAAAAATACACGTATACATATATGTACATGCATATATACAAATGTATGTTTGTATGTAGATACATACATACATATGTACATATTTGTTTTTATGGGCAACGTTTTTAGTATCTTATTTCTCGCTCGTTCGTTTGCTGTTTCTGAATTGTTGCTGCTATTATTATTACTTTTTTTTTCAATTTGTCAAGGTCTCACAAATTGCTGAGACTTTTTAACGCACACGCATTTAAAAAATATTTTATATATTTTTTTTTGTTGTCCTTTTGATGGCTCGCAAATATTTATTATTAATACATCATAAATGAAATGAATTTATACATACATATATACATGTAGATTGTACATACATACATATTTCAGGCTCAATGCAAAGTGCAAATTTCAAGGCGCCTCAAACTGACACAAACCAATTTTTGAGTACATTTTTCATTCTCGACATGCTGAGAATATGTAGATGATTTTAATGAGCGCTAAATACATAAAACAGCCACATATGTATGTATGTATGTTTGTATGTACAGATACTGTACATGTGTATTTATGTTTGTAGATATGGCGTATATAAGTGCGGCGCACTGCAAAATAATTATAAAAATATTTATTATAAAGCTAAATATGTACATTCTCTGGGTACGAACAAAAAATGTATGCGTGCCAGTGTGCTAGACTCTTACATTCAAAAAATGCTCAATTCCACTTGCCAAGAAAACACATTTCCTATTTATTATAGCGCTACATGTCCGTCTAAAACAAAGGTCAAGTCATGTCTGGGTGCAGTTGATTGACCGAAAACTATTGCCCATGCCCCTAAGCAAAGTCGGTGCGACAGATTTGCCCTTGAGAATTGTCTAATGGACTGAAATAGCTGGGGTTGGGATGATATCTGCACACAATCATCTTATTCGACTCATTTTGATATATTTGCACACAAGTTTTTGCCTTTTAATATAACGCTTTTCGACTGAGTCAACATCACGTGCGAACTTTTAAATTGTTTACTTTGGCTCCCCCTCTCTCTCTCTCTCTCTCATTTTCTCTATCTCTCCAGCTCTATTAGTTAGACACACACACTATATATTGTAGTAGCTTAACAAATATGTTGAAGGTCGAGTTCTGCATGTTTTTCTTTTCACAATTGTTTCAAGCATTTTAAAAAGGTGTGTAGGCCACCAATGATATCATATTATGACAGATAACAAACTTTATATGCTTCAGATTAGATAATAAACGTGTGTGTACACAAATGTTTACAGTGGGGGTTCTATACATACATATGTACATATGTTTCTTTTGCTCATTTTATTATTCTTGTGCGAATTGTGCTTACATACATACATACATTTCAAATTGCACGATAAAAATGTGCCTTTATTGAGCAATATAAGTAGGATCGTAGGCAAGACAACAATTTTGAATTTGGCGACGAATTTTACTTCGTATGTTCAAAGCAAACGTTTATAAAAATAAATTGAAAAGCATCTAGCTAAGATCGTTTTAAAAAATAATAACATTTGATGTTTAGATACTAAGCTTTTAATTTAAGTCTTTGATCAATTTAAAAGAGAATGTTAATGAATAAACGTTTAAGCGATATTAAATTTTAGAAATGTAGTCAGTTCTTTACCCAAAAAAAGGTTAAGTGAAAGTATAAGTAGAGTTAGCAAACGTGATATGCAGGTTTTCTAAAGTTGATTTTATTTTTTTCCTCCACCGTAAGTGTTAAGGTTGCTACAAACGTATGTATATAACAGGTAGCTGGTCTTATCAATATGTAGACCAAGTTTGTTTTAAACCATATAGACTCATTATTTTATATAGCTGCCATTAGCGTTCGTGCTTTTCAGATATTCGAACCATATTTGATTTTTAAAAGTATAGTGATTCATAGAATTCATTGAAGTCGGTGCTCTATATGATACAGCTGCCATAGAAACTATTTATAAATCAATGTTTATTTTAGTTGAATGACAGTGGGGCATTAACGTTCTACTTGTTTTGTTTTTAAAGTAAATAAGTAAACCTAAATAAACGGACTTATTACATCGCTTTAATTAACTCTAAAGCAGACCAGTTTTTTTTTGTCTTAACTAGATACTGATGATAGTATTTTTAGTCGGGCTGGTTTCATCATAACAACAAGGATACATGTAACCAGATTATGAAATGAACTCAAAGTTGTGCGTAAGCCGATTTGAATAAAGGTATTGTTATAATTATGGCATAGACAAAAATCTATTGACGCGTAAGGTCGTTTAAAAGTCTGGCCCAACGCATTAGCATAAATTCAAAAAAATATATTTTTACATAAATCAACAATTTAATTGCAGCACATGCATATTATAAAGATTTCATTTCAATATGCGTGCAATGCCAACTAGCCTGCGCATATTACACTGAGGCACATTCAGATAGAAGCATGAAATATCTATTGTTGCCCTAGTCAAGGGCATAATCAGTTTGTTGGCACGTCTGTTCAGCCCACACACAAAAGGATTATGCCTAAATAGGCGCCTATAAATAACAATTGCTCTTTGGCTAAAAATATAAAAGGCTACCCGCACACAATAAACATTTTTTTTAATTCCCAACACCTCGAAACACAATCACCCACACGCACGCACACACATACAGAATGTATAGATATGTTTATAGATGCCTGTCAAGCCCATTGAAGTATGTATAAGCCGTATCCTTGTCATGACCTGACGTAGACAGGAAAAAGATATGTATATGTAGATGACAGGTGGACGAGAAAAACCCACAAACCTAAATTTAACCATAGCTTATCGATATCACAGTTAGCGCGCAACAAGTAAGTGACAAATTGAACGTGTTGGTAGATACATATTTAAATATATTTCTAGACACATGCATAAATACATAAAAACAGTACCAACTCGATTTGATGGACCTACAAAGTAAAGTCTTTTGGAACATATTAAAATGAGCGAATGACTTTATATCTGTAGAATCAGAGTCGTGGAAAGTTTCATTAAAAAGTGGGAAAACTTGATACATTTTCGCTTATCTATAGAATAGGTTTTCTGTAATATTTTGAAACGAAAATTCTAGGGCATGTGTCAAAGAAAGGGCTCTTACAATCCCATATTTATTTAATATATTTTGCTTTTAAATTTCGGCTCTTAACCAAGGCAAATATTTAAATATAAAGCAAATTTAAAATGCTGGTTTTTATGCAAGCTTCATAGACTCCGAAGCCAGTTTAAATGTTTTATATGTAATAATATTTATGCTAATAAAGATATGAATACCCCTAAAGATTTCGAACAACTCGTACTAGAAGTATGCAAAAAGCAATGCAGCTTACACAACAATTTAAACACCTTAATTGCCTTTTAGTACCTGAATAACTACGCCTGAAACGCAAACTCAACATACTGATTAAAATATAATATTTAAGCAGTTAATCTGCCTTTCGTGTGCGCCCCAAATATATTCCACGTTATTAACCGCTTAAACGTTTCGTGTAAAGGAAGCATTACTTAATTTAAGTAAATGCTTTAAAAGCCATTTGTGTAAATGGTTGCGGGTGAGCGAAGGCAGACAATACCTTGAAAACAAAAAACAACTATTTAAAGATGTGATTAATTTAGAAATTATGTAGGGTCAGATGTTCCCCTGCTCGAATGTAAAGATGATGCATGACTTGTGATTAAAGAGTCGCGTTTTTCACGCATTGCTCTGTATGCACTATGCATATGAAAATATCGAGCATGTACTGTATATATTATTGCGCCGAGTTATGTGGATGCCACAGTTGTTGTGTTGCGCCCCGTTGATTTGGTGGCACTTTGAGGAAGCAGCATGTACAGAAGAAGATAAGATGCCCGTGGGCGTCTCACCTTTCACCTGCCTAATCATATGCCAACAGCGTGCAATTTTCATTTGTCTGTCGAGAGACGACGCCCAGACAGACAAATGTTGTAAACACACGTCGGCACGTTGCCATCGTCGCTGTTGTACTTGCTGTTGTTGTTGTTGCTTCTTTCATTATGCTCTGCGTACCATGCTCATAAAATATTCAAGTGCAGTTGCACTTCACATCGAGCTAGGTGGCTAACATTTGTATCCTTTGGCAGGCTGCAACGGTTCGTTGCTTTTAAGCTCAGTCTGTTTCATCATGCACCAAGTCAAGGTGGTTCAATGAACCGACAAATGTCTAGTAGCTTAGCTTTAAAGCTGGTAGAGGGAGGGAGAGACAGCGGTAGCGAAAGGCAAAGGGCGTGCTTATATGCATTATGTACTTGAACATAAAACACACTGCTCATAATATATACATACACATGTATTTAAGCACAAATGTACATTGCACACTCATACGACATATATACGAGTATATGTGATGTGTATTTTCTAGATGTGTTTAGCCATTAAGCAACATTTTTGCGAACATTGGTTGCCGTTGTTCTTGTCCCTTTGTTTTCAATGAATTAAAAATGCAAATAGAGGTTCGTTGTTCAGTTGGCCCTAATAATGGTGGGCCACCCTTAAAGCTTCAAGTCCCCAAGCGCCTCCACCCTTATTCTTTAGCTAAAAGGTTTTCCCCCATGAATATTGTTGCCGCACCTCGAACGAACGCTTGTCTTAAAGGTCAATCTACGACCTTCTTAAAAGCTCTGGTGCAGGTATATGTGTGTCTGTTTTTTACATTTACATATACATATACATACATGCATACATACATACATACATATGTATATCAAGTGGGGTGTTTGTGTGTGCAATTATAGCACTTCCCATCGATTAAACGCATGTGTGTATCCTCTTGTTGTTATTGTTGTACATAGTTGCTGATTTTTCGCTTGTTCAACTATTTTTAGAAATTTCACACACCAAAATCAACAGCGAGTGCTTGAAATTCACCAACATTATTTACCTCACATGCACACCACACATAAATATGTATGTATGTATGTACCTACAAGTTAAATGTGCGAGAATGTGTTTGTTTATTTATGCAAACAAAAAATGTAATTCATTAAAATGCCCAACAAAATTTCTGTACGGATAGACAAAGTATATGAGCTGGAATGCTGACCCTGGAATGGGGGCTGGCTATACGTTAGAATATTAAATGCCGCTGGAAGAGGTCCTGACATTTACAATAACTAGTTGAACTTTTGTGAAAGTTATATATTGGCCGACTGACCCTGAAATAAGTATTATGTTTTAGGTATTATGTTTTACTTGTATTCGTTATCTTTTCGAGCTTGTGACAGGTATTATGATAAAGAATATTGTCATAATTGTCATAATTAATAACGTCTAAAATTAATTTTATTTATTGCATTAATTTTTTTATCTACAAAAAATATTGATTTTGAAATACATATATGTATAGCCCCGTTTATTCTCTGAATGTATAGTGAATGTCAGAGACTATTGAGATATGAATTTTAGATTTTGAATGTCGTTACTGATTTGCGATTTTTGTTCACATTTACAGACGATGTGGAACGTTTAAAGCCGCAAAAGCATGGCTTTCTACATTCTATGTTTTGTTGTTGGCGACGTAATCGAACGAAAACAAATCAAAATGGCACACAAATCGATGGATCAACAACACCGCCACCTATACCGGACCAACACAGGTACCTTCTACCTCAGGTTAGGCACTCCGATATGCACAGAAAGTGTATGGTGATCGATTTGGATGAAACTCTAGTGCACAGTAGTTTTAAGGTGAGTTTAAATGTTCTTCTATACCATTGAGACCGTCTGTTACCGTAATGTTAATCAATTTGATGATTTTATTTAATTTTTATTAGCCTATACCCAATGCCGATTTCATAGTACCAGTGGAAATCGATGGCACCATACATCAGGTGTATGTGCTGAAGCGACCACATGTAGACGAGTTTCTACAAAAGATGGGTGAATTGTACGAGTGCGTTTTGTTTACAGCATCACTAGCCAAATATGCAGATCCTGTAGCCGATCTGCTAGACAAGTAAGATCGAACTTGATTTATAGAAAGCAGGAAACAAAGTAATTAAATGTCATTGTGCTTTTCAGATGGAATGTGTTTCGTGCAAGACTGTTTAGGGAATCATGCGTTTACTACAGGGGTAATTATATTAAGGATCTAAATCGTCTGGGACGTGATTTACAAAAGATTGTCATTGTTGATAACTCACCGGCCAGTTATATTTTTCATCCGGATAATGCAGTGAGTATACATTTAAACAAATATATGTATATACATATATGTATTGAAACTGTAGTTCGCATAACCTGTTGCATTATTTATAATCTGCAGGTTCCTGTTAAATCCTGGTTCGATGATGTCACCGATTGTGAACTACGCGAGCTCATACCGCTCTTTGAGAAACTGAGCAAAGTTGACTCTGTCTATTCGGTGCTCTGCAATTCGAACCAGCCGTTAAACAATCAGACAAATCAGCAGCATCCACAGGAGCTGCAACAAACCCCCCAGCTGCAGCAGCAGCAGCAACAACAACAACAGACCATCTCTGCCACGACGGTGATTACACAAGCGACCACATTGTCCGCGCCGACCATGCTAAATGCACAGCAGCCGCATCAAACGACCAGTCCGCCCAGCCCGCAAAGCGAACTGCTCACCAAAACGTAACATCAGTGGGAACTAATGTTTATAAATATATGATAAAAGTTTATACATATTATCTGAGACCAAGCAAGCAAGCGAGCAGCATGCAGAAAACAAAAACAAACATAATAATGGGGCAACTAAAAACTCCAAGCAACCCACTCACGCCTGCATTCTGCAACTCATTAACCCACTACTCCACCCATGTACTATCAAAGCTATCATAACTAAAGCTTAGTGTAAGTTTTTAATATTATTTTAAACTGTTTACAAAGCACTTTTATTATTATTTATTTTGTTCTAACTGGTCTAGTTTTGCTTTGTTTTGGTTAAGCTAAAAAAAAATCTAGCGAGAGAGAGAGAGAGAAGTCACGTTTTTACATAACTAATTTTTCTATGTGTGTGTATGTAACAAAATCAGCACAGAGAAAGGCGTTGAAACGTGCCCGAATACCCTATCTACAGGGTATCCCTAATAATAATACCAATACTATACATAAAATGATATGTATAAATAATAAATATTGAACTTTTATACACAATATAAATATATATATATATATATATATATATATATATATATATATATATATATATATATATATATATATATATATATATACATATATACATATTTAAGTGCGCATATTTAACAAATTTGAAAAACTGAGCAAGCAAAAAGATTTAAGGCATAAGGAATGTGGATGATGATAATGCAGAAACAAACCCCTATACATATGAGCAAAGAGATAAAATCAAATTCAAAATAGCATATATTTATATATATTTTTTATTAAAAACTTAAACAAAACCGTATGTGTACTAAACAAAAACAATTTATATATACTATATACATACAAAATATGCACAATTTGTGTATGTATATACCATATGTGCGAAATCGAAATCTAAGCATGTACATTATCTTTATTATATATACATATATATATATATATATATATATATATATATATATATATATATATATTATTTTGCTACTTTGCAACGGCGTGGCAAGAACAACATGACTGTGTGTGCAGCGCTATACATTTTTGGAGGGTCCATCAGAATTAACAAGGGTGTCGGACCGACTTCATTCATGTTGATGCAGCGTCCCTCCTCTTTATATGCAATTGTTTTTATGCGTGGCTTGAATTCATGAAATTCAACCAACACTTGGAAATTCTGGGCTTAAATTAAGTTACAACATAGCTGACTACAAATACTATTCGTCGCTGGGGCAATTGACTATCGAGTTGAAAACGTTAATTTTGTCAAATTGTGCTTCTTTTACAAATTTTGTATCTGGTAATGGATAACTGAATTAGTAAAAGGCATCGTTATCTGGTTGAAAACAACTACAAATTCGGAATTCAATTCGTTTTGCGATTGCCTTGAATTTGGTTTGAGTTTCATGATTTCGAATCACGCATAAGAACAGCCTTTAACTTTTTATTTTAGAGTAATAACCAATGAAAGGCTTAATTCTTTCTGTCAACTTTTTTAATTTTTCTGTATACATTATATGTATTTTATTAATTCGACAACTTGCTATATACATACATACATATATGCATAGATAGACGCAAACCGTGTTCTGGGATTTTATTTGAAAATATTTTTTTAAATGTGTTGCATAGCGCTGCCAACAGTATCAAAACTACAAAGCTTCTAAGAAAAACTCCGACCAAGTAATGTATAGCTAGCATACTTACATATTTTATTTATATGCATATCGGCATATAATACTTACATATATAAAGCTCAAGCTGGCCACGCCAAATCCCACCTATATATATACATACATATATATATGAAGCCGTTATAAAATGACGCTATGCTGCACAGACGCGCGCACATACATACAAACATAATCAGAAGAGTTGGGCATCGGGTTGGGGACATCTGCTTAATGCAAAACGGCAATCAAGTCTGTTCTCTTTTCCGAATCCGATTGAATTGTATGTCAATATTTCCAATTTCAAAAATAGATTCACTTTTTATTAATGGGTTTCAAAATTGGCTGCAATACCAGGTCCAAGCATAAAAGCTTTTCAAAGCAAGTAGCTGATTAGGTTTTCGAAATTGAACACCATTTAGATTTCACACAATTTGTTCTAATTCCAAAACAAGAACATGTCTGTATAATGTACATGCGAATCATGCAAATAATATGCCAGGTTTGTTCCCATTTCCGAATTCAAACATATTGTCGAAATCGATCGAAACTTCTTCATACGGACGTAATGAAATGAAAATTGGAAAAAACTGCACAAAAATTTATTCGAATTTTACAAGTATATAATCAATATTGGTATTATTTCAATGAAATCCAATAGGAAACACTTTTACTTTTCAATAACCTATCTATATGCTTGTAATATAAAATAATTTTAGGCACATTACTTGCAATTCTGATCGTAGCTTAAGACCTGCCGTTCAAAATCGAATACGGAAACAAGCTTGATAGATATGTTTGGATAGAATGCTCCAAATAAACCCATACTTGTACTCTTTGGAGCCAAAGAGATAACGTCCAGCTGCCCAATTCGAATATACACCAAAATCCCCAAACGCCCAGTGCCTGCACGGCTGCTTCTTTGCTATTTTTAACTTTGTATATTATATTTTTTGCAATTAATTACGAAATCACCTAAATTGTTCAGTTAAATGACTTTCTTTTTCTTTCAAATTGTTGCAAATATCAGCGCGTTGAAAACGCACAATATTTTCATACGTTCTTTTTGTTTTGTTTTTTTGCAAGAATGCAGATACATTTTTACAAAAGCAAATAATATATGTAATTCGAAAAGCATAAGATCATCATATTGGATATCATTTACACCGCTGCTAAAGACGATAAGAAACCAATACAAGAATTAAAAGAGAATAATAATAATAATTTAAGTATAAAATACAATAACGTATTTGAATAACATTTATTTAAATGTTTTACTTTTAATAAGCAAACCAAGAAACAAGAACTTAATTTATCATAATTGAAAAAAGAATTATATTTTTAAAACGAGCCTATAATTGTAAATCACACATTAAATCTACAAATATTATGTCATCAAACAATAAAAGAAAACAGAAAATTAATTCGAACCAAACATTTTTAGACAATAAGCAACCTAATTATTCTTTTTTTTCCTCCCCAACAGCTGCAATTCACTAATTAGTTTAAGCAAAACAGTTGTGGGCAAGCATAAGTAGCCGACGCCCACATACTTCAGAAAATCAAGAAATCAGCCGAAGGCCCCTATACATTGCCAGTAGATTTAATCCAAAATGTTTGCTAAAAGTTGTAAAAATATCAAATTGCGTAAGAATGCTCTAAATACTTGGGTAAGTATGTGAATAATCACTGCTTTTTGTGGTTAATGGTTGTATAGAAAAAAAATTAGACGAGTGGCCTAGGCTATTTCGAAAACAGCAGTTTAGGAAATGTGGGTTGAAAAAATAAAGTACCAATCTCTATAAAGTTGAAACCATAGCCAATTATGTGTTTACAAAACTATCTCAAGACCGTCTTAGTTTATATGAAAAAAATTAATCTATAAGTTCCGGTATAAGCCAACACATGCTATCAGATGAATCATCCTCAAAAAAATATCCGGATTTACTTTGACGAGTGATTTTGTCAAAAATTGGCCTGACAGTACACTCCCCTGTAAATAATATTACAACATTAGACAAGCTATGGAGCCTGTTTGCCCCACTTTAGAGCTCGAATTTTCCATGTATTTACAAAACTATCGCAAGACCGTCTTAGTTTATATGAAAAAAATTAATCTATAAGTTCCGGTATAAGCCAACACATGCTATCAGATGAACCATCCTCAAAAAGCTATCCGGATTTACGTTGACGAGGGATTTTGTGAAAAGTTGGCCTCCTCTGTAAATAAAATTAAAACATCGTAAACATGCTTAGGAGCCTGTTTTCCCCACCTTGGAGCTCGAAAAGCGCCCACCTACCCTGTGAAAGGATACTTGAATCAAAATTTCAGCTTTCTAGCTCTTACCGTTTGCGCTGTGCGTTGATGACCAATCAGTCAGGGCAAACTGTTATATATATAGTATATATAGATAGCCTGATGAATTGCTCAGTAAATGAACATATTATAATATCTTCAGAAAATGATAGCTTATTTGTCTTGCCTTGTCCATCTTTAAGATATTGGTCTTAATTTTCATTTTATAATAAAGTCAGTAATGTGATGTTGATTGGATTATTTTTTTAATTCGGAATAAAGTTCTCTTTTTATTATTTGGTAATTTTAACGCACAATACATACACCATCAAAATTCATTCTCTTTACATACATACTAATTAATACATACATAAGTAATTTGTTTGTCTTCAACTTAGTCGCTAAAATAGGGATTTAGCAATGAATTTTTAGGCCACTTTAATTGCCTTTCTGTCGATTTTCTTATAGTCTTATAGAAGCTTGATATCAAGTAACAATACATTGGTGCAAAAAAATATTTTTAAAAAGTAAGCAAATAACTCGTAGCAAATCGCACATTCCGAACAGTTTGCAACAAAAGCATTTTACACAGAGGTTATACGTGTCTATTTGTATTTGTATAATCTAAACTATATAAAAATACATCGAAAAGTTGTTGAGTTGAGTTCGGTTTTGGTTTTTGTTAGTTGAAATTGTAGTAATTGTATTTATTGTGGTTTAAAGTTAAATGCATTTAAGTAACGTGTTACAATTACAAACGATTTCTCTTAGCTTCGTGTTGTTCGCAGGCTGCCTTTTGTTTGTTGGCAATTGGAAATAGTTGATAAGTATTCTCATAATTACAATAACTACATATGTATGTTGGTATATATATGTATTTGTATGTATATTGTTTAATTAACGACTTTTTTGTTGCACTATAACGTTTTACTTAAATGATTGCTGACTAGACTAGTGCGCACTGAATCGGCATGTATATTCATATCTATGTATATATATTTGTTAAAATTAGCTTTTTAAAGTATGAAAACATTTCGTTTCTGTGGTAATGTTATGTTGCCATATTTAAGTGTTCGTATTGCTGCTCCGCATCGGTCTTAAAATATATATTTAAGCAATTTGTAATTGAAATTTTTCAATTTTCAAACACGCATTTAAGTATCGATTCACTTCTGTGCGCTTAACACCTGAAATTTTTGTATTGTGTGCATAATGTATTCCCTATTGCACAATTTCACTTGGTTTTTTTCTTCGCTGTTTTTGTTCTGTTTTTTTCATTCTCGTGCAATTATTTATTCAAACAGTTTGTTCGGTGTTTACGTAATTTGTTTGGTATTATAATTACTTTTAAGTTTAAAGCGGAAAAAACTGTCAACTTATGACCAAGAAGGATTTACGAAATATTCAAAAAATGTACAGTTTTAATTACAGTAATGCATACGTAAATGTATTGTGCATTGATACACTCATATGTCTATATATGTATATGGGTGGTACGTATTTGTACCCACTCGATCCGATATCGGTCAGCGACGACGCTCTCGTTCTAAGTTGTTGTTCTCTGGTGTTATTACTACTCACAGATTCTACAACAGATAGGCAACTGAACATTTAAACTGAGTTTGCAGCGCATGCCAATTACAATTAAAAATTATAATACGTGGATTGAAAGCTAATACGGCGCATCATCATCTAAAGCATTTTTCTCACACACGATAAACGTTAAACGTGCGCTATGGGCGTTCGAAGCGTCTTCGCATCCCGATAAGACTTGTCCTACACGTATTGATGATCACCTGCCATTCCATCGGGGCAGTCGGCATGCAGCAGCGGCTCCTTTTCGATAGTCTGATGCACCTGCACATCATATTCATAGTAGTTCATCCAATCGACGCGCTTCGGTTCAAGCAGGCCAAAGCAGTTGCACTCGAAGAAATCGACCAGATTTAACAGAGGACCGCGTGTAAAGGGACTGTGGCCGCCTTTGGCCTGGAAATGGCGATACCTTCCGCGATTCATACGCTCGTTGGTGGTCATGCCCAGGCAAACCACTTGATAGGTTTGACAGATGGTCAGCAGGATAACCCAGGACATGTGTAGCAAGGCGTTACCCATAACCCAACCGACCCAGGCATTGCAGTTGCCAATGGCACGCATGGCCGAAATGAAATCTGTGAAAGGGTGAAATAACAGATTAAGTGGACAAATAATAAATAATAATAGAGCATGATTATGAAAGGCATAACCAGCATTCATATATGTATATAAAAAAAAAAACAAATGTTAGGATAGCTTGAGAATAATTTTTGCTACCATTTTAAAGCATACCAAGCTAAAATTAAAAAGGCTGAAGACGCTGATGCTTACCATCGAAGTGCACATTACACTGGTTGACATAATATTTGGAGCCGCCGTACAACATCCAGGCGCACATAATGAGCAGCATCCACAGAAAGCCCATAAAGTAGCTGTGATTTTTGAGACCAATGCAGTTTCCTACCCAGGGACAATGGTGATCAAAGCGTGCCACACAACGATCGCACACGGAGCAGTGTTTGGAGCGAAGAGGTCGTCGCACTAGGCAGCCCGAGCAAAAGGAGGCTGGCTCAAAGCCAATGCCCCCACGTTCAGACAATTCTATGATAGTCTGTAATAAAAACAATTTCGAATTAATGTGAATGAATTCTCATTTATTATTTGACTCACCTTAAATCGCTGCTCCCTTGTGGGCCGAATGATGCCAGGATCGCCTTTCCACGATTTGACAAAGCACACCCAAAGTGCCAGAGAACAGATCAGGAAGCACACTGTGGCTGTCATTGAGACAGCCTCGTCAATGTAGAGCAGCCAGGTAACATAGAACCAGGCCTTGGTAGCCAAATAGACACTCAACGGCAACAAGGCCATCAAATGCTCGTCAAATAACATTTTTCCAATGGTGTGAAAAACTGCATACAGACAGCCAAGCAGGAAAAACTTGATGATGTAGAGGGTGTTAATTGTGAAGACAATTCCGGCCAGATAAAATGCGGTAAATGGGCAGGCTACCATTGACCACCAGCGCAAGCGTTTGTCGTGACGCAGTTTGGAGACGAGTGAGCGCCGTTGCTGGGACGTTAGGGCTGCCTCCCTAACCCGATCCATGACCTTAGCACCGATCCAAATAGCACCAGTCTGGGCCTCCATCATAGAGAGCGGTGTTTCGCCACGCAAATTGGGCACATCAAGAGAGGCCTTCGACTTAAGCACCAGTGTGGATATAGCGGTGGAGTTGCGCGCCAAAATGGCCCAATGAAGCGCAGTGTTGCCGTGCGTATAATCTACCATGGCGGGATTAGCGCCCAGTGTGAGCAGCAGACGAACAGGATCCAACGCGCATACCTGCAATACACATAGGTATAAGAAATGAAAAATAATACAAAAAAAATATGTCTAATCTCACCTTCCATGCTGCCCACATAAGCGCCGTCATTCCTCCGCGATCCTGTAAGTCTGGATCGACACCCTTGGCTATGAAATAAGCCACTAAAGCCGTGTGCGCGAATTGCGCAGCTATGTGTATGCAGGAGCAGCCCTCAGCATCCCGAATGCGGGGATCGGCACCGGCACCCATCAGCAGCACTACAGCGCCCAGATGACCTTGTCGTGTTGCCCAATGCAGCGGCGTGGCATTTAGCTCGCCACCAACAGCGTCAACTGTAGCACCCTTCTCCAGAAAGTAGCGTATAATGTCGCGCCTGTTGTTGATAGCCGCCCAATGCAGCAGTGTGACCGTCTCACTGTCCGGCTGATTCACATCCCAGCCAGACTCGACCAGCTCGCGTACACGCGCTATGGCGCCATACTGTGTAGCCTTAACGATATCGAAGCCACTATAATCGGGCTCCACGGGTGCGGTGGGTGGTTGTTGGGCGATAAGGGCTGCCTGCCTTTCTTTATCATACTGATTGCCCGTTCCAGGCACACACGCGCCCGTGGTGGCGGCATTGCAAGCGCTTTGGTACATTTTTAAGCTGTTTTACGCTACTATTTGTGACACTTTGAATTGTGATTCACTTCCACTTTGATGGTGATGTTCGCTCGTAACATCCCTCAACAGCACCACCCCCGAAAGAAGTTCACTGAATCTTACTTAACATTTTGTTGTAATCCTTGCAGCGATTTGGACGCGGACTAGGGAAATAATATATGCGCACCTGACATTTAAATATATACACAGAATCTATAAATTTAATGCGTTTTACGACATACAATTTCTGCCCTGCGAATTAGTATGTGAAAACACCTTGCCACCTTCATGCGAGGCACGCAAGTTGCCAGCTGGTTTTGCTTTGAATTATCACCAAGTTGCCAGTTTTCTGGTTTGACACCGTGGTGGCAGCACTTTACAACTATTTGCTATTTTCCCGCGTTTGTTGGCGTATATTTCGCATTTGTGTTGGGAGCTTAACATGTTGATCGTGGTTCTTTGTTTATAATACATACTATATTTATTGAATATTTTTACTTGGAACATGGATAACAAACGTAAATTCAACGGTAATGCTAATGGAAAGTCTAAAAAGCCGAGGTAACTGATAGCGACCTTGATAATAGTATTCTATTGTTAATTAATTGGGTCTTGCAGAAATTTTGACGACGACGATGAAATGGGCGGTGGGTTTGAAGCCGAATTAGCAGCTTTCGAACCCAACGATGAGCTTGAGCAAACGCTGCTCATTGGCGATGGACCCGAAAACCAACAGACCAGTGAAAGATGGTCGCGTGCGCCACCACCAGAGCTAAATCCTGAGGAGGACAAACTAGTGTTTCAGCAATTGGATGTGGAAAATTATCTGGGACAACCGTTGCCGGGCATGCCAGGCGCCCAATTGGGTCCGGTGCCGGTAGTGCGCATGTTTGGCGTGACCATGGAGGGAAACTCGGTGTGTTGTCATGTGCATGGGTTCTGTCCCTATTTTTATTTAGCTGCGCCGCGAAACTTTGAAAAACGGCATTGCTATGAGTTGCAGGAGGCCTTAGACAAGAAGGTCTTGGCCGATATGCGCAGCAATAAGGACAATGTACAGGAGGCCGTACTGGCAGTGGAGCTGGTAGAACGCCTCAATATACATGGTTATATGGGAGATGAAAAGCAAAGCTATATAAAGATCACATTGACTCTGCCGCGCTTTGTCGCCGCTGCTTCACGTCTGCTGAAGAAGGAGATCATTATGTCGTCTTTTGATTTCCAAGACTGTCGTGCCTTTGAGAACAACATTGACTTTGACATACGGTTCATGGTGGATAGGGACGTTGTGGGCTGCAATTGGATAGAGCTGCCGCCTGGTACTTGGCGTCGGCGTGGACGCAATTCGAAACTTTTGCCTGAGTCTCGCTGCCAAATAGAAGTTGATGTGGCCTACGATCAATTCATATCGCACGAACCCGAGGGCGAGTGGTCCAAGGTTGCTCCATTTCGTATACTATCGTTTGACATTGAATGCGCCGGCCGCAAAGGCATATTTCCGGAGGCCAAAATGGATCCAGTAATACAAATAGCCAATATGGTGATGCGACAGGGAGAATCAGAGCCTTTTATAAGAAATGTTTTCACATTGAAACAATGCGCCCCTATACTTGGCAGTCAGGTGCTGTGTCACGCACAGGAGACCCAATTGCTTGACAAATGGTCGGATTTTGTGCGCGAGGTGGATCCGGATATTTTGACAGGCTACAACATAAACAACTTCGACATACCCTACCTAATTAATCGAGCAGCTCATTTAAAAGTCAAAAACTTTGAATATCTGGGCAGAATTAAGAACATACGCTCGGTAATTAAGGAGCAAGTGCTTCAGTCGAAACAGATGGGCCGGCGCGAGAACCAGTATGTAAATTTTGAGGGCCGTGTTCCTTTTGATTTGCTTTTTGTTCTGCTGCGCGATTATAAATTGCGTTCGTACACCCTTAACGCGGTCAGTTACAATTTCCTGCAGGAGCAGAAAGAGGATGTGCATCACAGCATCATTACGGATCTACAAAATGGCGATGAACAGACGCGTCGTCGTCTGGCAATGTACTGTCTAAAGGACGCCTATCTGCCCCTACGTTTGTTAGGGAAACTCATGGCCATAGTTAACTACATGGAAATGGCCAGAGTAACGGGTGTGCCGCTCGAGTCGCTGCTTACACGTGGCCAGCAAATCAAGGTGCTCAGTCAGCTTTTGCGCAAAGCAAAAACCAAGGGATTCATCATGCCTTCGTACACGTCGCAAGGATCGGAGGAACAATATGAGGGTGCTACGGTTATTGAACCAAAACGCGGCTACTATGCTGATCCCATATCGACTCTCGACTTCGCCTCACTATATCCCAGTATTATGATGGCGCACAATCTATGCTACACCACGCTTCTGTTACCGGGCGCTCGGGATAAGCTATCGCTACGTGATGACCAAGTGGAGCGTACCCCGGCCAATAATAGCTTTGTGAAAGCAGAGGTGCGACGTGGGCTGCTCCCAGAGATCTTGGAATCACTGCTGGCAGCGCGTAAGCGAGCCAAGAACGATCTCAAGGTGGAAAAGGATCCCTTCAAGCGCCAAGTCTTGGATGGCAGACAGCTGGCCCTAAAGATATCGGCCAATTCAGTTTATGGCTTCACCGGTGCTCAAGTGGGTAAGCTGCCCTGTCTGGAAATATCGGGCAGTGTGACTGCCTATGGACGTACCATGATTGAAATGACAAAGAATGAGGTCGAATCCCATTACACCCGTGCCAATGGGTATGAGAACGATGCAGTTGTCATTTACGGCGACACCGACTCTGTGATGGTTAATTTCGGCGTCAAGGCCTTGGAGCGGAGCATGGAATTGGGGCGTGAAGCGGCGGATCTGGTCAGCTCGAAGTTTGTGCGACCTATTAAGCTAGAATTCGAAAAGGTCTACTATCCATATCTGCTGATCAACAAAAAACGCTATGCCGGCCTCTATTTCACACGCCCGGATAAATATGACAAAATGGACTGCAAAGGTATTGAAACGGTGCGACGCGACAATTCGCCACTGGTTGCCAATCTGATGAACTCATGTCTGCAGAAACTGCTAATAGAGCGCGACCCGGATGGGGCAGTGGACTATGCCAAGCAGGTCATTGCCGATCTACTTTGCAATCGCATTGACATATCACAGCTTGTCATTACCAAGGAACTGGCCAAAACAGACTACGCTGCTAAGCAGGCGCACGTGGAGTTGGCCAGCAAAATGAAAAAACGTGACCCGGGCACAGCACCTAAGTTGGGGGATCGTGTGCCTTATGTGATATGTGCCGCGGCAAAGAATACACCGGCTTACCAAAAGGCAGAGGATCCTTTATATGTGTTGGAGAACAGTGTGCCCATTGACGCCAACTACTATTTGGAGCAGCAGCTGTCGAAACCACTTTTGCGCATATTCGAGCCTATTCTGGGTGATAAAGCGGAATCAGTACTTCTCAAGGGCGCTCACACACTCACTCGCACTGTGGTGACATCCAAAATTGGGGGCTTGGCAGGATTTATGACTAAAAAAGCTTCATGCCTTGGCTGCAAGTCTCTGATGCCCAAGGGCTATGAACAAGCCTGCCTCTGTCCGCACTGTGAGCCCAAAATGAGCGAACTTTACCAGAAGGAGGTCAGCGCCAAGCGTAGCATGGAGGAGGCTTTTGCACGTCTGTGGACCGAATGTCAAAGATGTCAAGGGTCTCTGCATGAGGAAGTCATTTGCTCTAATAGAGATTGCCCCATTTTTTACATGCGACAGAAGGTCCGCATGGAGTTAGACACACAGGAGAAACGCGTCCGTCGGTTTGGGCTACCGGAATGGTAAAATATACATAAAGGTACACGTTTGCTTGAATTCTTTTGTTTTTTTTACCTATAATTTAAAAATTATATTACTAGAAATTATTACAAAGTTTTGCAGATGTTGATTTCGTTATTTTGCGCAATTTAAAAGCGGGTAGGAAAAATTCTCTTGCAACACGCGCGACACATTGGACAATTTTTTACATGGGGGCTAAGGGTTGGATAGGTATGAGGAAAGGCAGTTGTCGCTTGAGCGCTGACTATTTGCGGCTCTGTAAAGTATTGGACAGCCAATCCATAGCTTGATCTAGGCCCTCACCCTTGGTGGCGGATGTTTTGAATATTTGAAACGTGCGATTTTTAAGGTTCTCTAGACCTAGCGCGTGATGTACTTCGGCCACTGTCATGCAGCCCTCCATGTCCTGTTTGTTGGCAAGCACAACGAGTATCGCTCCGGCCAGCTCCTCCTCCCGCAGCATATACAGCAGTTCATCCTTTGAAATGCCAATACGGTCCCGATCCGCCGAGTCGACCACGTATATAATGGCGTCTGTATTGCTGTAGTAGCAGCGCCAATAAGGTCTGCAAATAGTAAAGCACACGATAACAATAAAAGTGATCTGCTATTAGCACGCATATTTTCACAAAGCTCACCTAATACTAGTCTGTCCTCCCAAGTCCCAGACTTGGAATTTTAAGTTTTTATATGTAACCTGTTCCACGTTAAATCCGATCGTCGGTATCGTGGTGACAACCTCACCCACTTGCAATCTGTAGAGTATAGTGGTTTTACCGGCGCCGTCCAGGCCCAGTATTAAAATGCGCATCTCTCTTGAACCGAGCAGACCACGAAAATAACTGAGCACCCCACCTGCAAAGTTGGGTGGATTTGTAGTATTTTTTATGACATTGATAGCAGATAGATGAATAAGCGGACGATTGGATAGCCGGTGGGACTGTCTCCTATAAGCCTATAGTTACCTACCCATGATTTAAGCTTAAATGCTGTGTGGTATGCGCCTCTAAATGCGATTTGTAAACCTAACTTATTTTATTTCGTTCGAATAGCTCTCTTGTTTTCACTTTTTTCAGTAAATATGACAGAATATGTTCTGCTGCTTCTTCTTATTGCGCTGACCATTCATAGTCAGCGTATCATGACGTGTCATGGCATACGTTCAGCACGAAACAATGAACATGTTGTAACAATGATAAACAAATAAGTAGTATTTTAAAACACGCTGTTTAATTAAAATTGTGTTAAATAACTTTTTTTTTTAAATTAAAAAATAAATTTTGTTTGCATATGTATTTTATCATCGACAGTTGACTGCTGAACGCATCCCAACCGGCTCAAGTGTTGCCACCCTTTTTAATTTGTTATAGAGAGACATCCGCCATTAGAGTTTTTGTGTCGCGTCGCAGTGTGAAAATTGTAGGCGAAAAGTGTTTCAAACAGTGCAAATAGGTAATTCTCTTCCAAAATAAAGTGCAATTGTGTTGTTTCATAACTGATTTATGCACCGCACATAAAATCAAGTTTACCAATGTTTCGTACAACGTGCTTTACGTGTACTACACAACTGTAGTTGTTGTGAAAATTGTGAAGCAAAAGCGATTACAATAATGTCTTATTCTGCGTTGAAGGCGTATAGGATTGAATAAGAGTTGCTATAGCACGTCTAACTACGTCGCATGTAAATAAGTAATTCCCTACCATTATAAATGTGCACTAACAGTGTTTTACGCTTATTTATTTAGGGGTTGCTGTTGCCTTCAGAAGCCGCAGCGTTAAATTTTGGTCGCCCTTAATATAGGAGGAAGTTAAGAAATATGGCATCGCCTTCGCCGGCGAACAGTCCCATGCCGCCACCGCAAGCACCGAGCCCTATGGCACCACCATCCCAAAGTCCTGCGCCCTCGCCTCATAGTCCATACCCCCATCAGCAGCCAGGCCCACCACAGGGTCCACAAGGGCCACCTGGTGGACCGCATATGCAAGGACCACCACCGCCCGGACATCCCGGACCGTATGGGCATCCTATGCAACATGGCCCGCCTGGTCAGGGTCCACCTGGTCATCATATGCCGCCCCATCACCAAGGAATGAGTATGTGGTTGTCTACTTCAAGCTTTATTTCCAACTATAATCGAACTCTTTCATGTACAGATCCACATATGGGCATGCAGATGCCGCCAACTGGTCCAAATATGTCACCAATTGGTTATCAAACCCACGGCATGCCTCCCAACGTAAGTACAGAAAAATATTGGTGATCTACTTAAATGTGTAATCGGTAATCTGATCAGCCTCTTGTATGAGTTGCAAAACTTCCTGAGCAAGTTCCTTCGTGGCAGCGCACACAAAATTTGGTTTTATTATGTCAAAATCGCCGCCATTTGAGTTGTAAATGACACCGCCCGCTTCTTGAAGTATTAATACTCCAGCAGCTACATTCCATGGTTCCAAATCGTCTATTTGGTATACATCCAGAGAGCCCTTTGCCAAATAGGTTAGCGATATGGCTGCACTTCCGAAGCAGCGTGTGCTAACAAATATAAAAGTATGCTAAATTTAATTTATGGTTAGTTTTGGGTCAACTCACCAAGAAGCTACTGCGGCCAGCTTGTAGCCACGCTTGACGTTCTTATCACGAAATGCTTCTGCATTTATTAGTGTGATTTCATGCCCCACAATCGCATCACTAATCTAAAAACCAAAAAATTCAAAATATCTTAAAAAAAAATTTAATACTACCCCACGTACCTTAGATGTTTTTGTTACATGAATGGGCTGTCCGTTTAAATACGCACCATGACCCTTCCATGCAGAGAACAATTCATTTGTCACCGGATTAAAAACAATGCCTGAGACTAGTTGTTTGCCAATTGATAAACCTACAGAAATGGCACAAAGCGCTAATCCATGTATGTAATTAGTTTTTCCATCAATGGGATCTATGAACCAAGTTGGTGCATCAGTTATTTCCACTCTGCCCTGTTCAATAATGATAGATTCCGGAAATGCATCTTTTAGGCCCTGTGCCAATATTTCCGCAATTTGACGGCCATATGCTGTAACAAAGTCGTCCTTGACCACTACATTTTGCCCAGTCCTGTTGTAGCCTTCCCTGAAAATCGGGCCACACTTAACGACAAGTTGCAGTGCCACATTGTGGTAAGCTTTCAATTGCTCCTCGGTAATCTTGTTCAACATATTAACAACTCTTCTTTTTATGAGTTCAAGAAAGCGATAAACACTTCAGTGTCTTCAATTAAGAAACGCAAACGGCGAGCAGTCGCCAGAGACTGAACTCAAAAATGCAATTTAACAAAAGCCATATTAAAAATGTGTATGTGTGTTAATATCAAAAGCTTTTTGAGCTTTTGGTGAGATAAAATTTATAATAGTTGACATAATATAAGTACGAAAAATGTAGCTGACAGTTCCTTTCACAGATAAGGTGAAATTTTTCTTGGAATTGCATGTATACATAATATCCACTACGTAAATGTATAATTCGTAATATATATTATCACGTACTTCTGGCGTATGAATAAAGGAAATTTCAGTGGCTATTAGCGCTTCATTGATCTGCAATAAGCCGGGAACTCTATTCAACAATACATAATTTAATATTATTTGGTATTACAAACTTTACGAGCTCCCGATACATGTATGCGCTGACCATTTAAATAAGCTCCATTAGCTTTCCAGGCGGAGTACAATTCATTTGCCGCCGGGTTGTAGACAACGCCCATAACCAGTTGCTTGTTTATAGTTAAAGCTAACGAAATGGCGCTGAAAGGCAACTTATGCATGAAATTAGTGGTTCCGTCAATAGGATCTAAAATCCATGTAGGTGCATCCGTTAGCTTCATCTTATTCTTTGTAGAAGACGTTTCTTCCTCGCCTATGAATATTGACTCGGGGAATGCTGCCTTAAGACTCTGGCATAATGTTTGCTCGATTTGTACATCGTAGACCGTTACAAAGTCCCAATAGGCATCTTTTACTTTAGCATCCAGTTTGCTTTTTCTATAGCCCTCCATAAATATTTGCCCACATTTGTTAACCTGCTCAAGTGCCACATCGTAATAAGTCTTCAATTCTTTCTCAGTATAATTATAAGTCATTGCCGATAGATAAAGTTTCCAATTGACTGTAGTATGTTTTCAGTTATTTATCCCCAAACAAGTATTTCAGCGGCTTTATTTTGCAAGCGAATCGGACAACCTCTTCCTTACAACTAAACTGCTTTTGCTGCGTTGTCGTTTTTAAATTTCTCATTAATGAAAAAGCTTTGCGAATTCTCAAAGCTCTTTGGTAGAGTGAGAGCGTGTCTGACCTTGAGTTGCTTTTCGTTTTAAGTTGCACCCTGCACCCAAAAAAGTATGTATGTATGTTACAAGCAGAAGAAAACGCGTTTGGCATTAAAGGGTTTGTAGATGATCGGAATAACGAAACGATTCTATATAGACAGGCCCACCAGTCTGTCCGTAGAAGCACGGATAACTATTTTCTAAAATTGTTAGGTAGACTTGTGTCTTACAACTTTCGGCGAAGAAAGGGTACTCGTTTGATTGGAAAAAATTGCTGTACAGCATATGTTATGGTTCTTTGCCGGCCACAGGTTTCGTTAGCTTTATCTTATTCTTTGTAGAAGACGCTTCTTCCTCGCTTATAAATATTGACTCGGGGGATGTCTCCTTAAAATTCTGGCTGTTACAAAGTCCCAGTAGGCATCTTTTGTTTTAGTATCCAATTTACTTTTTCTATAGCCCTCCATAAATATTTGTCCCCACTTTATTAATCTTGATTGCCCAGTTAAGAATGTAGATGTTTTCTTTTTATATACTTAAAATACTTGAAATGCTTAAAATCCACATCGTAATACAAGTATGTCTTCAAATCCTTCGCAGTATGATAACTCATTAGAAAGATATATAGATATATAAAGATAGATAACCCAATAGAAAGAGTTTTCAATTCACTCTTGTGGGATTATATTTTAAGCTAACCCAACAAAATCTGACCTGCAATTAAAGTTGTTCTGTTCTTGCTGTGTTGTGGTATTTGTTTTTAATATCTCATAAAGGCAAGAGCTTGGTTAACTCTAAAAGATTTGGGATAATGTGAGAGCCATTGTATGATACCCCCTGCACCCAAAAAGGTGTCCTTTATGATCAAATGTATGTAACAAGTCCCACTTTAAGTGGAAGCTAGGACACCACTTTCTACGTACAGCATCGATTGGTAAAAAAAAGAAACAGTGTTTATTTCTACTTAAAGATTTTATGTATTGTCTCATAATATTAATTTGATGAAAATCGATTTCTTACTGCATATACTTGTACCTATAAAAAAAAAAGATTTTCAAGTAGGCCGTGTAAAGGGTATTTAAGTGTCTTCTTGTTATTGCTTCGATCGTGATCAACAAAAGAAAGGCTCAACAAAAGTTGTTATGATTCTTCGCCGCCCACAGCTTTTGCTAGATCTGCTTGGCGCAGCAGGTCTTCAAGCTCCTTTCGCAAATTTTCAGTGCTCGCACATATAAGATCAGCTTTCATGACGTCAAAGGGTTCCCCTGAGGGATGCGTTATGACGCCACCAGCCTCAGATATTAGCAAAGAGCCGGCGGCACAATCCCAGGGATACATGTCCTCGATATAGAACGCATCAAGATTACCGGCAGCTACCAAGCTCAGGTCTTCAACAACGCTGGAGTAAGACAATAAGCTATTGAAGAGAATAATGCGTATTTATTCATCTCTCTAGCGATATTCGTTTGGATTTTACCGTCTGGCCTGTGCACCCACATAGTATATGCGTTTGATGTGCTTGTTCCGCACCTTTTCCACATGCAGGAGAGATACTTCATACGCAACATTAGCGTCGTTCATCCGCTTGCAGTCGCTCACATGTATCCGCTCTCCATTGCAGAAGGCACCCTGATTTAGCTTGGCAGTGTACATTTTCTTCTGAACGGGGTTATTAATAAGGCCCAAAACTATTTGCTTGTTTATAGCCAGACCAATGGATACACAAACATGTGGGATTTGCTTGATAAAGTTCGAGGTGCCATCTATGGGATCAATGATCCAAGTGGGCGCATCTGTCAGCTCTTTCGAAACATTATTATTCTTGGCAGTGTCCTCTTCACCTATGAACTTATGTTCCGGATATCTTGACAATATCCTACCCATGATATGCTCTTCGATCTTGTTGTCATAGTCAGTGACCACATCATAGAATGCACCCTTTATGGATACATTTTTAGAAGCTTTCTCATACCCCTCGAGCAACAGCTCTCCGGCTCTAACTGCTACCGGGTATATGAAGTTATATAACTCGTCTATAACCGTTTCTGTTGTCATTTTATTTCCACTGCAACGAACTTGCGTATTTGAACTTGAATTGAAAATTGCGGAGCACGTTGTATCTCTGTTCAGATTGTGTCGTCAACTGTTCTCGGAGTCGAAGACGTTCTGCGGGAGCTTTATTTTGCATTTGTCTCTCGCGCAACTCTTGCTTTTAATTGTTTATTTGAATTCACTGTTAATTTATGAGCTGTTAAATGTTTTCGAGATAGCTTTAGAGATGTTTCGAAGCAATTGGTTGTCATTTATCTCCAACAAACATCTTTCTTATCTAACGAGACCGTCAGTATGGGCCCAGTCAGCGATGAAATAAGCGACACTATTGACTTTAGGGGCTTACAGTAACAGACTTTGTACTTTTAATGTGTATATGATACCAATATAGATAAAGTATTTTTTCTATCAGCTCATTAAGAATAAAAATTTGGAGATGATTCTGTAAAAAATGTGAATCCACAAGTCTTCCATTTCAAGTTCCATCATGACCTTCTCAAACCAATTCCTTATATTATAATCATAATATTCTTCTTCATGTATATATGTGTATCATAATTTGGCTGCAGAATTCAGGTTTTCAAAGTAAATTTAATAATTTAACCCACTTAAAAAAGTTTAATCTTTGTTGACCGTGAGCTCAATTCATACAAATAATTGATTAATCTTGATTGTCCAGTTAAGAATGTAGATGTTTTATTTTTATATACTTTTACAATCAACTCGTTCGTAGATGAAACTATTCTGCTGTTGATTTATTTTTATTAAAAAATAATACACTTGCATATTTATCATGAAAACAATACATATGTATATAGTATGTGTGGATATGTGAGTGGATGGGCTTACTTAAAAGTATATTCCATAATTTGGTTGGCCTCATCAATCAGAGAAATCACTTCTTTCGACAACTCCTTGGTAGAAGTGCACACACAGTTTGGTTTCATTATATCGAATTCGCCACCATTTGTGTGACAAACGACACCACCGGCCTCACGCAGTATAACGGCACCGCCGGCCAAATCCCAAGGCTTCAAGTCCTCAATGTGATAAACATCCACCTGACCCGTGGCCACATAGCAGAGAGTCAGTGCAGCGCTGCCGAAGCATCGAGTGCTGTTAGAGATGGAATATATGTCAGCAAAAGATAGTAAACATTGACAGATATTACGTTTATGCCAGCCAAAAATCAAAAACATTTCATTTCTTGAACACTGGCATCATATATGAGCAATGTGAGCTGGTTGTTTAATAATCTTATGGGGAGCGAAAAGGCTTACATAATTAAACAAACAAACAAAAAGACTGATAATGTCCGTGACAAGATTTTGAATCCGCCTTTTTATACCATAGGGTAAAAAAGCTATATTAGGTATAGGCAAAGTATGTATATATATTCTGAATCAGCATGACTAGAGAAATCGATCTAGACATGTCCGTCCGTCCGTCCGTCTATCTGGATGATCGCCTGGATTTCGGAAACGGCTGAGTGTACATAAACCAAACTTGGTATGCAGACGCACCTAGTCCCTAGGCTATACGAGTTTATTTTATTTTTTTGAATTTCCCCCCTTTCCCCCGCCACAGAATTTCGTCAATACTGTCCACATTTCAAAAGCTACTCCAACCAAACTGCACACATATTTTTATATAATTATCTACTTTTGTTTCAAATTTCATTTAAATCGGTTAATTCTCAAAAAAGTTATTAGCGAAACAATTTTACTCCGGTACTACGGTCACAGGCTTCTTCCTCTTCTTGCTTCTGCTATGGGTGTATATAACTCAAGGACAGAAGTTTGTCTGGGTACAGGGTATTTCAATGTCGGGCTGTAGCGTTCTCTTGTTCCTTATTAACTTGATCAATTGTACATAAAATTCTTCGCAGTCTGGCTACATTTTTAAAAAAATAAATGTATCGCCAGAAAATATGAATTGGTGAGAGGTGGCAACGCAAATGTACAATGATTAATAGCTGGTTCAAAAAATGCTTAACTTGAAATTGGCGCCAAACCCAAATGAACAATTAATATTAAAAGTTTGCCTGAAGAGATCACATGTCCTAGCCCTATTCACAATCATTTACATATGCATACATATCTTGAAATGATTTTCTGCTTTCGCGCTAGCATAAACTCAATAAGAGACATCTTACCCGGTTGCATTCGAAGCCAACTTATATATGCGTTTTATGTTCTTGTCTCTGACTGATGGCGCATGTATGAGTGAGATTTCGTAAGCAATCACAGCTTGGTTTATCTGTGGAGGCACACAAAAGGAGAGCAGATTAGCGAGAACCGTAAACAGAACTTTACAGCGGGCATCAATTAGGTTTGTATTGAGAGCATTTTTTGCTTGTCATCATGCAAAGCAAAAAAACAAAATCAAAGAGGTATAATTGGTTGATCATGTGTATGTATGTCTTTGTTGGAACCGGCTTCTCTCTCCGAGAGCTTAAAGTTCAGTGCTTAGTGTATGTATTTATGTATGTTGCGCGTAATGCTCAGAGAAACCGCAAATGTTTGCCTGTTGATTGCATTAACTCTCCAGTTATTTTGGGTTATCTCATAATAGTTATCTTTGACACTTGCCTTGCTGACTTTTGAGACATTTATGGGCTGGCCATTTAAAAAGGCACCATGTCCTTTCCAAGCGGTAAATAACTCGTCAGCCGGCGGATTGTAAACAACGCCCACAACAAGTTCTTTATTGATGGCCAGACCCACGGATATGCAACAATGTGGAATGCGACGTATGAAGTTAGTGGTACCATCAATAGGATCTATTATCCATGTTGGTGCATCAGTTAATTCCGGCAGACGTTTCGTTGCCGCCGATTCCTCCTCTCCGATGATGAGAGATTCGGGGAAGGCCGACAGTAGACCTTTGGTGAGCTTATCCTCAATCTGTTTGTCATATACGGTGACCAGATCGTAAAAGTCGGCTTTCACCTTGAAATCTGTTTGGCCCTTCTGATAGCCCTCCAGCATAAGGGGGCCACATTTTTTGACCAAATCCACAGCCACTTCGTAGTAAGACTTCAATTGTGCTTCGCTAACCGTTTTACTCATATTTGTATATTTCTTTTTGTTCTATTGCGAGAGAAATACTTGAGAGACAACCAAACACTTTCAGCTGGCGCTGACAACTGAAAAGTTCTTCTAACTCTCGATTGCTACACGTTTATGAGTGCATGTAGCCGTAAATTGATAGCGAAAGCAAAATACACAATGATAAAAAGCTCACGACACAATCAATTTAAATTTTGTTATAGTTTTATTTTTGTTTATTGCAATTCATGGGGGCGTACTGGAAAGTTTTACTCTTGAGTCTCACTGCTAGAAAAGCTCTGTGAAAAGTTTATGCTATTTCGCCGCCTCCTACTGACTTTTCCCGATCAGCTCTGCGAATTAGTTGCTCCATTTCGTTGCGCAAACTTTCCGTGCCTGCGCAAATCAAGTCTGGCTTCATTATATTATATGGGCCACCATATGGATGAGTCACAACACCGCCAGCCTCGCTTATAAGTAAATACCCGGCGGCACAATCCCATGGATACATGTCTTCGATGTGAAAGGCATCCAGATTGCCAGCGGCTACCATGCATAGTGAATCCACCACACAAGAGTAGGCCAGCAGCCTGCCAAATGAGTTGGAAAAATCGTAGAGGTAGTAAGGATAATGCTTAAACACTTACCGCCTTGCCTGCGCACCCACATGGTAGATGCGTTTGATGTGCTTGTTCCGAATCTTTGCAGCGTGTAGAAGACAAACCTCATAGGCCACATTAGCCTCGCTTATGCGCGCACAGGTGCTCACGTGTATGGGCTCTCCGTTGCAATAGGCCCCTTGACCCAACTTGGCGGTGTAGAGTTTCTGCTGAGGAGGATTGTTCGCAATACCCAATACAATTTGCTTATTTATGGATAGACCAATTGACACACAAACATGAGGAATTTGTTTTATGAAATTGGAGGTACCATCGATGGGATCAATGATCCAAGTAGGCGCATCTGTTAGCTCCTTGGTAATGTTATCATTTTTGGCCGTGTCCTCCTCGCCTATGAATTTGTGATCTGGATATTTGGCTAGTATTTCTCTCATAAGAAACTCCTCAATTTTGTTATCATACTCAGTAACCACATCGTAAAAACCGCCACTCTTCAGCGACACAGCCTTGCCCGCCTCCTGATAACCCTCGAGTAGAATGTTACCTGCACGCACCGCCAGCGGGAAGATGAATTCATAAAGCTCGTCTATTTGCGTTTGCGTTGCCATTGTGATGTCTTCAGTTGCTTGTCTCCCCTTTATCTGCTATAATAATTGTCGTCGCGCTGTCAAATTGCGATACCCGTTGTCTCTCCGCTGCTGCCGACCCGTACACTGAACTCCCAGCACTTCAAGAACGAGTTTTCGCTTACTCAGTAAGTCGTTTGATTCTGCGACAGAGAGCGAACGCTTCTGACTAATTATAAATGTGCCTCTCCCAAAGCGTCTATGTTTAATAATTTGTTTATATTGGCATGCAATTTCTACATAGCCTTATAACATCATGACATGCAGCTGTAAAGATTTATTAACTGTGTGCTCAGGTACACGCGTCTGGTAGTTTAGACCCCATATATTACTTAACGTGATTTATATTTCCAGCAAAGAAACTTTATCAAACAAAACGAAACAAAAGTCTGTTATGTGATCAAAGATCACATAATAATGTGTCTAGCCTTTAGTTATATTTGGATTGTTCAGCAAGAGATCTAAGAGCTGTAAAGCTACAGCTGGAAGAGATATCATTAATCATTATCATATCTTTCAAATTTCTGAAGTTGTGCAATCCTTAAAACTTAATTTAAAATCGCCCTTTTGAGGCCCAAATTTTCTCTACAAGTCGGCGGGCAAGTCGTCTCTTATATATCCCACAAAAAATACCTACAACAAAGGGGGTAAAAAATAACAATAGAACTAAAATTATGTTCTTGTTTTGAAAGTGGTTATAGGGTTTTCAAAAGTTGGGCATACAAGACTCGCATTCCATTCCCGTTTATCATACGTTGTTGTCAAATTAAGATAAAACCGAAACATACAATATAGAGTTGGTTTGGGTTAGAGAGAACTCCAATTTTCTATGGAAAGACCCAAGCTGATAAAAAAGTTAATTATCATGAATTAATGAGGTATACTTTTGGTTTTCAGGGACCGCAACAGCCCGGTCAAGTGCCACCTGGCCCGCCTGTGCCGCCCGAGCGTTCCGGTCAGGAGAATCTTCATGCGTTGCAGCGCGCCATTGACTCGATGGAGGAGAAGGGTATGCAGGAGGATCCACGTTACTCCCAGCTATTGGCCATGCGCGCCACCTCCAAGCATCAGCATCTCAATGGCAATCAGGTGAACATGCTGCGCACCCAGATCACTGCATATCGTCTGTTGGCGCGCAACAAACCGATTTCCATGCAAATGCAACAGGCGCTGCAGGCGGCGCAGCAGCAACAACCACCCATTGGACCACCGGGCATGCCGGGTGTACCGCCGGGAGTACAGCACGGTGGTCAGCCACCGGTGCAGCCTCAGCAGCCGCCGTCAACGGGCACTCCACCACAATGCTCAACGCCACCGGCCAGCCCCTACGGTCAGCCGGTACCCGGCCAGAAATTGCAGCCACCGCCACCACACATGCAGGGTCAACCACTGCCCGCTCAGCTTCCGGGACAGCAACAACCGCAACCGCCGGGTATGCCGCCTGTGGTGGGTGTTCCCCTACCTCAACAGCAGCCGCCGGTAGAGCTGCAACATCAGTTGCCAAATGGTGGAAAGCCCTTGGCCATGGGTGCCGCCGGTGGTCAGCCCTTGATAGCCACGCCCATGCAAGCGCAAGGTGTGCGAGCAGTGAATGCAGCGCCGACACTACCCGGCTTGCCAGGCAATCAGGTAGCGCCTGGCATGCCACCAGCTCCACGACCCGGAGCACCTCCCGGCCAGCAACAGCCCATGGCAAAGCCTAATCGCGTTACCACAGTGGCCAAACCCGCTGGTCTGGATCCCATTACGTTGCTGCAGGAGCGCGAGAATCGCATTGCGGCGCGCATTTCGCTGCGTATGCAGGAACTTCAGCGGCTGCCAGCTACCATGTCGGAGGATCTGCGGCTGCAGGCGGCAATCGAGCTGCGAGCGTTGCGAGTCCTAAACTTCCAACGGCAGCTGCGCATGGAGATCGTGCAATGCACGCGACGGGACACGACGCTAGAGACCGCTGTTAATATGAAGGCCTACAAGCGTACCAAACGCCAGGGACTGCGTGAAGCTCGTGCCACCGAGAAGCTGGAAAAGCAGCAGAAACTCGAAGCGGAACGTAAGCGGCGTCAGAAGCATCTGGAGTTCTTGGCCGCCGTGCTGCAGCATGGCAAAGATCTTCGCGAGTTCCATAGAAATAACAAGGTAAATCTAAATGAATGTTTACGATTTTATATAGTTTTTTATAAGAGAATGGATTAATTAATAACAAATTTTTCGTTTCTCTTTTAAGCTGCAATTGGGACGCATGAACAAGGCGGTGATGAATTACCATGCGAATGCAGAGCGTGAACAAAAGAAGGAACAGGAACGAATTGAGAAGGAGCGTATGCGGCGTTTAATGGCCGAGGATGAGGAGGGTTATCGCAAGCTTATTGATCAGAAAAAGGATAAGCGCCTGGCGTTCTTGCTCTCGCAGACGGACGAGTATATTAGCAACCTCACACAGATGGTTAAACAGCACAAGGACGATCAGATGAAAAAGAAGGAGGAGGAGGGCAAGCGGCTACTGCAGTACAAGAAGGAGCTGCTACTGAGCGGGGAATACGTAAACATCGATGATGGCTGCATTGCGGCCGATATGCGTGTCCATGTGGTGGAACAGTGCAGCGGCAAGAAGCTAACTGGTGACGATGCACCTATGCTAAAGCACTTGCATCGCTGGCTGGACATCCACCCTGGCTGGGATTGGATAGACGACGAGGACGATGGCGAAGATGCTTCCGGAAAGGAGAAATTACGTGGTCTCGAGAAGGAGGAACAGAATGAGCGTAAATCAGATACAGAGACATCGCAGGAGGCTGATGTGGAAGAGAAGGATCTAATTAAGAGCGCCAAGGTGGAGGATGATGAATACCGTACCGAAGAGCAAACTTACTACAGCATTGCGCACACCATACATGAGAAGGTAACCGAGCAGGCGAGCATTATGGTCAACGGACAGCTGAAGGAGTACCAGCTGAAGGGTCTAGAGTGGCTCGTTTCGCTGTATAACAACAACTTGAATGGTATTCTGGCCGATGAGATGGGTCTGGGTAAGACCATACAGACCATATCTTTGGTTACCTATCTAATGGATCGCAAAAAGGTCATGGGCCCATTTTTAATTATTGTGCCACTCTCCACGCTGCCCAATTGGGTGTTGGAATTTGAGAAATGGGCACCCGCAGTGGGCGTGGTCAGTTACAAGGGCAGTCCACAGGGTCGCCGCCTGCTCCAAAATCAAATGCGTGCTACCAAATTCAATGTACTGCTGACTACCTACGAATATGTCATCAAGGATAAGTCCGTTCTGGCCAAGATACAATGGAAGTACATGATCATCGATGAGGGTCATCGCATGAAGAATCACCACTGCAAGCTAACGCAGGTGCTAAACACACACTACATTGCGCCCTATCGTCTGCTGCTAACGGGTACTCCGCTACAGAACAAGCTGCCGGAGCTGTGGGCTCTGCTTAATTTCTTGCTACCATCCATCTTTAAGTCTTGTTCCACCTTTGAACAATGGTTTAATGCCCCATTCGCCACCACTGGCGAGAAAGTCGAGCTGAACGAGGAGGAGACCATTTTGATTATTCGTCGTTTACATAAGGTGCTGCGTCCCTTCCTGCTTCGCCGTCTCAAGAAGGAGGTGGAGCACCAGCTTCCCGACAAGGTCGAGTACATTATCAAGTGCGATATGTCTGCTCTGCAGCGAGTTCTTTACAAACACATGCAAAGCAAGGGGGTGCTGCTAACCGATGGCTCGGAGAAGGGCAAGCATGGAAAAGGTGGCGCCAAGGCTCTAATGAACACAATTGTCCAGCTGAGGAAGCTCTGCAATCATCCCTTCATGTTCCAGCATATCGAGGAGAAGTACTGTGATCATACGGGTGGACACGGTGTCGTTTCTGGTAAGTTTTTCAATTCTATGATTAAAGCATCAATCTAAATATAACTTAAATTCTGTAGGACCTGATCTCTATCGTGTCTCTGGAAAATTCGAGCTGCTCGATCGCATTTTGCCTAAGCTTAAGGCCACCAATCATCGTGTACTTCTTTTCTGTCAAATGACTCAATGCATGACCATTATTGAGGACTATCTTAGTTGGCGGCAGTTTGGCTATTTACGTTTGGACGGCACCACAAAAGCGGAGGATCGTGGCGAGCTACTCCGAAAGTTTAACGCCAAGGGCTCTGACTACTTTGTCTTTTTGCTATCCACACGTGCCGGCGGTCTCGGCTTGAATTTGCAAACTGCCGACACAGTTGTTATATTCGATTCGGATTGGAATCCCCATCAGGATTTGCAGGCACAGGATCGTGCACATCGTATTGGTCAGCGCAATGAAGTGCGTGTCCTGCGCTTAATGACGGTCAATTCCGTTGAAGAGCGTATTCTAGCCGCAGCGCGTTACAAGCTCAACATGGACGAGAAGGTCATCCAGGCGGGCATGTTTGATCAAAAGTCGACGGGCAGCGAACGTCAACAATTCTTGCAAACTATTCTGCACCAGGACGACAACGAAGAGGAGGAGGAGAATGAAGTGCCCGATGATGAGATGATTAACATGATGATAGCACGCAGCGAAGAGGAAATTGAAATATTTAAGAAAATGGATGTGGAGCGCAAGAAAGAGGACGAGGAAATTCATCCGGGCAGGGAGCGTCTTATTGACGAGTCAGAGCTGCCCGACTGGTTGACCAAGGACGATGATGAGGTTGAACGTTTCCATTACCAATACGACGAGGATACTATCTTGGGTAAATAGTCCACTGAACGCCATTTTTTGAAATGTTTTTAATTTCTTTTCCATTTTTTTAATGGCTGTAGGCCGCGGCTCGCGTCAGCGCAAGGAAGTGGACTACACGGACAGTCTGACTGAAAAGGAGTGGCTGAAGGCGATCGACGACGGCGCGGAATTCGATGAGGAGGAGGAGGAAGAGGACTCCAAACGAAAACGGCGCAAGCGCAAGAATCGGAAAGAGGAATCTGATGACGATTCTGTAATTCTTAAACGACGTCGTCGCCAAAACATTGATAAGCGATCTAAAAAGCAAATGAACAAGATTATGAGCGCTGTCATTAAGCACACACAGGACGGTCGCATCCTCTCCGAGCCGTTCATGAAGCTACCCTCGCGACAGCGTTTGCCCGACTATTATGAGATAATCAAACGACCAGTGGACATCAAGAAAATATTGCAACGCATAGAGGACTGCAAATATGGAGATTTGAATGAGTTGGAAAAGGATTTCATGCAGTTGTGCCAAAATGCCCAAATTTACAATGAGGAGGCCTCCCTCATTTACATGGATTCTATTGCATTGCAAAAAGTATTCGTAGGCGCACGACAACGCATTACCGTGGCAGCGGCTGCGGCGCAAGAGGCAGCTGGAGACAACACGGGAGAAGGTCATGGATCGGATAATTCCGAAAATGAGGAGGATGAGGGCGAAGAGGGCTCGGATGATGAAGAAATGGCGACGACTTCGGCCTCAGCCGTTAAGATGAAACTTAAGCTAAACAAGTCAGTGGCCAGCGCACCTTCTACGCCCACTCAAACGTCAGCGGCAGCACCAAGCGGCGCTGCTACCACCTCCAAAAAGCAGACGCGCCGAAAACGTTCCCAGAAGAAGTACACTATATCCGATGATGATGACGATGACATGGACTAGCTGCCATTGGGAGTGATCTTCAAGCGTGTCACGACCACGACGGACGGTGCAGACAGCGATGCTTCAAAATTAAGTTAGACATTCATTTCATAAATGCGCTTGAGTTATAATTGTACGTTTTCCCCATTTGTTCTTACGTCCTTCCCTTCCCATTTCTGTATTTCAAAATTGGTCTACCAAAGAGAAATTATGGTAAGGGAGGGATATTGAAAGCTTAGATAAAAATGTTGTCTAACCTTTTAAGTAACCCTCCCTTGACCTTCCCTTCTCTTGGGTATTTTATAAGTAATGTAATGCATATATATACATACATACATATATTTAACTAAACTCTACATACTTTTAAATAAATGCATACTTAATATAAAACAATTCTAAAGCAAGTAATGGAAAAACTCATCGCAGAATTCATGAACGGATGTTGTGTATTCCTCATCGCCGCTGTCATTGCGACGCAGAGGAATTTTATGAGCATTTGCGTACAGATCATCAGTGTCCTCATCATCAGGGTCTGCAATTTAAGAATGAAATTATTAAAATAGGATTCCAACCTCTTTTTATAACGTGCAAAAGAAACATGTTTTAGGCTAACTTGTGAGTCAGCCAGTTGTATTAAAGAATCAGATTAGATTAAAATCCTGCCACTTATAAAACAAAGCTAAACAATTGATTTTCCAGTAGAAATCCCCTTTTATTTTAAGGGAAATAATTGCTATAAGTTTTATGAAATCGCTATGTTTTTGTAGCAACCAAAAGGAAGCTTGCCAAACGGTAAAGGAATAGCTTTAATCAGCATGATATTGTTCTAGAAATGTTCGTCTGTCTGTACGTTCGCAAGGAGCTCCCAAACTATAAAGATAGAGTCACCAAAACTTAGTATTCAAACTCCATCAATTATTTTTTGTTTGCACCACCGCTAAAGACATACAAATTTTATAATCGATATAGTGAAATTTATTCTGAATAATTCTTTCGAATGTAAGTATTGAAAATAGAAAAACAAACATGAGTTTTCCCATCTGACCACTCATGGTTCCATATACATTATATAGACTTTATCATTTTCGCAAAAATGTATTTATATACTACTATATATCAGAAATTTTGAGAGTTCCTTATCGCTACTAAGTTTGTTTGCTCAAAAAAGTTTTCTTATTGATACAATGGAGAAAACGGTCGACGTTAACATACGAGTATAAGACTTAAAGATTAAGTATTAAATAAATGTCATACACTTATCTAATAGTTAATTTATAGAAGTCAGACCTTTGCTTCCTATTTCCTAATCAAATGAAAATAGATGTGGGTACTGAAAGTAAATTTATTATACCATGAAAAAGGATATACTAGTTTTAATTGACCCCATTTAATGTTTTCGTTTAAAACAATAACTTATTTTCTTTTTTATGTACTCGGCAGAAAAGGTTTTATCATGTTTTTTATGTATGCTATATCAAAAAATACCTACATAAGTAAACCTGTAGGTATAAATAGATGCGTGTATTGAAATATATGTAATACTCAAACATATGTGTTGTCTAGCGTATCCGGAATGCGTTGCGCTGCCATTAAAGAAAAATATTTTAAATACTTGGATATCAAACCCTTATAATTCTTTTACCGAATGTTAAAAATAGCCAGTTACGTCCTTCTGATCGTTTGCGTTAGACAATTGCTGTGATATTACGAATTTTTATTTAATCGTATTTTCCACACGTATGTGTGTTAAATAGTTTCTGAGTAAGGGTTTCTCTTATATGGTGTTACTCATTGAATAATGAATAGCTACCAAATTTCAATCGTGTGCGACAAATAACTACCGAGTAGATGACCAATTTTGATTTTTCCTTTTTATGGTGCAGGGTGTACCGATAGGTGCAAAAGTATTCTAGACTTATAAGCAGGACTGACTAGATTAATGAAATGATTAATGAATTAAATCATAAAAGCTAGGAACACCATATTTGGCCTTACTTATCCATACGGAGAACAACCATACATATCCTCCATACAAACAATCTAAATATATATTTAGAGATTTGCTATTTAAGAGTTTTGTATAGTGCCTTGCGATATTTTGAAGTTTTATTAAAATTGGTGCACTACGAACACATTTTTATTTCAAAATATATCAAGCAATCAGCATATCGGCAGTTTTTTCACAAATGTTATTTTAATTGAATGGCAGTAGCAGGAGAAGATATTAATATGCTCTACAATTTTGTAATATAGCCAAAACCCCCCAAGTTGTTGCAAGTAACTTTTGTAAAGTGCATAATTAGATCTATTTGCTTTTATAAAAATCCTAATCATTTAGAAGGCACTTTATAACATTCGATTGTTTTGTGTTTACAGCAAGTAAAACAAATACATAAAATAAAGAAAATAAAAATTAAATTAATAGTGCCGTTTATAATTGTGCACGCATATAATACAAACAAATATAAATATTTATATCGGAATATATAAATTAACAATGAAAACGTTTAATGCAATTTCCAATTGATTGCAACTTACCTTTGTATTTTTGCTTTCTTCCCAGTCGCTTCGATGATGACAGCACCGCCTCATCGCCAAGGTCCAGTTCGTGCTCCTTGGAGCGGCGGGAGTAGCGCACGGGTGGAGCCAAAAACCAGTACGATCGAAGAATGCCCTTAAGGCCCGGCATATTGCGTAACTCTTCCAGCCTTTGGGGGTGCTTCGTCAATGTCTGGAAGGCTCTCAGTTGCAAGGTTGCAACTTGCGATGTAGAGTTAATTAGCCTTATGACTGACTTGGCGGCCGTAGAGCATACCATGGGATATATTTTTGTGTTTGGATTTGTGGGTATATTTGTATAGGCCACACCAAGGGACCGCCTATTCAAATAGAATTCCAAATGGCCACGCATGCGATCCAAAAAGATGCCCACCAGGCAGCCCTGTGAAAACTTTTGACCATAGGGCAGTTGTTCGCCGCAGTGTTGTGTTCTGCCATTGTAGGAGTAGCCCCAGGATTGGGCGTTGGTGCCCAGTGCTGAGACAAAGTGAAATTTGAACTGTTCTAGATTGACGCCATCTGTTCCGATACCAAACATCTAGAAGAGTTCGAGAAATGTTTACATTACTTTGTGCTTGAACTTTTGCGGTGCTAATGAATCGTCGCTATCAGCGAAAGTTGAACAGTTTTCTTATCAGCCTGTCAGTCGGTTGCTAGTTGAGCGGATCTGAGCCAGAGCCGATTTGTTTTCCGTATAATGTTGGGGCGCATACAAAAATACACTAGACATTGTGCCAAGAGCATTCATGTCGCGTCTTATCTCTGTGTAGTGCATTCTTCCCTTATCGGCTCGCATTGTAATCCATTTGTAATTAAATGTAAGCCTGTGGTGTACCACTTTACCTTGCTTATCAGCGCAAACTATAGCCGACTTTGACTGACATTGATTCAGGTTATCTACTTACCACATCGGTGCCTGCTAGTGCTGTTATGACGCGCATCTCCCAGAAGTGCACCTTGTCCGCCTCCAGGAGTTGATCGCCCCTCACTATTGCCGTACCCTGGCTATATATAGGATGGAAAATTATGTCACGTCCATCGATTTGTACATCGGACTCTTCACTGTGGTGCCATTTCCATTGAAGTCCGTTTCCACTGTCCTCGCCACAGATGCACTTTACGAGATTTGTTATTGGTCCATTGTGGTCGTTGACGTCTGTGCAGCTGGGAAAAGTACAGTCACAAAAGCCTGGACAACGTGCTTCCTGTTGCGTAGTGAGCATTATTGTTTTTATTCTCGACCAAGTTAGGATGCCGGACAACTCGTGCGTTCACCTCCGCTTGCAACGTCGCACTAATTTAATGCGCTTTCGTTGCACTTGAACTCACTTTCCAGTTAAACGAGTTACGATTTTTGACCCGGGTTTTCTTAATGACTTACGACACATGTGTCCGCTTCGGTTTGCTTTCCGTGTACGAGTAATGCGAGCGGATAATCAAAAGCAGACCATGTCTTGTTTGTTTACCTTTTTATGAAGATTTCTTTAAGCGTTATCGAACTAGATCGAAGTACTTATTGCTTATCGATGGTGGCTCGCGTCATCGGAACGCCTCACTGGAAAGAAGGAGCCAGTTGGGAGAGTATGAATGTATATTCGGATGTTAGCCTCGATGTCGATGTATTCAAAAATCAAAATATTAATTTATGACACAATAACATTATTTTTAATTTAGCTTATGATCGGCTTGAAGTAATAAAGTGAGCAAAACTGTAAACTGTGAAAATATTTTTTAGCTATTAAAAAGATGTGAGTATCCGCATTTACTACTAGTAGACTTCCATATTATCTGTAAGTTCGGTAGGCCTATAGAAAGGTGGTGGAGCCCACCATTTTTTGCAGCAGGCAAAAAAACGTCCACAAAATTCCGATGTTATAGCAACTACAATGCATCGAAAATACATCGCAATACAAGAACTCGATAAGCACCGTGTTAAAAATAATCGATGTCCGTTTATCGATTTCGTTTTCCATCTCTAAGTGCGAACAGCAAAGCGGCAATTTTTTATATTAAACTCGCGAAATCGTATGATATATAATTGCTACGCTTGGAAAACGTAGGTAGGAATAACTATCCAATATGGCTGATGCAGCAGCCCGTCAATTACAGTACGAGTACAAAGCGGTAAGTACAAAAAAGGGTGTCGGGAATATTTTCAATGTGCATGCTGTAAACGTTTGCAGCGCGAAAAAGTGTATTCGCTAAATTTTGGTTCTTTCAGAACTCAAACCTTGTGCTGCAAGCTGATGTTCGACTCATCGAGCGTCCACGTCGCGATGAAGCCACCGGCGAGGTGTGTTCGTTAGTGGGCAAATTGGATGGCACGCGTATGGGCGATCGATATCAGCGGACCAAGCCGGAGAAGACGGAGGAGCGCAAGGTGAAGCGTCAAAAGCGTGATGAGGCGCAGTACGACTTTGAGCGCATGAAGGGCGCTACACTTTTGTCCGAGGGCATTGACGAAATGGTTGGCATTGTATACAGACCCAAAACGCAGGAAACACGACAGACATACGAGGTTCTGCTGAGCTTTATTCAGGAGGCGTTGGGCGATCAGCCGCGTGACATATTGTGTGGTGCAGCGGACGAGATTCTTGCAGTGCTTAAGAACGATAAGCTCAAGGACCGCGAGCGCAAACGTGAAATTGACAGCTTGTTGGGGTCTGTGACCGATGAGCGTTTCGCGCTTCTCGTAAATCTGGGAAAAAAGATTACAGACTTTGGCAGCGATGCTGTAAACGCGCTGACTGCAGCTCCCAACAATGAGGAGCAGATTGACGAGACTTACGGAATTAATGTGCAGTTCGAGGAGTCCGAGGAAGAGAGCGACAATGATATGTATGGTGAAATTCGTGACGATGATGCACAGGATGAGGGTGAAGAAGCACGTATAGATCACACTCTGCACGCAGAAAATGTAAGCATATCTAAGAAATATTTTTTAAAACTTCCGCATTATAACTGTCTGTATCCACAGTTGGCCAGCGAGGAGGCCGCCAGCAATGTAAAAAAGGATCGGTCTCTGCATCCGTTGGACATTGATGCCTATTGGCTGCAGCGGTGTTTAAGCAAGTACTACAAAGACGCCATGGTATCGCAGAGCAAGGCGGCTGATGTCCTAAAGATCCTTAAGGATGCCGCTGATGAACGTGACTGTGAAAATCAGCTTGTGCTGCTGCTTGGCTACGATTGCTTCGACTTCATTAAACAGTTAAAGCTGAATCGCCAGATGATTCTCTATTGCACTATGTTGGCTTCCGCTCAAACAGACAGCGAACGCCAGCGCATTCGGGAAAAGATGCGTTCCAATATTGCACTCGCGAAAATTTTACGCCAGCTTGACACCGGCAAAGCAGATGAGCAGGAGGAGGCAGCCGCCAGAGCCAACAAGCGCGGCAAGGGTGATGCAGAGGATGGTGGTGCTACTACAGCGGGTCAAGTACCAGGAGTCCGTCAACTATTGGAATTGGAAGAGCTGGCCTTCACCCAGGGTTCGCATTTTATGGCCAACAAACGTTGCCAGTTGCCAGATGGCTCGTATCGTAAGCAAAGGAAAGGTTATGAGGAGGTCCACGTGCCCGCCCTCAAGGCGGTGCCTTTTGAGGCACACGAGGAACTGCAGCCAATCGACAAGTTGCCCAAGTATGTGCAACCTGTGTTTGAAGGATTCAAAACGCTCAATCGCATCCAGAGTCGACTCTACAAGGCGGCCCTGGACAGCGATGAGAATATGCTGCTGTGTGCGCCCACAGGCGCGGGCAAAACTAATGTAGCCCTGCTTACAATGATGCGTGAAATTGGCAAGCACATCAACGACGATGGCACAATCAATGCCCAGGATTTCAAAATTATCTATGTGGCGCCAATGAAATCACTGGTACAGGAAATGGTGGGAAACTTTGGCCGACGCCTGGCTTGCTATAATCTCACTGTCTCCGAGCTGACTGGAGACCATCAGCTGACCCGCGAGCAGATAGCCGCCACTCAAGTAATTGTGTGCACGCCCGAAAAGTGGGACATCATCACGCGGAAGGGTGGAGAACGCACGTTCGTCAGTTTGGTGCGTCTCGTCATAATAGATGAGATTCATTTGCTGCATGACGAGCGAGGACCGGTGCTTGAGGCGCTGGTGGCTCGCACCATTCGTAACATTGAGACCACCCAGGAGGATGTGCGACTTGTGGGCTTGTCTGCGACGCTGCCCAACTACCAGGACGTAGCAACATTTTTGCGTGTCAAGCCCGACCGGGGACTTTTCTATTTTGACAACAGCTATCGTCCCGTGGCTTTGGAACAGCAGTACATTGGTGTGACGGAGAAGAAAGCGTTAAAACGTTTTCAAGTAATGAACGAGATTGTCTATGAGAAGACTATGGAGCATGCTGGCCGTAATCAAGTGCTCGTCTTCGTCCACTCACGCAAGGAAACGGGCAAAACAGCGCGGGCAGTGCGTGATATGTGCTTGGAACAAGACACGTTGGGCAGTTTTCTGCGCGAGGGATCGGCCAGCATGGAGGTGTTGCGCACGGAAGCGGAGCAAGTAAAGAATTCGGAGCTGAAGGAGTTGCTGCCTTATGGCTTTGCAATCCATCATGCTGGTATGACGCGCGTCGATCGTACACTAGTTGAAGATCTCTTTGCCGATCGTCACATTCAAGTCCTCGTGTCCACGGCCACATTGGCTTGGGGTGTGAATTTGCCGGCGCACACGGTCATCATTAAAGGAACACAAGTGTATAATCCGGAGAAGGGTCGATGGGTAGAGCTCAGTGCATTGGATGTCCTGCAAATGTTGGGACGCGCCGGTCGCCCGCAATACGACACAAAGGGCGAGGGCATACTAATCACCAATCACAGCGAGCTGCAGTTCTATCTCTCGCTGCTCAATCAACAACTGCCCATTGAGTCGCAGTTTATCTCTAAGCTGCCGGACATGCTGAACGCCGAAATTGTCCTGGGAACCGTGCAGCATTTGCAGGATGCGGTCAACTGGCTGGGCTATACGTATCTCTACATTCGCATGCTGCGCAATCCCACTCTCTACGGAGTCTCCCACGACGCCATCAAGTCAGATTCGCTACTGGAGCAGCATCGTGCGGATCTGTTACATACGGCCGCCTGCTGTCTGGAACGCAGCGGCCTCATTAAGTATGAACGCAAGACAGGACACTTTCAAGTTACCGATCTTGGACGCATTGCCTCGCATTATTACCTAACGCATGAGACCATGTTGACTTACAATCAGTTGCTAAAGCAAACCCTTAGTGAGATTGAACTCTTCCGTGTCTTTTCGCTCTCCTCCGAGTTCCGGCACATTGCGGTGCGCGAAGAGGAGAAGCTGGAGCTGCAAAAGCTAATGGAGCGCGTGCCCATACCGATCAAGGAGTCCATTGAGGAGCATAGCGCCAAAGTGAATGTGCTGCTTCAGGCCTACATATCGCAGTTGAAACTGGAGGGCTTCGCCCTGATGTCCGACATGGTGTTCATCACACAATCGGCCGCTCGACTCATGCGGGCCATCTTTGAAATCGTGTTGACTCGTGGCTGGGCACAGCTGGCAGATAAAACATTGACGCTTTGCAAAATGATCGACCGGCGGATGTGGCAGTCTATGACGCCGTTGAGACAATTCAAGAAAATGCCCGATGAAATCGCCAAAAAGCTCGAGAAGAAGCACTTCCCCTGGGCTCGTCTCTATGACCTAGAACCGCATGAACTGGGCGAGCTAATACGTGTCCCAAAACTGGGAAAGACGATACACAAGTTCGTTCATCAGTTTCCCAAACTGGAGCTCTCTACACACATTCAGCCCATCACACGAGCCACGCTGCGCGTCGAGTTAACCATAACACCGGATTTTCAATGGGACGAAAAGGTGCACGGCCAATCGGAGGGATTTTGGGTGCTAATCGAAGATGTCGACTCAGAACTGATACTCCATCACGAGTATTTCTTACTGAAGCAGAAGTATGCCCAGGACGAGCATCAGCTGAAGTTCTTTGTGCCCGTCTTTGAACCTCTACCACCGCAGTATTTCCTGCGCATTGTGTCCGATCGTTGGATTGGCGCCGAAACCCAACTGCCTGTTTCGTTTAGGCACCTAATTCTGCCTGAGAAGAACATGCCATCAACAGAGTTATTGGATCTACAACCATTGCCCATTAGCGCACTGAGGCAACCCAAATTCGAGCAGTTCTACACGCAGCGTTTTCCGCAATTCAATCCCATTCAGACGCAGGTCTTCAACGCCGTTTACAACAGCGATGACAATGTGTTTGTGGGCGCACCAACAGGCTCCGGCAAGATGACCATTGCCGAGTTCGCCATCATGCGTCTGTTCACGCAATCTGCGGATGGACGCTGTGTCTATCTGGTGTCTCAGGAGGCGCTAGCCGATCTCGTATTTACCGATTGGCATGCCAAGTTCGGCGCCCTCGACATTAAAGTGGTGAAGCTGACGGGCGAGACCGGCACGGATCTCAAACTGATTGCCAAGGGTCAGATCATCATTACCACGGCGGACAAGTGGGATGTGCTGTCCCGTCGCTGGAAGCAGCGCAAGAACGTGCAGCTGGTAAATCTATTCATTGTGGACGAATTGCAATTGGTCGGTGGGGAGGATGGACCTGTACTGGAGATCGTTTGCTCACGCATGCGTTACATCAGCTCGCAGATCGAGAAGCAGATTCGCATTGTGGCGCTCTCTGCGTCATTGACAGATGCCCGAGATGTTGCCCAGTGGCTGGGTTGTAATCCGAATGCTACTTTCAACTTCCATCCAAGCGTTCGTCCCATACCCTTGGAGCTTCACATACAGGGCTTTAATGTAACGCACAATGCTACTCGCATCGCAACGATGTCCAAGCCGGTTTACAACGCTATTCTAAAGTACAGTGCCCACAAGCCCGTCATTGTGTTTGTCTCGTCCCGCAAACAGGCGCGACTCACGGCCATTGATATACTGACCTACGCCGCCTCGGATTTGCAGCCAAATCGTTTCTTCCATGCCGAGGAAGAGGATATACAGCCCTTCCTGGAGCGCATGACCGATAAAACTCTGAAGGAGACCTTGGCTCAGGGCGTGGCATATTTGCATGAGGGTCTATCTGCCTCGGACCATCGACTGGTTGAGCAACTCTTCGACTCGGGCGCTGTCCAGCTAGCCGTTGTATCACGGGATCTATCTTGGGGTATGAGCATCTCGGCACATCTGGTCATTATCATGGATACGCAGTTCTACAATGGCAAGAATCATTCGTATGAGGATTACCCAATTACGGATGTGCTGCAAATGATTGGACGTGCCAATAGGCCCAACGAGGATGCAGACGCCAAATGCGTGCTCATGTGCCAGAGTTCCAAAAAGGACTTCTTCAAGAAATTCATCAACGAACCGTTGCCAATTGAAAGCCATTTGGATCATCGAATGCACGACCACTTCAATGCCGAGGTTGTCACCAAGACCATTGAGAATAAACAGGATGCCGTGGACTATCTCACTTGGACGTTTCTCTACAGGCGTCTCACACAGAATCCCAATTATTACAACTTGCAAGGTGTAACGCATCGTCATTTATCTGATCACCTGTCGGAGTTGGTGGAGAATACGCTCAGTGATTTAGAGCAGTCTAAATGTATTAGTGTGGAGGATGACATGGACACCTTGCCACTCAATTTGGGAATGATCGCTGCCTACTATTACATTAACTACACAACCATTGGTAAGTAGAGAGCGTCACCCAGTTCAGTATTAGTTACTAATGATTACATAATGTATTGCAGAACTCTTCAGCTTGTCACTCAATAGTAAGACAAAAGTGCGTGGTCTCTTGGAAATCATTTCATCGGCTGCTGAATATGAGGATGTGGTGGTCAGGCATCATGAGGAGCACGTCTTGCGCACTTTGTCGCAGCGTTTGCCCAACAAATTGACGGGTCCCAACGATACAGCGCCCAAGTAAGTTTCGCAAGACATTTTATAAGACGTTCAATTAAATGAATTCCCTTGTTTCCATAGGTATAATGATCCGCACATTAAAACCAATTTGCTGCTGCAGGCCCATCTGTCGCGTCTGCAACTGGGGCCCGAACTGCAGGGCGATACGGAGCAGATACTTAGCAAAGCTATTCGACTTATACAGGCTTGTGTGGATGTACTGAGTTCCAATGGTTGGCTATCGCCGGCTGTGGCTGCCATGGAGTTGGCTCAAATGGTCACGCAGGCCATGTGGACCAAGGATTCATATTTGCGGCAGTTGCCGCACTTTAATGCGGACATTATAAAGCGCTGCACAGAAAAGGTTCGTTTGATTTTAATATCTATATAATCTGTCTAGTAACCAATCTATTTCCCACAGAAAATCGAAACTGTTTTCGACATTATGGAACTGGAGGATGACGATCGTTCACGTTTGCTGCAGCTGTCCGATGCTCAAATGGCCGATGTAGCACGTTTTTGTAATCGCTATCCAAATATTGAGCTGAATTACGAGGTAGTGGACAAAGATCGCATTAATTCTGGTTCCACAGTGAACGTGGTCGTGCAGCTAGAGCGTGAGGATGAGGTGACTGGTCCGGTCATAGCACCATTCTTCCCACAAAAGCGGGAGGAGGGCTGGTGGGTGGTCATTGGTGACCCCAAAAGCAATTCCCTGCTCTCCATCAAGCGCCTTACGCTGCAGCAAAAGGCCAAAGTCAAATTGGACTTTGTGGCGCCCAGTCCGGGTAGACACGACTATACGCTATACTATATGAGTGACTCCTATCTGGGCTGCGATCAGGAGTACACATTTTCCATTGAAGTGGGCGATTTTCAGTCGGAGAGTGAAAGCGAATCAGATTAGAAATACGATGTTTAGACACACGCACGCAAAAATTAATAAAAAACAACAAACAACATTTTCCATTAAAAAACTTAATTGTGTCATTATATATGCAAATTACTTAAATGATTTAACCACTCACAGACACCGATGAGCCGCGGCTGTTGGCATTGTTGCCCAAACCGTTATTGGCAAAATTATTCGTTGAGGCAAAGTTAACTGTTTGGCCATTGGGCAGGTTAAATAGCAGGCTCTGTGAGGCACCTGCTGAGTTGCTGCCAAAGCCAAAGGGATTTATGTTTTGCGCTTGCGTCGCCGTGCTGGTAGAGGAGGCACCAAAGGAGTTGTTGGCACCCTGCGATTGGAAGCCTTGCGCCTGCGCATTTGCGGCCGAGGAGCCAGAACCAAGGCGATTGTTGTGATGGCTGCTGGCACCACCATTTGCTGCTGCCTGCTCCTGACTGTAGCCATTCGGACCCAGCGGACGTTGTGGGCCAAGCTGAACTTGGGCACCGGCATTGCCACCCTTTTGTCCGGCTCCGACATTAACACCTGCCTGTGTACCGCCGACACCGGCCGAGGAGCCAACTTGAGTGTTGCCGAAACCACCACCGCCTGATCCAAATCCTCCAAAACGCTGTCTCTTGACGCGCTTATGTGTGGCATAAATCTCCGCTAGTACATTGTCCGGCGCAGCGCGCACCCTTCGCACCTGTTGACGTGCCTTCGGCTTAATGTACAGTGGAGTCTCGACAATCACTTCCTCTATTGTGGCGCCCTTTGTCGCTGTGTATGTGGAAGTTGGTTGGTTATTAGTTCAGTATTTATGGCTTATATTTTTTCTTAGTAGCTTACGCAAATCATCTTCGCGTTGAACTTGCTTTTCGCTCCTCTGCCTAAGCTGTGGAGCCGCTGCTACTGTCGTCAGATAGACAGACACTACGATTAGCATAGAAATTGCAAATTTCATATTGAATTTATTTATTGATTTCGATTAAGCAATGCGAAATAAAAATTTGTTACTCAGGCCTACGTCCGTCAGCTACGAGGTGTCGCTAAAGACTAAACCGACTTTTGTGATCCGAATTATTCAAGCTCTAGAGTCTAGACGACTCTTACTCTCGTTAGCCGTAGATGCTGCGCAGGGGCGCGGGCGCTGTCGCGCCTATCGTTAATTGTTTTTATAAATATTTAAATGTTTAAACAAACAGTGGATAGCTTTGATTTTTGTGTGATTTCATTTAATGATTTTTGCATATGTAATATAAGCTAAATGCGCCCTACACCGCCAACATCTCATAATTTTTATGGTCTTGTAGAAGTGGAAAAAAACTCGTTGCCAAAAGCCGAAAACTAGTTTTGTGTTATGTCTCAAGAAAGCTTTGCCTTGTTCGCACAGGAACTAGTTTGGGCTGTTGTTGTTCTTGTTGTTGTGGATGCTGTGTACTTATTGTTGGTTGGTTCCATGTTTTTTTCCTTTTGCGGCAACAGATGTTGAACTGGGAACCCCGCCCCCATTGAACCGAGCAAGCGATTGCGCAGCTGTTGGAGCTTAGAATGTTTACGCTCAATTTGACGAGCTGTTGATAAGAGAATCGGAATCTTGACTGCAGAAGAACGAAGCTGCGATGCTCTGTTAAAGCTTAATAAGTTTATTTATTTGTAATTACACATGAAATAAATGATAAATTTTGTGTTTTAGCTAAACAACGTATTGACAATAATTTTGCGATTTGTTCTATGAAATAAAATCTGAATTATACCGTAACAAAAAATTATTATTTGAGATCGCTAAACTAAACGTATAAATGTGTAATCATAATGCGTATTTATGGAATAAGTACCTACAATATGTATACATCATAGAAAACAAATTTGAAACAATTTTTGTTTTTGTTTTTTACAACTTGAAAGTCGTCATGAGGCGCTTGAATGTGTTTTGAGTGTTGCGAGTTAATTTCTTAAACTAATGCTACATTTATAACTGATAAGCTTGTATTAAATTCGCAGCTTATGCATTAAGTTAAGGAAACAACAAAACTGAGCACTGTCTGATATACAATAAAGATACGTACATGTAAATTACGTGGTAATAGTTAAAGGTGCAGAGCTCGCTCTACTCGATACCATGCGCAAATATCATAACCAAACCAGGTTCGACCATAACATCTTCCGTCATGTGCACGTTGTCACAGCTAAGCACGAGAACAGCCTGTTTGCCTGCACAGAATAAGGAGATCAGTGTTAGTGGACGAGTGTTTGCGGTTTTTAAGGAAGCGTACCTGGTATACGTCGACATACGTAACTGTCGTAGATTCTGCGATTATTCTGTCGCGTCTCAAGCGAGCTGAGCCCACGCGGCCAGCGTCGCTCGTGGCAATTTTCCATTAGACTGTCCAGTATGTGTGGGGGGCAGCCAGATTCCGAAAGGGCTCGTTTAATCATCAACTACAATTAGAAAGCCATAATTACGCGTTAGTCATTGTGGTTTGAGGTAGGCGGACCATATTGTGACTCACCTGCAGGGCATCGTCGGGCGTAGAGATCATGCCACCCCATCGCGTGACCCTCGCTCGGGCCAGGCCGCTGCTCCAACGGATCACCTCATCGCGTTCCATTTGATCGGCTATGGCGCGCATAGCTGGATTCGAAACTCGCATAGCGCGCATAAAATCCTTGAACAGTTGCAGCTCCCGTTTCAACTCATTTATTGTAATCTGCTGGTCGGTCAGCTCCGTTTTCAACTGGCCCATTTTCTCCGTCTGCTTTACAATCAAGGTGCGCAGCTCACGCACGCAGTTGTGATCCTTTAGTTCGTCCTTGGGTATGTCAAAGCCACAGCCTTTCTCGCAGGGGAAAGGCCGTTTTGGATTATGCAGACACTCCTCAAGGTGTCCATTATAGGCGTCCAGCTTTAGCACTGCCGTGCAGCCGTGGGGAGCATTGTCACAGGTAATAGAGAGTCTAGACAACAGGTTGCGTAGGATGCGCGGTACAGCGCGGAGATTCGCCGTTGTCAGGGCGTTACGATCCACAGGACAAGTGGGCTGGCGTGTCAGCCACTCATTGATGCAGCCTCTACAAAAGGCATGTTCGCACATCACCGCCTGCAGTGGGTCCTCCAACACGCCGGAGCATATCGGACATGTCAACTCCTCGTCCACTTCGCCTTGAAAGCGGTTTACATCGTAGCCCATTCTTGAATAGTGTTGTGTGAACCGTTGGCTTCGCACGCAGCTCGCGCTTGTATCCCTTAAAATGATTTATATCTATTCATTTGTCAGCTACATGCAATTCGATTAAGGTTTATTGAGCTATTTTGCAGCTTGCGAAATTTTTGCTTCGCTTGTAGTTTTTTAGTGTTGTGCAACATCATCCGTGTTGTCAAGTGTTGAGCAATTTTATGAAAATGGTTTTGCTAAAATGTGGACACACTGTATGGTTCTACCGCCAGTTTTACCGCTTCTATTAAATTTAAATGTTTTCTATTTGGTCGAGTAGCGTTTTTTTTTTTATTCAAGTATTTATATAAATAACATGGATATACGCCTTCTTTGGCATACGTTGGTAAAATTCGTCAATTTCTATGTGCACAAAACTGAACTGAACTAACAATAACTAACAACAACTAACGCACAAATACTGAAAACATATACAGATGAGTGAAATGTTCAGTCTTAACTATATCTCGTTGCGATCCTTCCAGCCATATTTTTGACGCTGCTGCTTCTCCTTGCTATTGGCATACTTGTTGTTACTGTTGCTCTGTCGCCCCGGTGCACAATAGCATGAACGTTTCTGCGAATCCAAGTACGATTTGCAGCCTAACGTCAGAGTGCCTGTAAAGAGCATCTTAGCTGCTGCTTTACAACCCTTCGTCATTAAATCACTCGTAATTGACTTCTCATAGCTGTCGCAGTATTTGTATAGGCAACGTTTTAAGTCCAGATCGCAGAGCTCTTTGTCACTGTTGCATGTGTCGTAGCAAATGTCGTGCGCATTGCAACACGTTTCCATTTCAGCGGCCGGAAGGTACTCTGTGCTTATGCGCAGGCCAAGGGAGCCGCACCCGTCGGCAGTGGGGGTATAAAATTTGTTTTGAACTGCGCGAGGAGCTATGGGATACAATAAACACGTCAGTGCAACATTCGCATTTTCGTTTTACATAATCCACTGCGCATTTGCGTCAGATCACACTTACGCGGCCCTCCGCCCTCTGACGGACACTCAAAGACGCAGTTCTCCTCCACAGCAGCATCAAATACTTCGTGTACGGTGCGAAATTTTCGCACTATGGTGATGAGATTTTTGAACACGTCGCCGAAAATGGCTTCGGCCGCTATTATTGCATCTCTCAGGTGAACTATTGTACTAGAGCCGTAGCCCGAGTAGGCGTAGGTCAAAAATGTTAGCACGTATATGGCAATTTTCATCCAGGAAAACTGCATTTTGCTGTCAATAGTTATAAGCTTTTGTGTTTCTGTTGTGTTTCTGCCTTCCGTGCGTGTTGTGTTGAACAGCTGTGGAAAGTTAGCGCCATCTATATCTATGTGTGGTATTATATAAACCTAATGCAAAAGTGTGGAAACACTGGACAACTTAACGGCTGCTTTGAATTTAAAAAAAACGTGCAAGAAGATAGAAATGTTTCTGAATGGATATTAAGCAAGATTTTAGAAACATATTTGTGCTATACAGGGCTTGTGTCTGTTTGTTGGCAAACGTGGCTGTGGCATGCATATGTAGTATGTGTTGTTGTTGCTCAGAAGGAGTGCAACGGCGGACTGAAAGGCGCTGCAAAGTTTTACGTCAGTTTGTAACTTTTAAATCAATGTATCGTTTCTAACATTCTGCATTAAACTTACAGCAAAAGCAAAGCCAAAGAACTCGAAAAGATTCTATCTCCCCAAAGATCATGTTTATTCAAAGAGTGTTAGTGGTCAACTGGGTGAGTTTTCCCAAAATTTGTATTTAAGTTTCTTGCACGGTGCGAATAAGTTTGTCACCTCTACGCCTGCACATAAAGAAGTTCTAGCCTTGCCCTTGACAGCTTTAATAGCAGGCACTAGAAAAATTTTCAGCACTTCCACAAGCCACACGTGTCCGACGACATCTCGTACCTGCGCACGCTTAATTAAATCGTCAAATTTAAATAAAACTGTTCTAGCGCCTACCCACCAACAACTAGTGCTTACATTTCAAATGAGGCTCTTGCACGAAACCTGCCGCCACCTGACCTTGTCACGTTTTATTACACAAAATCAACATAAACATGCAACTTGTACGTACATACATAGAAGTGTTTTCGGTGTTTACATGCATTTGCAAGAAGAGCGAAAATGTAAGGCACACAAACAAAACAAATCTAAATTTCAACTTAAGTCTAAACACACGCAACAAAGGCAACACAAATCATCTCCGCAAAGCTTCCAAACATACGAGCACATTCGAGTATGTATGTATGTATGTAGCACACAATTTAATTGCACAATATTTTTATTTAATTTGTCAGAAATTCTCGTTACCCATCACTTAAGTACTTGGCCACAATTTTTGTATTTAATTTAATTTATCAGAAATTTCACAATTTATTTTTATTTAATTTATCAGAAAAATCACAATTTAATTCCCAATTTGCCATCACTTAGGTACTTGGTATGAGAATCGCAGAGGAGGGTGGCTACAATATTTTTATTTTATTTAATTGATCAGAAATTTCACAATTTATTTTTATTTAATTTAATTGATCAGAAAAATCACAATTTAAATATCGATTTGCCATCACTTAGGTATTTGGTATGAGAATCGCAGAGGAGGGTGGCCACAATATTTTTTTATTTAATTTAATTTTTTAGCAATTTCACAATTTATTTCCACAACATTTTTTTTAATTTATCAGCAAAATCACAATTTAATTCTCGATTTGCCATTACTTAGGTACTTGGTATGAGAATCGCAGAGGAGGGCGGCCACAATATTTTTTTATTTAATTTAATTTTTTAGCAATTTCACAATTTATTTCCACAATATTTTTATTTAATTTATCAGAAAAATCACAATTTAATTCTCGATTTGCCATCACTTAGGTACTTGGTATGAGAATCGCAGAGGAGGGCGGTCACAATATTTTTATTTAAAATACATATGCACATATTTATATTCACACTAAATACTGTTGTTGTCAGCAGTCTATTAATGAAATAGCCTATATGACCAATGCAAATATTTGCCAAGGAATAAGGTCCTTTCAAGAAATCAAAATCGGGGTTTTATGGCAGCTTGATCCATTTTGTTTTTATTAAAATAATCTTCTTGAAAATGCCCAACATATTTGCAATTTCGTTTACGTAAAATGTTAATTTCTGAAATTACGAATCTAAAAAGGTGAGTAATAATAAGTGTAAATTGCTAGTGTATTATAATCCAGCTGATTAGCTTAATTGGCCAAATGGTTTGCATAATTATAGCTATAAAAAAAAACACAATAGGGTAGTGTATAATGTGTCCGTAATGGGGAAGGTACCAAAGAACCAAAGTCAAAACAAAGCCTTACTTTGTGTACATACTAGAACTTTGGAAAATTACTTTAATAGGTGTTAACATAAAAGTGACAAATTACCAAAATTAAAACAATAATACAAATATTAATAATAGTAATTATAATTACATATATAAATATTTTTTTTTCTTTAATATTTTAGTTGACATTTTTTGACCAATTTAGAATATTTTTTCTGTGAATATGGTTGAATGTTAAATTTTCTTGTTGTTTCCTGATATGTATTGCTATGTAAAAGTATTGGAATGCTGAGTTGCATTTGTTAACCGATCCGATAGACCTTGCTAAGAGCCATTGAAGCCTTTGGCGCTGCAATTTGAGCCTTGTTGCGCCTCTAGTTAATGCTCTGTCCACTAACGTTGCTTGGGCTGTAAGTGGCCATCCAAATGACAAGCAAACAGCCAGCGACAGCCATTTGACTAACACACAAAGCTAACAAGCAAACACAGTCCAACAAAAACATAACACCACAATGATGTTGGTTGGTGGCTGGCTGGATGGTCGACCGCTTAAATCAACAAGAGAATTACAGCAACAACAACAGCAACGAAATGGATCGTACATATGCACATACATACATATATACCCACATATACGTAGATACGTCATGCGGCAGTCAGACAGCCCATACACACACACACACGCACACATGCACACACAGTGCGCCGTTAACGTGGCCAAGAGCAAACACAAACAGGCACAGCAGCCAGTCAGCCAGCCAGCCAGCCAGCCAGGCAGCCAGTCGATGTCGAAGTCGACGTCGCGGTCGTCAGTCGTCGCAGCCGCCGCCGTCGCCGCCGCAGTCGTCGGCGAGACCAAGACCGAGTGCTGTGGCAAGCGATTCGCAGATTTAGCGTTTCAGTTTCGTGCAAATCGTGGAAGCGGCTGGTCCAACACTTAAAAATAAAATTGAATAAAATTATTGACAGCGAGCGAAATTTTCAAAAATAACATTTGAAAAACAAAGTAAAAAATTCGCAAAAATTAACAAAACAAACAGCAAAAATAACGAAAATAAAATTTTGCCGCAAGCTAAACGATTACAGTTCCGAGTTAAAATAATTTGCATATTGTGCATTATTATTGTTGTTGCTATTGTCTTTGGCGAATGCAATTGTAAGCCGCGCTTACCAATTTGCAAAGCTGCTTGGTGCAGCGCGTATTTGGCAATAAACCGGATATTCTAGATCTTGCAGTTTGAAGTCGGTGTTGCGGTTTTGTTGCGTGAACTTCAAACGGTCGCCGCCATCGTCAATAAACAAAACAAATAAACAAAAACCACAACTCCAATCCGAGAGTTGTAACTAAAGCGGTACTTTGGCCGGTGGGCTTGTGAGAAAAAAAGAGAGCATTAAAGCAAAAAGTGACACCAATAAGCGGACAACAACTAAAGCAGCGACTTCGCTGCGTCGGTTATATCAGCGGCATTATCTGTAGTATCTGTAGCATCCAGCAATCTACGAGTAGCATCGCTATCTGAATTTTATTTCTGTTGGAAACTCAACTCGACGGAGAGCCGAACAAATCGTGCGCCAAAGTAACATATTTATTTTTAACAATTTCGCAAGCGTTCAAATTTTGCTCCAGCAAAAATAATATACATACATCTAACAAAATATAAAATATAGAAACAGACAGACGCATAACAACAACAACAACAACATAAAGACTAGTAATAATTAAACAAAAATATTAGCGATCGTACGGCAGCAGCAACGACGCTGGCTGTTAAAAATTAGTTTGGTGAGTAATCATTAGTGTGAAAAGCGGGTCTGTAGTTTTCAAAAAAAAGAAAAAGAAAATGCCAGATTAGCTTTCAGTATGTTTGACCGGTAATTAGCCAACTGGTTTTGCATAATTATACCGTCATATTAGCCTAGTAATGGCGCAGTACTTTAATGATAAAGTTAGCGAAGCTGGAAAGTCAAGTAAGAACGTTTTACTTTTAACCAGACAGTTCAAAATTCCAAAAAGACAATCTATTCGTATTCATCTTGTCTTGTATGAAGCTAAGATAAGCATTATAAGAATAAAGATGATATTAATACTTTTTAGTTTAGGCCATATTTGTTTTTCTAACAAATATTTAATAAGCTTTCTGCAAATATTCCACTTGAAATTAGCCAATTGCAAATAAAGATGGTAGTTTCTTCCCAAAAAGCTTCCTTCGTTTTAATAAACACATTTAAAAACTATCGCATGCGGAGCTTGCGTTTGAAATAAATAATAAATAAATAATAAACGATATTAGATCATATTCATTTTGTCTCATAAAAGGCTAATATTTGGGATATATCGTCTCAATTAGAGTGGATAGGCGTAATAAGAATAAAGATTATATCAATAGTTCTATACTTTTTAGTTTAGGCCATATTTGTTTTTCTAACAAATATTTAATAAGCTTTCTGCAAATATTCCACTTGAAATTAGCCAATTGCAAATAAAGATGGTAGTTTCTTCCCAAAAAGCTTCCTTCGTTTTAATAAACACATTTAAAAACTATCGCATGCCGAGCTTGCGTTTGAAATAAATAATAAATAAATAATAAACGATATTAGATCATATTCATTTTGTCTCATATAAGGCTAATATTTGGGATATATCGTCTCAATTAGAGTCAATCAATAGTTCTATACTTTTTAGTTTAGGCCATATTTGTTTTTCTAACAACTATTTAATATGCTTTCTGTAAATATATCCATTGTAATATAAAGCTGGTAGTTTGTTCCCAGAAAAGCTACCTTCGTTTTAATAGTTAATAGTTTTAATTGTTCATTAACAATTTTTGAATAAACTCATCGCATCTGAAGCTGCTATTGGAGAATAATGAACGATATTAGATCGGAAATAGATAAGAAAGTTTCGCATGTGAGGGTGATCTTGTCAAATCAATTTTTCGAATTCGATAGACTGAAGTCACTTTATTTCGAAAAGTTTCGCCCTAAAGCTAGAGCGGAAAGCTTAAGTCAAATATTTTAATCATTATTAGAAAATTAAAAAATTAAATAATAGTTTCTGAGAAGTCATCCAGCTTAATACCTAAAACTATGGATTATGCCCAATAAGCATAAATATTTAATTATGTTGGCAGCCACAGCGCCATTGTGCTTTGCAACTGAACAGTTGAGTGCGTACAAAATGTATATATGTATATGTATAGTATGAAACATATGCAATGATGACTCAGTTATTACTTAGCTGGCTGTGCGGCAGGTATCCTGGCGTGCCCGGCATGCTGTTTGTAAATTGGAATCATTCACAGGTTTCAGTTACAACTGGAATAGATGCCAGGCCACAGACAATGTGGCATATATGATTTATACCCAGCTCGACCCAATTTCACGATTGGCCCGATTTGCGACTCAATGGGTGCCAAGGACGTGTCAGGCGTAGCTAACTTTTCTTAGCTCAAATCTGGCACAAGGACATCCGGAAAAAGCCAATAAATACGTACTTACTTACTCTACTGCTACTTATGGGTCAAACATACTATTGCCCTCCAGAGCAAGAACCCCAAAAAAAAAAATCGCATAAAATAATGTCGACGCGTCACGCGTTTTATGGTTTTATTTACCGACTTTTGATTGTTATTGCCGTTGCTTTTATTGTTCGAAACATGAATGTACGTACTACGTACCACTTCGATGGGCCGGTGGGTGGTACGCGTTGGTCAATGCGAGTCGATGAACAACATTTGTCATACGCGTCATGACGCGTCTGATTAATGCAATATGAGCATACCTATACACTATATACATATACCATATAGTGTGTATATATATACATATATACTGAGGTGGCCACCCTTATTCACATGTTCGTTTTGATACCATTTAATTATTCCTGTTGCCGTGTTAATGATGTACAACATTTTGCGGCAACATTAATAATACGAGTATGAAACGCCTACAACACTTATGGAATTGCCCAAAAATACGTCGATGACGCTGCCATCGAGGGGGCAACAGCAGGCATCGCTTACGTCCATATGTATATACTTACTATATATAAGTAGTATGTACGTACATATGTCTGCCTGTCTGCTTGTATTTATTTGTGCATTTAGTATAAACAGACATATCAACACAAAGCGAACATCATGGATAAAATATATAGCTTCTACAAGTATATGTAGGATGCGTTAACAAAACGCCCAGCACGCTGTAGCTTTTAAATAATAAATATCATATATAATGGGAGTGGGATCGCTTGGAGCGGGGGCTACCAATTAATAAATGCTACAAGCGTTACGCGTAAATTTCAATTTTGGTTTAAATGCCACAAATCGGTGGCAAAGTTCAACTGCCTATCAATGAGGTGCTCTCAAAAAAAGCCAACACCTCATAAAATGCTGCCATTGGTCCCCGGAGACAGTTTCGCAATTTTAAAAGCACAAAAATTATAAAAAATATATTAGCAAATTGGGCTCATAAATAATCTTAAGCAAGCACAGATGCATGGCATGTCTGGACACAAAATTAGTGGAAAAGATGACCGCCATTGACTTAGTTTTTTAGCCATAATTGTTTTCTAAAAGCATTTTTTATTCATTGCGGAATTAATGCAATACAAAGCTAATTTGCGATATGTATTTGTCCAAGTCTGTGCAGCTTTTCTTATCTATAGTATATATATTTTTAATGCGAATATAAGTTTTCTTTTAGAACATAAGTATAAGTTTATATTTCGGTGGGGTTTCAAAAAGTATAACAATCCTTATTTATATTATAAATTATGTTAATCGTCGAGATTAGTGGAAGCATAAATAGATTTCTTGTCCACATTTACAATTGGTGTTTTATGTTTTTTATTTTCTTTCATAAGTTTTCCATTTCCTTATTTTTTAAGTTCTTACAAATGTGTGCAGGGAAGTTAGAAGTAAACTCTACCTTTCTCTCTGTTTATAACTTGTAATGAAACTCTTATGAAAAATAACTTTAGATCTTTATTATTATTAGACAGGGGGTGGATAAATGGCTAAAATAATAAAATAAATAATAAAATCTATTCTTTAGTGTAATTTGTCAAAATTGGTTCACTTGAACCGTAAAAAAAAGAGCTGGCGTGTATCTCTCTAATTCTATCGCTATATAGTATTATGAATATAAGAAAAGTATATTTTGAAAGACAATAGAGTCAATTTCAATGTCGACTTAACTTTTTATAATTTGTAAATATTTGCCCCTACTACGCTTTGCTTTTAAAATGAAATATTTTTTTTATTATGTTAAATAAGTAATATACTGATTTCAAATTGTTCTATCTATATTCGCAGAAAATTGGAGTAAGTTTTGAAATTAAAATTGAATGTTTATGTCTCATTGGTTAGAATAGTTGTATTGGAAAATATTTTTAAGATAGGTAGTGAGAAAAATGTAAGAATGTATATATTTTTAATTTAGAAGTTTAGTAGTTTCTTTTATTTCAGAATCATAACATTTTCATTTCGAATCGCAAATGTTTGTGGTCAGCCATTAACAAAAGCCAAAATATCGAAATATCATTCAATATAGAGGCTCTCTCGACTGAACTCTGAGTTTGGAACTTTATTGATTTAATTTCTCTTTTGGGACAGCTAAATTAACAAATCTTTAAAATATAATCTAATGTGTCAAAAATCAAAAAGCATTAAAAAGCATTATTATCCCTTGAAGTTTCCATCCAAGTTTTAGAATCTTTGGTGAATTCAAAGTTTGCGGCTAAGAAGCTAGAATATGTAAAGCGACCTTTGTATTTATTTAAGGCAGCTATAATATTTAAATGCTGGAGTCTGGTCCGATTAATGATTTAGTCAATACTGCTTGTCTGTTAGCATCGGTATATTTCCCATTTTGTTTCAGTAATTTTCTCATCCTTCAGTGGACTTTGCAATATATTTTATTTTTAATATTTTTCTTTATTTTTATTGCGTTTTCCATTCAGCAAAAAGTGCGAGCACCGGAAGATTAAGCAACATTTTGCTTTCTAGCAGTCAGCAACGACCCCAATTTTCATTTCCATTTTCCATTTGGGCAGCGCCCAAGGTGATTGGGGCGCTCAGAATAGACGGGAGACTGCTTCACTGGCTGACTGACTGACTGACTGACTCACTGATTGTCTGACTGACGTTATTTGGCTGGCTCTGCGTAGGTAAATTAAAATCCGAGTGATTGTCTGCAATAATTTTGAAAAATTGCTCCAAAAACGAGATCCAACAACGGCAACTGCGTCAAGTACCGTTCTTTCTGCACTTTTCCAATAATGAAAAAAGTATATGTGTACATATTTAAAAGTATTATTTGTAGATATACGCTCGGTTAACCCTAAATCATATTTCCGCACTTTTAGTGCGTTGCGTTTTTATTCAAAACAAATTTATAGATAAATAATTTTGACTGACAGCCTCAGATATAAAATTAAAAATGTGTAATTTCTAAATTCAAAATTGTGCAAAATTCAAAATAAAGAAACAAAATTGGAAAAAATCGTAAAAATTTTAAAGCAAGGTTAACTTTATAAGGTGCGTGTGTGGGAGTGGAGAAAGCTTTTGTTTTGAAAATATTTTAAGATATTTAATTTATTGTAACGACTATGCACATGATTCGTTGCCTGTCGCTCTTCTTAGCGTTTGTTTTCATTTTTAATAAATCTATCTAAATATAAACTCTATACTATAATGTATGGCGTAAGCTGAACAAAACAGATTTTACTTTTCATTAGAGCACGAGGAGTGACAGTGCACAACTTTTTGCCATTCTTGAGGCAGTTCGTCCTCCATGCCCCCAGGAATATCCTTATATGCCTACACTCAGAAAATCAAACACGAATCGTGACAATGTTTGGGTAGATGCGAACATATTTGTTAAAAGCGCGATATTCTAAGTAAGGTGTAGCTCTTCAAGTAATCAAATATTATTCAATAATAGGCCAGTTTGTTCTTAGTGAAATTTTTGGATTATAGACCATGGTTTTTCTTAATTCTTAGACTATTTTTTGATGCTGCTACTATGTATATTGATTTTTTCAGAGGTTTATATATTTATTGTATTGAAAAAGTAAGCTTGTGTCTATTTTATACAACACTGATATACTGCTTCGATACAGTATGGGAAATTCGAATTACTTGTATACTTGTATATATGTAGCATAACTCATAACATAAGTTTCATATCAGATTGCAGAAATTTCTCTAATTGCATTCACAGTCTGTATAAGTTAATTTTAATCACAAATGTATGAGATTTAAATTAACGATGCAAGCCGATAATATGTCTGATACATTCCCCGAATGCAACCAAGCGTCTGATGACAAAAAACTGATGTCCTGTTTTTCGATGTCGATCATTGCCGTTTGTAGGTTGGTGACAGATCTTTCTTTAGAATACTTTATATACTTACTTTATAAAACAATTCTTTTGGTCGCCTGAAATATGTCTACTTGTGTTTATTAAAAGAAACACTCCTTCCTTTCACACGATTAAAGTTGTGATTAATAATTTAACTTGAAATTTAATCATATTTTTCGCATATTAAAATATATTGCTCTTTTCTACCTTTAACTAAAACAATAGAATAAATATTAAATTTAAAGTTAACAAATCAGAAATATTGATAATGCAAGACGTCTGTGAACTCTGTTATAATGACGTGCTCATCATCAGGTTTAATAATTTATTAGGCACACGATTAGGCGATTAGGGAAAAGCCGAACCCATGAAAGGTATCAGATTTTGGATACTATTTTTAATCGCATCGAAATTGCTATAATAAAAAGTTCATGTGTAAAATACTACTTTAATTGTGAATATAGATATTTTCCACTATTGATAATTAAAAAACATACTCTTCTAACATATGTAGTAGATATGATCAATAATGAAATACTAATGAATTCCATTTAGTTGACTCTTTTAAATAGCTTTTATACATAGTATTTATTCCACATATAACCGCTGAAAACCTACTTGGGAACTTTAGTCATTCTATCTTCATTTGAGATTAAAACATATTGAAGTTATTTTATGGCCAGGCTATTTACAATTTTTCATTGTATTTTTTCTCTAAGTGTACCATTCTTCAGTTCGTCCGTTCGTAATATGCACATGGCCTAGATTACAATAAAAGTCACTGAGGCGGCCGGCTATTGATTTTTATTATTCATCATCATTATGTGAATAGATTAATTTTTTGCATATGTATATAGTACTCGTACATTGTAGGTATTGTGCTTTTGTGTGTGTGATTGCCATTTCATGACTTCGACTCTTCTGCCCCTAAATAACCTTTCAATTAAATGCAGTGCATCAGTGCATTGAGATCTTTGCCCGTCCAGGTCTGATGTCAGGCTCTGGCTCTGGCGCTGATTGGCGTTTTCTTTGTTGCGTATTTCACTAAATTGAATCAGAAGTGCGTACATTGTTGTTATTAATAACATTAGTGTTATTATATTTATATTTTCTTCTTCGTCTTCTTCTCCTGGTTCTTCCTGTTGTTCTGATTATTGACATTATTGTTGCCCTTTGGCGCATAAGTCAATTTTCATACTAGACTGCGTCCACACAAAAGAGTCTGTCACTCTTTCCGTCTGACTGTCTGTCTGTCTGTCTGACTGTCGGTTGTAGGGGCTTAGTGCGCTTGTTGTTGGGTTCTCCATGGGATCGTGCATTTGGCCAACGGCAATTTCATTTCACTTTCAATTTATGCGCACGACTAAGTTGTCAGAGTTTTCTGAAATTTATACAAAGATGCCTTGTGCCTTGCCTTGCCTTGCGCCGCGTTGCTTGCTTAATTAAACGACCATGGCGAGAATGGCACAAAAATAGCCGGCCAGACAATGACAGCGGCTCCTTCATTCTTCGTTCCATTTTATATTTATTATTAACCGGCAGAAACTGTCTTTTTTATTTACAGTAGCTGCAGTGGCAACAACAATCACTGAAAAAAGTACAACAATGTCAACGGCAACTTGTGCCCGATTCTGCTCACCATTGACGACGGCTGGGAACAACAAAGCTGTCGCCTCAACATCCTCGTCAGCATCATCAAAATTGACAACAGGAACAGGAAGCGGCATGACGTCAGCGGCCACACATAAGAAACAAATTCCAGCAACAAACACAAATGACATCAACACAGAGGCGACGTTCACATTCAAATTGGGTGGCAAAGGCGGCCGCTGCAATACAAACAGCAATGGGCATAGTGTGGCCTCAAGCGAATCGTCAGATCCCCTAGAATCAGACTACAGCGAGGAGACCGAGGAGGAGGAGCAACAACAATCCAAGCAAGCCAAACATGTCAGTCTCAGCAGCAATAGCAGCAGCAGCGCCGCAACGTCAAGAGATTCCGTTGGCCATGATGCTGGTGACGTTGAAAAGGACGAGGATACCAATAACGATACAAACAATGATGACTCTGTCGATGACGAGAGCGTCGAAGAGGATGATGGCAATGAGACAGATGATGAGGAAGATGAGGAGGACTCCGAGGAGAGCAGCAGTGTCCAAACGGCAAAGGGTGTCCGCAAATACCATTTGGATGATTATCAAATTATCAAAACTGTGGGTGAGTATCTACCACTTTAAACTATAGATAAAAGATAAAATAGATAGATAAAAATGGCCAGAATGTTTGGCAACAGAATTCCATGAACACCAACAAAAGTTCGATGATTATGCTTTCGCCTTTCCGCAAAGATTGTCAAACAATTCTTCAATTAATATTTGAAAAAATGAATGTTTTATCATTTGAAAATGTTTTGAAATCAAATTGTTACATTTCCTTATTGATTGATTGATTTTTGGGGTAAAATTATATATTTTGGCAATCCAAGGCCTGAAGTCAATATAATTTCCCTATTTTTTTGTTTGTTTTTGCGATTGACATTTTTACTAAACTGAATCACAAATCGGAGCGATCAGCAGGTGAAATCAGTAATGATCGATCACAAATCACAAATCGCTATGACCTGCTGATATTAAATATGTGATATTTTGAGTAACTAATATCAATGATATTTATCTCTCTAAGCATGTTTCTTTTGATTAAAATGGAAATTGTTCTTTTAAATGATTCTTTAAAAATGATTTTTAAAATTATATTTAACAAAATCACAAAGACTTATTTTTGCATATTAGTCAGAAAATTGGGAATATCATTTTTAATTCCGAGTACAATTGCGTAATCTTGTATCTTCAATTTGAGACGCTTATGTGGGAGATCATACATCATAATATGTATTACATTTATGTGGAGTTTGATTAGAATTCAATAATTTTATTTACAATTTTTAGATTTTTCATTTTTGACTTTTGCAAAGAGTTGATTTTTGATTGATGTTTGATGTGTTTATTTTTAGAAGTGTATATATATTTATATTGTTAAATTATTCAAATAATTACAGTGATTACATTCTTCAGATCTTTTAAGTTCGTTACTCAGTTCATGCACTTTTATCTGATTTGAGTCGCCAAACTACACATTTAGTGTAGGTTGATGTGATGTTTAGATCTGGTGTACATGTATATTCAGTTTTATTTTAGTTTGTTAGGCCTTCGAGCTGTAAACTAAATGAATTGCTTATTTATCTTAGCCTGTCCTTTGTTGTATGTTATAAAACAACTGTACTTCTGGGTTAGTGCCGACACAAGGTCTTACAGAGCAGTGGGGAAACAAGTTCCCAGAATGGCATACTAAACACTAAATATCGCTTAAATCGGACTACATTTTAGTTGGTTAGTGTGTTTAATTAATATCAGTAGACAATTGTTCTAGATATGCCTTCCGTTGGATTAGTCTAAAATAGAACTACATTGGCATTCATTTTGCAAACTTATAATCAATTAATTGAAATTATTTATGTACCTTTGTTGGCCTTTTGTTTGCTGTTCGAGCTGCAAAACGCTTTGATTTCCTTTTTCCCACACACAATCCCATACGTTTTTATTCTCTTCAATTTCAAATATTTATTATGCCATTTTTTATGCATTTCTTCTGTGCTTTAATGTTAAGTCAGCGGCTTTAGCTTCTATTAGTTTTTATTGTTTTATGCGTAAATAAATTCAAATTGATTACGCAAATCGAACGCACATACACACATACTTGTACATATATATACAAGTATATATATATGTATATAACATATACTTACTTGTGCCCCGTCTAAGGTAATTGTTTTCATTTCTTGCGGCTCTGGGCTTGTTGGTTAGTGTAAATATAATTTTTAAGTATCATATCAAAACATTTTATATCTCATATACATATAAACAATTATTTTTAGACCAGTTATGACGCTCATCGCCGTATCGATTCTTTTAAAACAATTTTCATAAATATTGAGCAATTAATGGTTTTATTTTTAATTCTCCATTGTTGGCTCTGAAAATAAATAAAGTAGAGGTACTCGTGCCCCCAGCCAAATGCCACGTGGTATTTGTGTTTTATTTTTTAGAGATGCCTGTGGTTTTGAACTCAGAACAAAAGGCATTAATAGGTAGTTTTTGTTTAGAAATATTGCACATATACCAAAATATATACATGCTGTCTATGTTATTTGCTTTCTAGTAAATAGTATATACTTGTACTCAAAAATTTTGCAAACAAATTTTTAGCAATTACTTAAGTCCGTTTAAAATGAGTGTATGGAAGAAGAATATTTCAGAAACAATATATGTATTGGATTTCTGCCATTTCTTTTGAAAACACAATATAGAACTTCTTTTTTAAGCAATAGTCGAGCACCGTTGTTTCTCTCTAGAAAGAAAGAAGTGATTTATATATTCCCGTTTGTCTACCATTTAATAGTTTCCTTCGATTCTATCAGATTTATGGTTTGTGTGGCTTGCTTGGGGAAATCGATATTATTTCAATTTCTTAAATTTGAGTTAAAAGCCCATTATTATTAAAAGCGCATTTTTTGAAAACCACTACTCTCCAGCAAACAAATTTTTTATCTTTTTCTTCTGTAAGAAGTTTGAAATAAATGTTCATCTTGTTTGGATATAGTTTTGTGCAGAACTTTTGTACTCTGTCTGACATAAGTAATGTTCGGAAGTAGCTTTTAGTACAACATCTTATCATTTAAACAAACTGCCAACGGACCCTTCCGCTTCGCACACTTCAACGAATCGCTTTCAACGCTTGCCAACTGATTCTTGCGGCACCACAGGTCGTATGAGTAATCTTACAAATGCCAGACAAGCAGTGGCCACTTGCGTATTGTGAGAAGAAGAAAAAAACACCACAATTTTGCAGGAATTAATTTGTAAAAAGTAAATAAACCGAACGGATGGATATCTTGCTAAGAGCGTTCAGCATCGGATAATGCGGCTGAGTCACGCGTCTATTGGGGCGCCACACACACACACACACACACACGTTCAATATGTGGACTATACTATATGTTGGGGTATAGAGGCGTATTAAAAAAGCTAGAGGGGAGAATCGGAAAGAGCATGAGCAACAGCTTTTCGCACGTTTTCAGCAGCAACAATAATAATAATAACAATAACAAACAATGGCTAGATGAGGCAATGCCAACAACAATTCCATGTAGCATCATGCAGGCCATAACTACTGCGAGTAAATGAAACTAAACGAATCGCAACAGACGGAAAAACTGAAGATAGTACAAGTACTTACACTGAGAAAACAAACAAGTCCGTTCCATGCTTGCGTGGCATCAAGATGTTGATATTTGAAGTTCGTGTTTGTTTAAAATTTCATTGATTAACAAATGTTTGTGCGTTCGTTCGTTTATCCCATAACTCGATTTCACTCCCAGCATTTGAAAAACAACAACAATAAAAGCCAAAAGCACCAAAAACAATTCCAAAGCCCCAACATGGCCAGCGCTGATGTTTTTACGAGTCTTGCAAAATGTGCATGACTGTTTGGGGGAATTTTCAGAATTTTCAATGGAATTGTTTTCGTGATATCGGGAATATGTTTTTGATTAGAAAACATGTTTTTGTTTGTGCATGTTTTGGATGCGTGCGTGCGCTTGTCTCATCTTTTCGAGAAAACTGACCGGGGAAGCAAAACAAAACGGCCATAACAATAACAACATCGCAATAAAAGCTGCCAATAAAACTGTCATATCAATTGCGGCACAATTAGCCAAACTGCTGCTAGCTGGAAAAGGAAACTGGATTTTTTTGCTCTTGCTGTTGACATCTTGGCTAAACGCTTGCTAAATGTTTGCCAAGTGAAAGTGCGACGCTTTCCCACCAACTGCAAGATTTGCACTCACAACAATAAGAAAAACTGCAGTATTGTGGGAACTTGAACAGCTTCAGCTTCAATTTTAATAGCCGCCCATTCGACATATTCTTCGAAACAAAAGGAAAGCTGATAGGGCCTATTAAGCTCCGCTTAAACCGTTTTCCTGTAACACATTTTTCTTCAAAATATTTATAAGTAGCTGCAAAATATTCAGTCAAAAGGAAAGGAAGTAAAGAAGAAGCCATGTTTCCTGAGACTTTAAATGAGGCATAACGCAATATTTAAATATCGTGTTTTCCTTGCATTAATTAACGTTATTTCCCATTATTTTCATGTTTTTCATTTACCCAAAAAATTGTCCTGGTTTGTATGAAAAAACATTTAGATTATTCCAAATGATTTCAAAATATACAATATATACTACTTGAATAGGAATAGAACATAACTAAAACGAAGAATTTTTCAACTAGCTTAAGCTGCCATATTGGTAGCAGAATACTGGTTTAATAAATTGTATATATGTATAGTAAAAGTAAAAAAATATATATATAAAAAAAAATAAAAAAAAAAAACTAAGAACAGTATACTTTCAGGATTTAATATCCGATTTTGCGCCTGCCAGGCTAAAGTTTAAAGTTTTCTCAGTTGTAGTGAAATATTTAAGCGTGAATCTAGAATTACTTTCGATTCCACTGACTAAAAGGGTGGCGTATGTATATATTTACCAGTTGATATAACATTTCGTACCATGTCCAATTATTGGTATTTTTTTCTAACGTGAGTTCGGGTCGTTAAATGTTGTTTTTTATTAAATTAAAAATGGTAATGCATTTTATCTGACGGGTGTAATTAAATCTTGAAAATCGCACAAAGTAGGCTGAACATTAAAAAAATTGATTTAAGCAGGAAGCGTAGTTCTCCTAATATTGATAAGGGGGGTTAATAGTATCGAGTGTGCCAAATTTTATTTACTGAAGCTGAGATTAAAATACTGAACACAACACGCATAAGTAATATAATTACATATTCGACAAAATTTTATTTCTTCAACGTACGAGGCTGGATCAATAAGTATCCGTATTTGATGACATTGAGGGCATTGCTGAGAGGCTTAATCTTTACCATCATATTCAGATATCGTTTATAAATAGTTTTCGTTTATAAATAGTTTGATGGAAAAAATTATGACACCCGTAAAACTTTGGGTTAACGAGTTCAAGCGTGTGGTTTAAATGTTCGCGATGAAGAACGGCCAGGACTCCCGTCAAACGTGGGTATCAGAAAAATCGTCGAAAAGGTCCGGGACACGATTCTTCCTGATGCCATGGGTGTCTTGCATGAAG